AAGTGGGTGGTGGGTGAAGGGTTGAAATGTCTTGTAGCTCAATTGAAACACGACCCACACTTTTCGTTCCGGATAATGAATTATTACGACTTGTTATTCCAGGCAGCGGGGTGTTTACGAGATCGATTATCGATATTCCTCCTTTGAATCTATGGTAAAGTATCGATTATTTAGGTGTCCGTTGCGACCGCCCTGTTTATCGATCATTTTCCATGAGTTTAAATGGCAGATCAATCGATGTATCGCATAACTCGCCACGTCACTGTTTACGAGGGTCCTTGAATTAGAGTGAAGGGCAATTCCCCACGGCGAAAAATAAGCGGATGTACAATTTGTAAATCGGTAGAACATGCATGTCTTTGCATGCTAATTTTTTATGAAACAAAAACAAACATGTGCCACTATTGCTTTAACAGCGATTGTTTCGCACGATGACTTCATACCCAAACACTCGTGAGAGTCTCCATTGTCTCTAGTGGCGTGGCGTGGCGTGAATTGCGATGTATCGATTGTTAGTCCATCTAAACCTATGGTAAAGAATCGATTATTAAGGTGTTCGATGCGAACACCCTGTTTATCGATCCTTTTCCATTGGTTTAAATGACATAACAATCGATATATCGCAATTCACGCCACGCCACTGATTGTTTTTTTGTCAAACAAATTAACAAGACAGATAAGCACCACAAAGACAATATGTATGCACAACTACTTAGAGGTGCGCCTGCATTTTTTCATATATGCAATGAGGGCTACTTACCAGCTCGATAATTTATCTGCGGAAAGTGCCCCGGCACTTGCACAAAAATGTCCATCCACAGCATACCTAGCTATTCATCTGCGATAATGCAGATTTCTCGCCACGTTTTATTTTTTCAAACGAAAACCACGGAATCTTGTTTTTGATTTTTCTTCATCTTATCTATACTATAAGCTCCGAGACCTCCGAAATTTGCATAACTGGTAACGCTTAGTTCCTCTACTACCGGACCGATTTTCATGATTTTTGCGGTTATCGATAGGCAATGGACCACTAGACAAGGTACGAATTTAAGCATTCTGATACATGTTTTTTAACCAAAATTTCACGTAGAACACGATGCGCACAACAAAAATTACTGAAATTAACTCCTTACAAAGATATTTGATGATTTTTGATGCGTGAATTGAAACGACCCGCTCATGAAAACTCAATGCTCTACGTGATTCACATCGCGCGCTAAACGTTATCATGACAGTCTCTGCGATATAAAAATCTGGCAACCTCAATCTTGACGCTTTGGCTCAGTTATAGCAAATTGCTGATAGTTTGAACAACACATGATGGGAAATGAACATTGCTCGATTGAGAAGCTTGCTGAAACCGTTGTAGTGGGCGATTTGACTCATGTAGAGTTTTGAGTTTCTTGTGAGCGGGCAGTTCAAATTCCTCGTAACCAATGTGAAATAAAAATGTTAATATCTTCGTTTGGATTTTGTTTCATTAGTTTTCGTTGCGCAAATCGTGCTTTACGTGAAATTCTGGTTAAGAAACATGTATCAGAATGCTTAAATTCGTACCTTGTCTAGTGGTCCATTCTGGGGGAAAATTGAATTTAGCGGGAAATGTTGAATTTTGGTCTGTTAGTAGGGTAAGTGAATAGAAGGTATACTCTTTTGCTACAGACTATCTTAAAGCGACAAAACGCTCCATTCCGTTTCGTTTCAGTCTTGGCGTCAAGTTTAAAAGAAATGCCGATTTTTTCATTCGATCCTTATTGGTCCAATCGCTCCCGGCCAGAGGGATATTAGACAAATGAGAGTCGGGTATGAAAATCTCCCCATTGTTGGTCGTTCTTTTGCCGACGTGGGCGTAAGAGAGCGCGAAGCGCCTTTTGGGGGTGAGGCCGCGTAGCGACCAGAGGACACAGCCCCCTTGTTACCGCACAATGCAAAATAGAGAATTTGCAGGTGTCTGAAATTTGATGAATCTCGTGTTTAAGTGGAAACTACCGAGTGAACTGAACACGAGGATACCCTTGGTTCATGAATTGAACAATTATTGGAGAAGATATGACAAAATGATCTAATCTGCTATATTACATGTGTTTAAATGGGCAATGCCGCCAGATGACGTCATTAGGCGGTGCATTCTATCACTTTTAAAGAAGACCAATCCACACAGGTCAGTCATTGCGCAGCTTTTTTGAAATCCACTCCCCCGCCCGGCCCCAACTCGCAGCACCCATTGTGACGTAGCATTGAGTGCTCCCATAAGAAATACATTGAAAGCACTCAATACTACGTCACTGCGCGGTAGAGTACCAAAACTCGTCCTCGGAAATGACTGACCTGTGTGGATTGGTCTTGCTTTTAAATTTATTTTTATATTAGTCTGTTTCCCGTATCAGAAAAAAACTACAAAAAATACCGTGAGATCAGCTCTTCAAGCACTTTTAGACGAAGCAATAAAAAATGTGCATGCCAATGGGCCTGTTGCAAACTTTTGCTATATCAAAACTAAGATTTGTTTCTTATAGATAATGCCTCAAAAATCACGATGAGCGCATTGTCGAAGTCTGAAACGCACTCATAACTTCACAATCTGCGTAAGAAATTTGCGGTTTTTTGAGCTTCCCGCTTCAAAAACGATACTACGGCACAGGTGAGCGTTTTGTTAGAGGAGGCGTTCCAGCGTCGGCAATATTCATCATGGCCGACGCCAGTTCGCCAAAACACGTATGATGAGACGAGATAACACCTGAACAGCATTAGACCTTATAACAATCGGCGTGTTTACGTTCATATTTTCCTCGCCCGCCTTGATTGACCCTGAACTCACCTCGAATCACGCGCGGAACTGCGGAAGCGTCGGTCATGATGAACATTGCCGACGATGGAACGACTCCTCCAACAAAATGTTCACCTGTGCCGTAGTATCGTTTTTGAAGCGGGAAGCTCAAAAAAACGCAAATTTCTTACGCAGATTGTGAAGTTATGAGTGCATTTCAGACTTTGCCAATGCGCCCATCGTGATTTTTGAGGCATCATCTGTAGGAAACAACTCTTATATTTGCTCTAGCAAAAGTTTGCAACAGGCCCATTCTCCATTGTCACTATTCAAGCCATCAAAAATGATGCCCAACACGAAAATCGAATCGCGTCCTTTTAGCGGGAACCGATTCCATTTGCATTTACTCAACGCGCTCCAACCCATCCGTCCCTCCCGCAAAATCGTGCACGGATTCGACAACCCCCCCCCCCCCCCCNCTCCTGTTGTGACGTCACCGACCGATGAAAGCAGCATCACCGGTCCACAACGAAATCCCGGTTTTCCGGGGGGATTTTGCAAAGCGCCCTCCCCCATCCCGCCCCCTCGCAACGCCACCGCGCATGCTCCCCCGCGGGGTTGCGGGGGGCCCGGGGGGTGGTGAGGGGAGGGGGGCCTGTAATGCGAGTTGTAGCGGGTTTCGGAGCGGGTGCTCAGTACCCTCATTTCACCCCCGGAATAACGAGTGCGTCCCCCGCTTTTTTTTCGATTTTCCTGATTTTCCGCCTCCCTCGTCTTTGTCCCTCGTCCGTCCGTCGTCTGTCCGTCGTCTTTGTCCTCTTGTCTGTCCGTCGTCTGCTGTGTCGTCAACGCGTGTCTGGTGCGTTGGAGAGTGTCCGCGGAAGGAGGTTGGGGGGTTGTTTTGGTTCGAGTTTGTGGTAGGTCATGAAACTTGGGGACGGATCCGCCGTCAGCTGCAGTGTTTTCGCGGTCGAGTTCGGGCCGCACGGGCTTCCGATTCGTTCGAATTTCCATCCACTCGGTCCAGTCGTCGGGCTTTCAAAGTGTGATCGACCGTAAACAGTGCGTCATAGAGATGTTTAATTTATTTACATGAATTTGAGCGGGTGCGCTGCGCATGTTCCCAATCGTGTTTTGATAAAGGAGATGTTGCACTGAAAAAAAAAATCTTTGTGTATTTACTAAGAAAAGGGTAAAATTACCAAGAATTCAAAGTTCTATTTGATCCCAGTTTTTTCTTGGTAAAATTACCATTTATGGAATACGTAATTTTACCGAGAAACTTCGGTAAAATTATTGAATTTTCTCGGCGATTTTACTGGACCTTGGTAACAACGCCAATATTTTTTATCGACTGTGGTAGAATTACCGCGATAAAATGGCAAAGTTACCGGGAATTGATTACCAATAAAAGTGGTATTCTTACCTGAAAAAAAAAACAGTAGAAATACCGGTTTTTAGGTAAGCTTACTAGTCTGTCTTGGTGAAATTACCAATAATTGGTTGAAAAGTGAGATGGTAAAGGTATCAATGGACCTTGGTAAAAACGCCGAGAATTTTTTTTCAGTGTGTGAGGGATTTGCAATTTGACCATTGTTTCTTATGTAAAAGTTCGCGAGAAACACGATGGTGCCACTGGTTTTCTGTGAAATCAACTCCCAAGCTCAAAAAAGCTCTCAAGTTGAGGCCAAAATGGATGGGATATCCCACCCTACTCTGAGAGTCCATCTCTTCATCAAGACACTCTCCATGCAAAGATAGGGAGCAAATACATTAGCAGTGATGCCGTGTTTTCAGTTTTGGAGTCGCCAAATGAAGTGGCAGCCCTGTCAATGTATTTGCTCCCTATCTTTGCATGGACAGTTTGTTTTGATGTAGAGGTGGACTCTCAGGGTAGGGTGGGATATCCCCTCCATTTTGGCCTCAACTCCAGAGCTTTTTTTGAGCTTGGGAGTTGATTTCAGAGAAAACCAGTGGCACCATCGTGTTTCTGGCGAACTTTTACAAAGGAATCAACAGTCTAATCGCAAATGCCTCACACATGCAACATCTCCATTGAATCCCTCAGCTTAAAAAAAACAAGAATCATCTCATCACCCTCCGGCCGAAGTATCACAAGCGCCATGCGACGTTTCAAAATTTCCGCCGCCATTTTATTTTTTTACGGAGAAATTTCTGATCGGATCGGTTTAAAAATTCCACTTAATTTTATCGGCAGCTTAAAGAAATTTCCGTGAAATTTTCGGGCAGCTTTGTTGAGGGATTTCTCTGTAAAAAAATAAAATGGTGGCGGAAATTTTTAAACGTCGGATGGCGCTTGTGATACTTTGGCCGGAAAGTGACGATCTATAGATTTTTGGATTCAGCCAAGGTGTTCCATTTGGATTATTAGAGAGGTACTCATTATTAGCACATAAAATTGGTACGACACCCCCGCTAAATCCAAAAATCTATTGTTAGTAATGTTGTTGCCAAAAAATCTAATAAATTAAATAATCATCAGACGGATTTTATCAAAATCATACTAATAGGACGGAAATCAACAGAATCAACCAGGCTCATACAGAATTTGCTCAATGTTTTCTAGTGTTTTATTAGCTTAAAAGAAAACCTGGTCACGTTCTGATTTGAAATCTTGCACGCAGGTATATTCCTCATATAACCATTGGAATATTACCGACAGTTCCAAGGTGTCATGTTGTTTAGTCCTCGATTGTAAAAATTAATATTGAAAAGAAACTAAGCTACGTGAAATGCAGTCAGGTCGTTTCTGGTTTGAGCCTTTCAATTGTTGATTGTTTGAACTCAAATTTTCTAATCCCAATGGGACGAGTTTATAAGCTTTCCCTGTTGCCTAATTGCCGTTCATATTTATTTTTCTAATTGAGAACTGAACTTTTTAACGCCTCCAAATTGTATGTAACACCTATTCCTTCTGATTAAGAAGAATACATTTTTAAGATTTCTAATCAGAATGCCCCTCAGTTTTGTGGGTATTAAGATCATAAAACACGAGAAAAAGTTAAGTAAATTCTGATAAAAATTTGTCTCCGTAAGGCGCGCAGTTGACCCGTTGTCGTAACAGTCCTTTATTTTATTTGTCTCTTAATCTCTGTAAATATCTCAATAAAATCTACTAAGGAAGGAGGTGTAGTATCAATCGCAGTGAATCAACATTTTCTTTAATAGGAAACTTGAATTAATCTAGAATGAGCGACTTATTCAAATAAAATTACACTCTAAATAATCCAAATGTCGTGTGAACACTAGGTTTGTGTTTGCTCGAAATTTCAGTTCTAAACTGACTTTTCACTGACGCCCATGAACTTTTTAGCAGGACCATCCATCGAATTGTGTTCAGAACAGTGTGATAGTCCTATGGGAACGTTTCTGTTCGTGTGAGTTGCCATGTGTTAATTTTGTCAAAAACACAAGCTTTGATAATCCTGGCATCGACTCTTTGACGAGAATTCACGATATCCCACGAAAACAGACCAGCAAAAGCACCAACAATTGCTGAGAATGTACTCAAATAAAATAAAGGAACAGATATAAAACGATTACTAAATATCCTCCTAAAAATTTGATAAAACCTAAAAAAATTTCTTATCTTTTTTTGTATTAAACGAACATCTAATAAAAAGAGTCGAAACTCGAATTTATCCCGTTTTATCGCAATTTATGCTGATTTTTGTCGATTTATTCCGATTTCTTGGAATTTAAATTTCCCGGGGCTGTTCAATGACGTTTTCTGGGTGGTCAATCAAACGACCAACGAGGAAGCAAATCGACACCGACGTACACACTAAAAACGGCGTACATTTTTTTTTTTATATCATATATAGAGTCCTATTATACTGAGAGTAAAGACAATGTGAATCTATTTCTGATTGGTTCCCGTATTTAAAGCCTTTACAGTGTCACATACGGGAATGAAGATTACATTTTCACCAATTGCAAAGATTATAAACTAGAATGGACCGGGGAATGGGGTGTACGACAAGGAACAAATTGAATGAGAGAGGGAACGTAGACAGGAATTCGGGAATGGGTTGATCAAAGATTGTAGCAAACGTCCGATTGCCGGCCAGGTTGGCCTAGTGGTTAGCGCGTCTGACTCTAGGTCAATAGGTCCCGGGTTCGAATCCCGGTGGTGGCGACAAATTTTCATGGAACTGACGAGTGGATCTGCAGAAACAGATTTCACCCGGCCTTAATCCCTGAAAATTTGAAAGCCTGGAGCATGGATGTGCCCAGATCCTATAGATGTCTAAGGACAATAAATANAAAAAAAAAAAAAAAAAAAAAAACGTCCGATTTGTGTAATCTTTATTCCCGTTTGTGACATCCACAAGCCGCGTTGTCTCAACTCTCTCTATAAAGGGACTCTAAATGGATTGCATTTTGCAAAAAGGAACCACTAGCATTGCAATGATGCTAAGATTGTGCAACTTCATCCTCTGCAATAAAATTGCGGAAATTGTGAAAAACTATGAAATTTAGATGGTAATTTTTGTCTTAAATTTACAGTTTTTAGCGAGTAAAATAGAAACTATTAAGGGATAATCGGGTTTTGCCTCCAAGACAAAAGAAGTTGCGCATAAGACAAAAGAAGTTGCACACAAGACAAAAGAAGTTGCACAATCTTAGCAACATTGGAATGCTAGTGGTTCCTTTTTGCAAAATGCAATCCAAATATAGTAAGATACGATGAATATTGAATTGAAAAAAGTCGAAACTAGAAGTTTGTTTTTTTCCGTAGCATAATCTACTATGTCAGTTCAATCATCCGGCCACTATCTCAGGTTTTAAGCTTCATTTTAAAAGACTGTCGCCATCGCTCCATGTAATGTGACACTTACCGGAAAATACCGCCATGAAAAACCAAAATTCGAGCGCAGAATGAGTTACAGCGCGTCAGAAACGCTTTCCTCGCCTCTTTTCGCCAGTGAGATTTTCCTTTGATTTTCCGGTGGACCCTTAAATCTTCGAATTTCGACCATGGATGAGCCGGAGATCCATTCCATCGGACTGACAACTACCTCTCTGCCGGCGAGTTATAGTAACTCCTCAGGTACTTAGTCACCCTTCCTGAATTTTGCAATGGACCACTAGACAAGGTACGAATTTCAGCATTCTGATACACGTTTCCTAAGTAAAATTTCACGTAAAATACGACGCGCACAACGAAAATTGCCGAAATCAACTCCTTACGAAGATATTTAATGATTCCTGATGCGTGAATTCAAACCACCCGCTCAGGAAAACTCAATGCTGTACGTGATTCACATCGCACGCTAAACATTATCATGACAGTCTCTGCGATATAAAAATCTGGCAACCTCCATCTTGACGCTTTGGCTCAGCTGTAGCAAATTGCTTATAGTTCGAACAACACATGGTGGTAAATGAACATTACTCGATTGAGAAGCTTGTTGAAACCGTTGTAGTGCGCGATTTGACTCTCGTAGAGCTTTGAGTTTCTTGTCAGCGGGTAGTTCAAATTCCTCGTGACCAATGTGAAATAAAAACGTTAATATCTTCGTTTGGGGTTTGTTTCAATAGTTTTCGTTGCGCGAATCGTAATCTACGTGAAATTTTGGTTAGGAAACGTGTATCAGAATGCTTAAATTCGTACCTTGTCTAGTGGTCCATTCCTCAATTTAAACATTTGCTAAATAACCGATTCCTGCCGGAGCACCTGGCCCCTCCAAGAATCGATACATTTCCATAGGTTTAAATAGAGAATAGACAATGTTGCCAATTTTCTGAATCCGCCGATGGATATCACACGGAGAAAAAACTTCGTGCGTGGGACCCGAAGTTGAGGTCGTATGGATCTCTGAAGTTTTCGGATCGCGCATCTAAAAACTTGAGGTCGAGCTGCTGAAGTTCGGGATGTATACCGAAGGGTTCGGCTCACACATCTGAACTCCGGCTTGCTGGAATACTTCAGACGTGTGACCCAACACTGGAAAAAAAAACACATTGGATCTAGAGTCCAGACTCTTGAAAACATTGACAAGAAAAAGGACTCTTGATTCAATCAGATTTAAGCTTAAATCAAAAGGAAATCCGCTCAAATTAAGAGGCTTGGTTCTTGATTTAAGCTTAAATCTGATTGAATCAAGAGTATTTTTTCTTGTCGATGTTTTTAAGAGTCTGGACTCTAGATCCAATGTGTTTTTTTTTTCCAGTGAAGCTTTGGCAGCTCGACCTCAAGTTTTCGGATGCGTGATCAGAAAACTTCAGAGATTATTTGACCTCAACTTCGGGTCCCATGCACGAAGTTTTTTTTCTCCGTGCACATTTGCAATTAGTGCAATTTAGTGGTCCATTAAAAGTATGCATACTTTTAATGGACCACTAAATTGCCATGTTATAGCGAAGAGAGCAGGAAGTGCAAAAATAAAGTTTTGAGAAAACGGGCTCAGAAGCTTCTGAGCAGAAAATTTTATCTAAAGAAGCCTCCATTTTTCGTCAAATTGCCACTAATCATCCGGAAGACTCCTAGAAATCGTTTGAAAGATTAAAAATCGACCGATTTTACTTCAATTACATGAAAAGGGTATTTTTCATTTTCGTTGTAAGCTAGTGTTAGGCAAGACAGCTGCAAGTGAAATCTTCTGCATGCTTTCGTGGTTGCGTTTTGGACACACAACAAACACATTTTCAGGTTAGAAATTGGCAGAGAAGGGTGGCACTTTACTTGAAAGCACTGTTTTCATTGGGTCACTCGAGGAATATTGTCACTTACTGCTGTCTTGCCTGAAAGTACGTCAATTTTTGCGCACTTACGGCTTTCTCATATGTCTCCTTTTGATACAATTAATATGAATTTTGCTGTTTTAGCTATTTCAGTGATTTCATCTAAAAGAGGTGAGACGAATTTTGAAGGAAACTCGATTTGGAAAATATGATACTTACTGCTCTTCTCGCTATCACGGCAGTGGACAAGGTACGAATTTAAGCATTCTGATACATGTTTCTGGATTAGAATTTCACGTAGAACACGATTCTTGCATTGAAAATTACTGAAATTGACTCCTAGTTAAGATATTAACGTTTTAATTTTACACTAGTTATCGGAAATTTAAAATGTCCGATCGTATAAGAAACGCAATAATCCATGTGAGTCAAATCGCGCCTTACAACAGTTTTGGCGGACTTCTCGCCAGCATTGTTCCTTTCCCTCCCTCTATTGTTCAAAGTGTAAACAATTCGCTGCGGCTGAGCCAAAGCGTCAATATTGAGGCTGTCAGACTTTCGTATCGCAGAGAATGTCATGGTAAAGTTCAGTGTGCGATTTGACTGTCGTATAGGCTACCTATTGTTCTGTCATGAGCGGGAGGTTTGAATTCACGCTTCAAGAAACATTAAATATCTTAGGAGTTAATTTCAGTCATTTTCTTGGCTCAAGTCGTGTTTCACGTGAAACTTTGGGTAGATAACATGTTTCAGAATTCCTAACTCCGTTCCTTGTCTAGTGGTCCATTGGACTTCATGTCACAAGGAAGGACCAATATTTCTGGCTCATTTTATGATTCACTCCTAAAATGGAACTCTTACACGTGTCAGGAATTCGCGACTTGAATACTGATTCCTGTGTAAAATTTCGTAAGAAACACGATGGTGCCACTGGTTTTTGCTGAAACAAATTTCAAAGCCCGAAGAAAGCTCTCAAAATTGAGGCCGTATTGGAGGGAATATCTCACGCTTTCCCGAGAGTCGACCTCTATATCAAGACAATCTCTCTATGCGAAGATAGAGAGCAAATACATTAACATGGTCGCCACTTTATTTGGGGACTCCATAACTGAAAACACGGCAACCCTGCTAATGCATTTGCTCCCTATCTTTGCATAGAGAGTTTGACTAGGTATCGACGGGGAAAGTCCGCAATCACATATCTCGTTTGCGATGTCTGAAAATCTCCGCCTCTATGTTATTTTTTAAAAGAAGAACAAATTGACACCATTCCTTGAAGTTTATGCAGAATTTTCTTCGCACAGAGAAGAAAAATCACGGCAATTTTAAAGAATTACCGTTGAGTAGTTTTCCGTTTAAAAAATAAAGTATGACAGGAAGTCCGCGACTTTGCAAACCGAGTCATTTGATTACCGACTTACGCCATCGATATGGAGGTGGACTCTCAGGGTAGCATGGATTATCTCCTTCATTACAGCCTCAACTTCGAGAGCTTTTTTGAGCTTTGGAGTTCGTTTTAGAAAAAACCGGTGGCACTATAACGTGTTTCTCGCGAAACTTTAAGTAAGTGAAAGTGCCTAAATCGCATATCCCTTACGTGTGCAAGAGCTCCATTTGAGACATATTTCGGTAAAAAGGCATATCGACGGTGAAATTACCAAACCACGTATCTCGGTTTGCGACGTCGCAGACTTCCTGTCATTCTTTGTTTTTTAAATGAAAAACTACTCAACGTCCAGTCTTGAAAATTTCTGTGATTTTTCCTCTTCGTGCGGAGAAAATTCTGTGAAAATTTCAAGGAATGATATTGATTTGGTCTACTTCAAAAAAATAAAATGCGAGCGTAGATTTTTAAACACCGCAAACGAGATACGTGGTTTGGTAGTTTCACCGTCGATATGTGACTTTCAATGCTACTTTTTTTTTGGATCCACATCTCGGGGTTAATCCCATCCCACCTATCCCACCTATAATAGTTACCCGACCTATGTCGTCAATTCTTTCGTTCACGATAACTGCCGTTAGATTTACGTTAGCTGAATCAAATTTTGTAATTTTGTCCATTTTGGTCTGATGAAGAACTGTATATATTTTCGATTAAATCGCATTTACCGATTTCTTATTAACGGTAATTAACGTAAGTGCCCTACCCCTACATACGCTGTATTCCACTAATCTGTTTTTATGAAAGTTCCATTCCTTGGTTTCCTTGGTAACCTTTGTTTGCTATCAGCTGATGTTTTATTTCAATTTGTTTTTTTTCATTTTTTCATTTTTTGTTTTTCTTTTTGTTAATAAATCATTGTTAGGTTAGTTTTAATTTTTTTGCCAGCATTTATTCTACCTCCTCCTCCCCCCCCCCCCAGCTCATTTTTCTAGCTCCATCACCCTCTCCTCTCAACTCATTTTTCTATCGATTTTATCATTTTTTTATGGCATGTCTTGCTCCCCTACCACCATTTTTTCGGGGTTATAGATATTTTAGCGGCCTTTAGACCCGTGACTGCAGTCACGGGCATTTCGCTAGTTAGTAAATAAGAAGCCGGAAAAGTAAATGCCTCAATTACGTTTTGCAAGTAACACCACGTAATCTCTATAGATTCTAGTAGTAAAAGAAAGCTTCATCAAGTCTGGGGGAGTTCTAAAAAAGTTAAGAATAACACAGACGTTGAAGGAGTGGTGAATAATACTTCTGTTCCAAACCTTGGTTTTCTGCGTTCATAGAAATCAAGAGCCTGTAGCTCTACCGATAAGAACGTCACGCAAAGCTTGTTCTGGAATCATTCCGTTAACTCTCTTTAAGGCGTTGGATACGTAACTTAACGGGCACCGAGACAGTGCTCGTTGCATACCTAGAAAAGTGCAGGCGTTTTGTACTTCTCGCAGCCTGTATATGTATAACGCCCTATCATGCCGCACGTATTCTAATCTAGTCGGACTGCGTGATTGGTGTGAAGGAACGAAGACCTTTGCATCTACCGAATATTGTAACTTCTTTTCTCTGACCATCTTACCGCCGCACATTGGATCGAGTCAATCAGAGAGGTCGGACCTAAAATTTTAAACAAAAACTGCGAATTTCTATGTCTAATTCGTCACATTTCCATTTTTAAGACGTGTGTTTCTGAAAGAGAATTTCACGAGAAAACCAATGGAACCACTTTCATGACCTCAGAGTTTTGTATGAATGGAGTTGTAAGCTTTTTAAAGTGTCCAAATTTTGTCCGACCTCTCCCATTGGCTCAATCCACTGTGCGCCGTGTCCAGAGAGAATGCTCTCCTTCATCTAGCCGTTTTCTAATTGCACTGTTAAAAATTTCGGAGTGGAATTCTGTGCCGGAGTCTAATACCGCCGTGCTAAGGAAAACCGCCGCATGAACCTTCAGACGTTGCCAAATTCCAATTTATTATACACGAGTATCCGGTAAATTTATAAATATTTTTCTTCCAATTTTTCAGATAATGTCGTTCGCAATTTCATCTAAAGTTCCTGAAAATTTCAAGGAAAAATATTCAGGGCTTTCCTCAAAAATAAACATGTTATCGAAGGATATTTGGCAACTCTCCACTGGTAAAAAAAAACCTCTTGGACCAATGCCGCGGTGCATTGACTTAAGAGAGCAGTTTCTTGTCGCTGGATTTAAGAGTCTTGAACTTCAAGCGGATTTTGCATTGATTCAAGCGGATTTTGCATTGAAACAAGAGTCCAGACTCTTAAATCCGACGACAAGAAACTGCACTCTTGAACCAAGAGGTTATTTTTTTTACCGGTGTCGAATGTTCATACGGCGTTCTTCCTTAGCACGAGGCAGTTGTAGTAGGTACCTTCTAAAGCAGATCACGATTTCCAATCATAATTAGGAAAATTTGTAGACGGGGCTTTTCTTTGGTCCGTCCAAGTTCCCTCACTTTTAGTGGTCTAAAGTTTGAACTGATGTTTAAAAAGTTTTTCAGCGCAAGATTTCGTAAAGTTCACCCCAAAGCTAGTTTGTTCATCATACTAACATTTCAATTTTATTTTTTCGAAAATGCAACTTATCTATATGTCACTATCATTGGATGCATCAATCATTGGACCCATATTTATGCTAAAAGACACTTTTTGAAAATGCACTTAATGAAAAGAAACACCGTGCATACAATTTACGTATGCTAGACAGTTCACTGTGATCTCATCTGTTGATGACACCATATGCTGTGTTTTTCGATGAAAATATAACTTCACGGAAAAAACGGTTTTAGGATCGGGTACTGCGGCGCAGGGCCCGGCCCCAAACCCGGGTAGGTGAAATTGCTTCACCTAAACCTCGGAGGGTCGGGCACAAGCTGAAGGTAGGGTCCAGCCCTACCTGCATATCGACGCCAAGCGTAAAAAATCCGTGCCCTCACATGGATTTGAACCCGCATCGCCGAGTTGGTAGACCAGCGCGGTACCGCCAGGCTACGAGGCCTCGATGGACGAGGTAGCGAATTTACGCCTCTTGAGTGCAATTCCCCCTCTCGGCATATCAATGACACCTAATCATACGGGCATCAGTCCTCAACTGGCGTTCAGCGAGAAATGACGGTATTCGCTACTCCTGCGCATGCGCGCGCATGCGCAGTAACTAAAACCTCAAAACCCAGTTGGTGGCAGCGTTCGCAACTAGCTCATGGAGTTCTCGTGCCTATAATCTGTAGGGACGTGAGCTACCTCTCACTGCCCTACCTCTAGTTAGGGCCCCATCCTAAACTCGTTTTTTCCGTGTTCGTTTAGGTACATATCGATGGTGAAACTGCCAAACCTCGTATCTGGATTTTTGTCGGTTTTGAGTTGGCTGCATGAATCAGTTGTAGATCTCCTTCATCTGCCATTAAAATATTTTTGACGAAAAAAATCGGAAAGTTACTTAAAAACGTAGTAAAAATATCACATATCTTAGTGCTAATTCGCAATTCACATATTTCGCTCTGCGCGCCGTCGCGAAGTTACCAATCGTACGCAGGAAAAATGGGAGCCTTTAGTTACGGAAAATCAAAAGATTCATCCGGTTCAGATATAACAAGGTGGGATTTTCTTGGAAGATAATCAAGTCCTGTGTAAAAACCCCCCTCGAGTCCTGATTTTGGACGCCGCATTTCCATCGGCAAACAGGGATAAGTTAGAGGTGAATGACCCCTTTTCACATGTGGGGAAAATCGGTCAAAAAATTGGTTAGTGTGTCATTATATCAAAACAACCCCCTAATATTCAAGGATCAATGACTTTCTGATCCATGATTTGAAATTACCAGTTATTACTTACTATCTTTACCTACATGCACTAAGGTGATTTCGACGGTTGCTGCCATTTTTTGTGTTAGAGAGACGTGCGATAAATCGCATCAATTCGTTCCATAATTTCAGCTACTTGTCATTTTTTTCGAATTTTGAGATCGCACTTCTTTAGTCTCATGACAACAGAAGTGCGATCTCAAAATTCGAAAAAAATGACAAGTAGCTGAAATTATAGAACGGATTGATGCGATATATCGCACGTCGCTCTGACACAAAAAATGGCAACCGTCGAATCACCTGAAACTATACTTTTCTTTGTTTAGGAATTAATGTCAGTAGGTCAGAGTTTATTCACCCCTCTGGTAGAAAGATAAAAAAGCACAAAATATTGGTAACGAAGGCTAAAACTATGATGCCAGCCTTTGTTACCTGTTTCTTGTGCACCCCTTACTCTGTTACATTTTGGACTGTTCGTTGTCATTGTTCCATCTGTTGCAATTGACGATATCATCAATTTTCACTCAATCAGAATGTTACAAATTTTCTCCGTCGTATTAATTTGCCACCAATGACCCAGAACCACACCACTGGCCAACCATAGCTCCTCAAGTGTGATCACTGTCATCTGAATTTGTTGGTATCGTAATCGTGTGATAATAAAACCAAGAGCCCCTCATCAATTTCAAGACGGAAAAGATCTTCTCGGTTCGTGACGATTTGGTGGATGGGCGTGGATGTTCCCTTGGACTTGAAGAAACTATTTTAACTCCCCGGAGATCAAATTGTATACTCAACCAATTGAAGGAGCTTCAAATGATCGCGGTGGTCGGTTGTCGAGTAATTAAAAGTTAGGGCTCTTCACGGCTTACCCTCTGGTCGGAAGTACGCTTCGATCTCGATGACTTGATTCGATTCAAATTAATAATAATAGAATAATTAATAAATAATAATAAATTAATAAAAATTAATAAATTAATAAATAAAAATAGAGCAAAGGCATTTTTGCCTTTGCTCGCATGTTGATTTTTGTTTTGGTTAGTGTTTATTTATCAATTCTAATCTTATGAATGAAGTCTGTGTCACTCTATTAAAGCTAGCCATCGAAGTATTGAGGCCAGGTGTTGTGATTGGCTTATTCGATGACTTGGACCAATTACAGCACTTAACCTTGACATTTTGATGGAGTATTTTGATAGTGTGACGCAGGCTTAACACGAAAAATGCGTTACTTCAATTGGCGTGGCTCACCGGTGATGGTGCTGCATACCCAAGAAAATGGAGGAACTTTGAGAGATTGCGATAATCTTCAACGAAGCAGTCAAATTTAGGGTGCTCTGCTCACAGAAGGAGAGTATGCCCTGGTAAAAATTGGCGATAAGAGCTGCGTTTCAAAATACCGTAGGAATTCTTATAGCCGGCTGAAGAAGGCTACAGAAAATCATACAGCTGGCTGTAGAATGCGGAGAAAGTCATACGGCCGGGCTATACGAAGCAATAAAAAATTATGCAGCCTTTACACTTCATCGCCTGGCTGTTGCCTTTTCGCCATCGATTATAAAAGACTATGAGAAATTGTGTAGAAATTCGTGTGCTTTGGAAATCATGAAGTTTGATACGGAACCACCTTAATATTTACAAAACACACGTTATATTTTCCTTTAATACATATTTTTTTTTCATCAATTAAAACGAGAATAATCCATAAAGGATGTGCAAACATTTCAAAATCATGAGTTGAACAACGCTGACTCCGCCAGATTAAATATTAGAGCCTAACACAAGGCGGAGCGGCGACGCACTGGCGCCTGCAAACCTAACAGGGATACTTCACGCATTGCGCAACGCTTGAAGTATCCCTGTTAGGTTTGTAGGCGCCAATGCGCTTTTCGCGCTGGCTGCCCGCCTGCCGCACCGCAGCGTGCCACGGCGGCGCTTGAAGCAACTATTTCACACCAGAGGTATTGCACAGTATCATACGAAACTGAAGGCGCTCCAATATATTAGGAATGGCAGGCATCCATCAAAAGTGCGGAGCTTTCCTCGCAAAATAAATCAAGATACTACGGCACAAAAAGAGAGCAGTGGTCCAAAAACTCACTGAGTCCTAGCATCCGTAATTAGTAACGTTTAGCAGACACTTTATCGCCTGGCTGTGAGTTGCTTAATCGCCATCGGCTATAAAAGGCTATAAAAAATTGTGTAGCCGGCTATAGAAGCTATTGGAAATCTTACAGCCGGCCGTAGGTCTATGGTATTTTGGAACACAGCTTCTACTTCCAATTTTTACCAGGGTGTCCATTTGTACGTCCCTTTTTCATTGATCGCAGAAAATACGTTGGTGTGTTACTGGCGGCTGCATTGGCGGATCCAGCAAATTGGCAACATTGTCTTTTCTCCATTAAAACTTGTGGAAATGTATCGATTCTGGGAGGGGCCAGGTGCTCTCATAAGAATCGATTATTTAGCATGGGTTTAAATGGAGGAAATCCGGTGTTGCCAAATCGCTGGATCTGCCTGTGGGCGGCCGTAAGTATACAAATGAGACGAGGACGTAAACCACAACCGTCAGTGGCGTGGCGTGCTTTTCGATCCATCGATATTTCCCCATTTGAAGCTGTGGTAAATAATCGATTATTAAAGTGTTCGCTGCGAACACCCTGTTTATCGATACTTTTCGATCGGTTTAAATGGCAGGTCGATCGATTCATCGCAAAGCTCGCCACGGTATTCTTTTCTCTCATTCGCTTCAAGGTGTTGAATAGGTAACGTATCGAGCACGCGAGCAGTGCTCATTGCATACACACTTAATTGCAGGCGTTTTATGTCTTCGGAAGTATTGTCACTTGTTTTAGCTCATGCGTAAGATCTTGTCTGTCTGTTCCCAGGTATCTCGAGCCTTGCAAGTTGCGCGTCCATCGAGAACTTTCCTGAACTGCCAACCCATGATGAAGAGAGACTTCAGCGGGCAGCCAAACTTCTCCAACAGAGATTTATTTTTCGACAGTGGCTGTCAAACATTGGACTCTTGCATCACCACCACCGGTGAGCAGCCTCATAAAATCTGGGACCGCTTTCATAGAATGATTTGTTTTAAAAAATTATTTCTAAACAGTAAAATTATATTTCGAGGTTTCAACTTCACAGAAATTTTGAGGTTTGAAAATGGCGGTAGTTTTTTTTTCTTTTCACATCGGAAATTTTTCTCTGAAATTTTATTTCGCGAAAATTGTTCTTCTCCGGAAAATGTGTACATGATGGGTATAATCAAGGTAATTTTTGGATTTAGCAGCCAAAAATACCTCAGTGAACACCCCTAAATACCTGAGACTTCCTTCCACGCTGAGTTTTCCTTACAATTTGGAACTATAAATTCTGGCCCGGTTTAACAACAACGTATGTGCCATTAGTTTCCCTATGCACATAAGTGTTTTTTTCAGATGAGCCAGAATTTATGGTTCCAAATTGCAAAATGCAGTCCAATTAGATCTAACTACCAAATTCGCCTCTTATCCAATTTTCATTTGTTTTTCGTCTAAAAGAGAGGGTATGTCCTTTCGTAATCGTCCACATAAATTATCCGCTCATCAGTTTTGTTGCTGAATTCAAAAATGGCCTCAATTCCTTTCCATCTTGTTTCAGTTTTTCGGAAATACGAATGACCCAAGAAATGACATCTTTTCCCGTGGGAAAAACTGAAAGAGTTTAAAGATTTGTCTGAAGCTTTGAATGTTGCTCAAATTTCAAATGCAAAATAGTTCTACATAATTCGTTTTTAAAGAGACTGAAGCGGTTTGGTGAGATGCCTTGTTAATTTGGAAAGTAATTAGTTAAATTTACCAACAAAGCGGCGTCTTAGGGACCGTTTTATAACACAATGAAGTCTTACGGCATGACAAAATTTTCCAGTGGTGATAATTTTATTTGTATCCTGTAACCATTGTTCTCAGTTTATTGCAAGAAGATGTAACTTCATTGGAGGACGTTTACTGGTTGGAGGACAATCGTGCAAAGCAGCTTTTGGGAAAAGATTTCACGAATTGGTCGAAGGCACGAGAGGCATTGCCGATAAATAAAGAGCACTTGGCTGAACTGAAATCAGAACTATGGAGCACTGTTGTGAAAAGCAGTCAGCATCAGGATGCTTGGACTTATGGTACATGCTTAATGCTTATTTTCAAAAATATCAATGGCTAAACTTAGGAACTGTGAATTTTGGTTTGAGACATTCAAAATTGTTTGTAGTTTTTTTCCCCCTGATTAAAGAATATTCTGCAAAAATTGAAAAAAAGTAAGATTTCTATCTCTTTGAAAAATAACAAAATAGTAGTAGAAATGTTCTACACCTGAATAGCAGTACATGGTTCTAAGTTCAGCCTTGTGTTTTGCCACATTTTTCTTTTTTTTTTTTTTTACAATCTACATAAATGAAAACACTAAGCACATTTCTATATACATAGGTTGTCCCAAAAGTACTGCACGTTTTTTTTTCTTTTGGACGAACGGTAGCAGATATCAAAATGCGGTTTGTGTAGTCTTAAAGACAGAGCAATTACCGATAAAACAACACAAATCTGAGCTCTCTAAGTCAAAAAATGACCAAGTTACAGGGTTTTGAAAATGGCTTCCAGAGGGGACCCCTACGGAAATTTTAGCTTCTTTTCTGGAAAAAAACAAAGATTTAAAGATTCAAGATCAATTGGTTTTATTAAATCAATTGTACACAATCTTACCAAGATTACTGGCATTTAATCCTCTTCACTTGACGACTGGACACTGGTTTCCCTCTCAAAATACCTTCCATCGCTTGCCACACAGCGCTGCAACCGTTCTTCCCACTTCTTCAAACATGTTTTTTTTTTTCGAATTCTTCTTGCCTGATGTTCTTCAAGAAAGTTTCAACAGCTCTTTTTATCTCGTTGATGGAGTTCAATTTCCTGCCTCTTAAGCCCTTTTTCAGCGTAGGGAATAACCAAAAATCGCAGGGTGCAAGGTCTGGGCTGATATCATGTTGCCAACTTTCATTCGATCGCGATGATTTCTCTGTAGAATTTTTGATTAATCAAATCTTTGTTTTTTCCAGAAAAGAAGGTAAAAATCTCGGAGGGGTCACCTCTACAAGTCATTTTCAAAACACTGTAACTTGGTCATTTTTTGACCTAGAGAGCTCGGATTTGTGTTGTTTTATCGGTAATTGCTCTGTCTTTAAGACTACATAAACCGCATTTTGATATCTGCTACCGTTCGTCTAAAAAAAAAAACAATCAACTCTTTGTTTTTTTCCCGGAAAAGAAGCTAAAATTTCCGTAGGGGTCCCCTCTGGAAGCCATTTTCAAAACTCTGTAACTTGGTCATTTTTTGACTTTGAGAGCTCGGATTTGTGTTGTTTTATCGGTAATTGCTCTGTCTTTAAGACTACACAAACCGCATTTTGATATTAGCTACCGTTCGTCCAAAAAAAAAAAACGTGCAGTACTTTTGGGACAACCTATCCTTTTATCCTCTTTTTAAAGATAGTCTTCAGTATGATTTTTATCCTGATATGCTGCATACTTTTTGATTCAGGTGGCATGTTAGTGGTATCAGTGAGTATTGCAGGGCTTGTGACCCTTGCTGCCATGACGCAGCCGTCACTAGCCCCTCAAGCAAAACACTCCCTTCTCCAATATGTCACTGGCAAGTACTTGCTTCCAACAAACTGCAGAGTTACTTTCGAGTGGACAGACCCGCATATAGTCGGAAAAACAATGACATTTGTGGTTCATGTGAGTGTTCTCCTCTTACCCTTCTTTGAATCCAAGTAACTAGCTTCTAATTTCATAGTTCCATTCAGCTTCTCTTAAAGTATCTTGAGTGTTAAAATTAAAAATGATAACCCCAAGCGGTTTAGATTTAATGTAATTTGAGAGTTGTTACAAGAATTCAAGTCATATGACAACCAGGAAAACAAGGGTGATAGACTGTAATTAAGTATGAAATGAAAAAATAAGCCAAAGGAAGTAAGTATTTCAGTCAGACTCAAAGATGATAAACTTCCAAAACTCATACTGGCAAAATTGAATTTTATTTAGTGAGTTTTGAGTTTATCATTGCGTATTAAAGTACTTTTTTTTGTTGTCAACTCATTAATTTAAGTATTGCCATGAAGATTGCCGTAGCAATATGCTGTATATTTGCTGTAAAGATTTGTTTCAATTACTTGGATGGATTCTCCAATCCGCGACGATTGAGGTCTCATTTTGAAGTCTCTCTAAGAGCTCAGAAACGGATTCTGCATAAAACTTGGATATTTCCTAAAAAAATTTATGTTGGCTTAATTGGTTAAGTACGTCAATCACAGGATTTTACAAGAGCTTTTAAATTGTTATTAAAAGTCTGATTAATTGTAGATAATTTAAATTTACAAATATTTGTTTATTGTCTACAGTTTTACCAAAGAAACGGGCAACCGTATCCAATATGTGATAAAGACAACCTGTGCATCGAGGTGAGTGAAGGACCTCGTCGAGTTGCAACCCTTATCGAACTGGGAGGTCGAGAACCAAGCAGCGCAAACTTAGCAGTCGTGAAGTTCACAGTAAGGCATGCGGGTCAATACAGAATCCTCGTACTCATTGGAAATATTCATGTCCAAGGCAGTCCTTTCTACAGAACTTTTTTGCCAGGTAAAAAGACAAACCACTCGATCTTCAAGGAACTTTTTTCCCTTAAAAAAAACGCAAAAACATTACCGCAGCTGCATATTCTAAGAAAATAAGAATTAATAACATTCTTTTTACTCATTGCCGCATTAAAGCTTGTTGTCTTTTCAAAATGCACAACAAAATCGTTTAAATGACTTTACTTGCATGCCTCTAGCATGCCCATGTTTTTGCTGGAAATTTAGAGGTTTGTTATTTTAAAAATTCCTGATTAAAAAGGCAAGTGGATGTGTAAAAGAAACCAAAAAATGGAAGAATGATCAGAATGATGAAAGTCAGATTTTTTCTCCGAGAAGTCTCAAAACTTTAAGCATTTTGAAAAAGAAAATCCTCACAATATTCTTGATTTTTTAAGGTCCTCCGGATCCTTTGAAAACTGGATTTGTCCGTCAAAGTTCAACTGTGATCTGCACTGCAAAATTAGCCCAAATCCTTTCCATAGAACCTCGCGATGAATTCAGCAACCTTTGTCAATTCTCTGATGTTGACGATCCAGCAAAAGGCTATGTTGCCGAAATTTCACAGGTTTGCAATATTTTCTGTAGACACAATTTTGGAAACAGCCTTATCAAAAGTACCTAATTAAGATTATTATCAGGGAGAATTCTATTCAAACTTAATCGTACCAAATTATCTTGAAACTATCAAAACTAAAATAAATATCTATTTTTTTTGCTGTTATGTTGGAAGATAGTCTAGTGACTAGATTTGTGAAAAGGGACTTCTTCCGGGAGATAATTTTCCTTAACTTTTTGTAAATGCATGGGAGAAGAAAATTTGGAGATTTTGGTGCAAGTTTGACCTCAAAATCTCAAAAATTAAAGGAGATATGAGCCCTGAAGCTCTAAGACAAAAATTCTCAGGTTGTAGAAAAAAGTCGTACAAGTTTTCGCAAAAAGTAAAGGAAAATTTTCTCCTGGAAAATGAAGTCCCTTTTCACAGATCTAATCGGTAATCACAAATTCAATTAAACCCTTGCAGTTTTTCTTGTAAATAAATTTCAATTGCTCTTTAAAGTATTCATTTAGCATGTATTTGCAAATTTTCATTTTTCAACTGCAGGCTAAGTTTCCTCTGCATACATTGTCCATTAACTTTTTTTCACTACCGTCTCTCTTGTTTGTATTTTGTTTCACCCATTGCTTTATTTGAGCTGTCACACTAATTAATTAATTTGTTTTTCTATTTTATTAACAGCAAGGCTCAAAGCCATTCCCTGTAATTTGGAAGTTTGAATATGATAAATCTAGTCTTAATATAAAGTTTGAAGTTTTATTTCTCCAAGAAGGCATTTACCAGGTGAAAGTTTTGTACCAAGGCGAACCTTTGCATAATGGAGAATTCGACTGTATTGTTTTGAATGGTATGTAGCTTTTTGTACTTCAAATCCAGACTTTATTCAATTCGTGAGCTAGGATATTCTCTAGTTCACAAATATTATCTTTAGCAGCCGTTTCTAAGTGACTGCACAAATTAAATTTCTATTTTTGAATGCTATATTCCCTGAAGCCTTTCAGGACATGGAGCGTGCTGGGGAACTAATCAAGAGCCAATTCTGAAAATTTTAATGCTAAAAAGTGAATATCCAAGCACATTAACCCAACTGTTCTATCAAAAAAAATGGCAGTATTTTGAGACTGGCCAAGGAGCAAAGTTCCTCTTCTTTGGAGGGTAGGTAAAGAGCACAACAATATGAGAACTTGGAAGCAGTAATGCATTTGAAGGGATTGGAGGACAAGGGGCATAAGTGGAGTTTTTGAAAAAATTGAGACATTAATAATTTCCAGTAAAACTAGTCTTGATGCACATTCTGTGAAAAATTAGTTTCTAAATTCCAATTTTCATGCATCAAAAAGTCTGCAGTTTGAACTTTCTTTCCACTCTAAGGATGCATGTAATTTTGAAACTTCAAATACGTATTTCTCAAAGTATCAAAAACTGCACTTATGTGCCTTGTCTTCCAAGCTTTACATTTGTTGTTTGGAATGAAAATAATTCGTTGCATTGTTTAGATTTCCTTGAAGAGGGACTGGTAGGGCTATCACATCCTCGAAAAACTTCTTCAAAATGTGTAATATTTCTTTTTTGGCCTAGGTTTTCTGTAAATCAGCACCAAGCCTATTTTATTAGGAAGGACTGTAAGAAGATTATATCTGAAAGTAGCCAAATGATGGCCTAGTGTAAACTGACGATTTTACAGGACAAAGAAAAAACTTCCCCATTTTTGTAATTCTGAGGTTTTACCCTCTTACTTTATAATCTTGATCCAAACATCTATAAAATTATAGCAAATTTCCTGAAAAATAATATTATTAACCTTTAAGTCCAGAAACTCCCTCAACAAAATGAGAAACCCTTAGTAACCATTAAAATATCTACCTTCAACAATCTTCCTACCCTTATGTACACTTGGAATGTTTTCCAGGACCCAGTCTGTTTGGTTTCAAGTCGTCCTGATGGGTCTCGGGACGTGAAACGGTGTTGGTTTCTTTGTCTTCAAAATTTGCAAGCCTCCTTTTATCCGACCTATTCCCAAAACATCAGCTTTTCTCTAAAGTATGATTTCAGATATAACCATCTAATACTACTTCTGCCTATAGTTGGCTGTAGACCTCTAAGAAGGGGTATAAGCCATTATATCTGCAAAAAAAAAAAATTCTGAGGTTAGGTTTGCAATTTTTTTAAACATCACAGCACTCCCACGTGAAATTAGAAAAGACTAAAAACATCAGCTTGTGAATTTTATACTTTATAATAGCAAAGTCGCCAACTCATTTCTGCCAAAATCGTCAGTCAAGTGGTATTGTTTCGTAGCCCTGTATTGAAACACAAACACACACAATTTACACACATTCTAGACAGGTAGGGTAAATGTGGTAGGTTCTACCCTAAAGTCGTGAATTACCATTTTAGTGTCTCTATTACTCTCTTTAATCCTCACTTACTTTTTTCTGATAGTGGCTGACGCAGCATTGGTTCGTAAAAACGTAAGCGACCATAATACATGTTACGAGGCAAGGCTGTTGAAGTTCCAGGGTGAAACTTTGCTGAAACCAAAGAAAGTTGTTGTGTATATATCTCCCAAGCAGCTTACAATCAAGGAGTTCCTCCTCAAGTTCATCCCGAAAAGACTCGTCACTTTTCGGTTGTGCCCCTCGACCAAGGTAAATGTTTAATGATCATGTGGTAGTCAGGAAATTCATCGTTAACGATATGATTGAACCTCCACATTATTGCGTAGGTTTTAAGGCTGTCAGAGTCAAGGACACTGACTGAAAGTACACTAATATCTTATGTGTAAGTTGAATTTGGAGGTTGTTATTTTTCCGCTGTGTTCTACGCAACATTTTGATGAGGTAATGTTTGAAGTGGCACCTAATTTCTCAAAATGCCAGAATTGTTTTCTCTTTTTAGGATATGGAGCAATTCAAGTAGGAAACAATCCTTATATCCAAAGCAGGGCAAGGAAGTTTAAGTCTTGAGCAGAAAAGTTGAGTCAAAATACATCAACCAAGAATCATGACGCAAAAGCAACGATTATTTTAAACCCTTCTTTTGCTAAGAAAAATAGGATTTTTCAAAAGAATTCTGAAAGTCAGTAAGTTGGAATTTTTTAGCCACCGTGCATTAGTAATCCAGAAAACTAGCAATCTCAATGCAGAGGGAAAAAGCTCCTTTTAACACAATTTACTCTCAATAAGATACGCTGTTTGGAGCAACACTAGTTACGATCATTCAGGAAGGCAACTGCAGACGCGTTTCGGGTCTAAGCGGACCCATCATCAGTGCAGCGCAGTGAAACGCGTTCGCAGTTGCCTTCCAGAATGGTTGTAACTAGTGTTGCACCAAACAGCATAGCTCTTTGAGGGAAAATTGTGTTCGAATGAGCTTTTTCCCTCTGCATTGAGATTTCCAGTTTTCTGGATTATTAACGTATGTTGGCTAAAAATTCCAACTTCCTGTCTAAACGACTTGTGCGTCTACCGCAATCAGTTCGTGAATTCTGAAAGTACTTCCTAAGTGGATATTGAAAATCGAACCACAAAATAATTTACAATATTTTCGGGAGACATACTTCTAGAGATTTTTCAAAGTGTTTGAGGTCAAATCTTGTGTTAGAGTACCTGAAAAACTCTGGCCTGACCTAATGTAGCCGCCAATTATTTTTCAACACATGACTGAAACTCCAGATATTATCAATTAATTGGTAGACCATTGAATCGTTCCTTACAGTGCTATAGAAAAGCCTTGAACAAAAACTGACAGAGACTTTTAAAAAGAACAGCTCACTATGCATATTTTGACATCTTTTTTTTTCAGTTCCATTTTCAAAACGAAAGTAATCAGACCTCATTGCCTGTCTTCTCAATTGATGACGGCTGCCAGCCAGAAGTTGAGCTAATGTCCAAAGACCGAAATGTCATCGCAGCTTCCTTTACTTACTTCCTTCTAAAAAATATAGGTAGGTAGCATTAATGATCGCCTGCAGTACGACTAACTTATTTTGGCTGAACATCAATATCCTATCACAACACCTTCAAGATAATTCAGACTGAATTGACCACATTTCCATTGATACTATAGATTCATCATAGCCATTTTAAAATACATGATAATGAGAACTTCATTTCATTAGTTTTTACAATTCTCGTCAAGTAAAGATTTTGAAAAGTTGTGAAGACAAATATATTTTAGTAATGGCATTTTTGCTTTCAGTGTAGGTACTAAGTGAAAAAAAGAGCAGGGAACGTTGAGACTAATTAAGTTCATGTATGGAAATATTTATCCTTTTTCTACGCAAGTTGTTTAATTGTTAACTGAATAAGTCATGACATTAAGTAGTCTATATTTGTGTATAATGCAATGATAGTCGCAGATCATCATTTCAGAGCGGTTTTCTTAAATTTCATTTTTTAGGTAGATCCTCAACACTTATTTCTGAATTTTCAATGCAATTTTAATGGTTTGTGATCTATTTTCAGGTGGGTCAGAAACATTTAAGGATAAACAAGAATTTTTTTACCATGAAGTTCGGCGGTATCATCACAAACACTACCACGAAAAGTTGCTAATGAAAGTCAACAGACACAAACTATTAGAATCAGTGAGTCTATTCTCTTCTACTTACGTTCTGTTTTTTAAAGTCACCTCCAGTTATCTAGTAAATTTTCAGATATGAAAAATACTTGAATTTACAGAAGAAGGAAGAAATTTTGTGAAATTTGATCGTTTATTCTCAATAAATCTCAACAAGAATAAGATCATCCCACTTATTTTGTTGCTAGATATTTCTTTGCAATGTTTGTCACGTTGAGAATTGTAGGAAAACTAACATTTCAAAGAGACAAATTATTAATAAGAATATATGGCAGTTAGTTTTCTTTCAGTCAAATAGGCGGCTTGCTGTTTGCTTCAAATAGCATGTCCTTCAGTGGATAATTGAAATAGCCTGGTCCAAATCTCGTCTTGTAATTAGTGGAAATGTCTTCTTGGGGGGAATTTTACAAGATCATTAAGATAACCTTATTATTATACACATACTGTGCAGGTTTCTTTCATTCTAAAATAGTTCAACAACAGCTACGTTTCAGAATATTTTGACCAATTCTTTTTGAAATAATGCAAAATTTTTAGTAGACAATCATTTGAAAGATTAAGTGTTTCCTTTCAAATGTTGTAAAACCTGATCTCAGTCTCCGCAATCTATCGATGGGTGCATTCCTTTTTTGGACTTGACACCTCATCATCGGAACACACATATATTACGAATGTATCAGACCAGCACATATTTATCAAAACAGCAAAACAAAAGCATCCATGTATTCCCTTTTGAGACTGGACTACTCATCATGGAAGGACTGATACATTTTGAATTTTGGATACATTATATATGCAAATTCATCAAGACCAAAGCAGCAAAATAAAAGCTTCCAAGAAAAAAATTGTAGCCAAACATTTAATACTTTAAATTTTTGCATTTTCATGTCTAACATTGTTTTCTTTCCCTTTATTTCCAGTCCATCAAAGCCACCAAGGGTTTCTCCGTCGCAGATTGGTGCAGGAACTTTGAAATAGACTTTCAAGGAGAGCAAGGCATTGACTGGGGTGGACTTCGTAGAGAGTGGTTCCAGCTTATTTGTGCAGCACTATTTGAACCAAAGAATCAGCTGTTCAAAGGGTTTTCTGACAGTCTAGATAAGCAGGTATGTGGCCATGCATACTTATGTCATGCTTAGAGACCCCAGAAATTCGTTCAGGTGATTCACGCAAATTTTCAAAAAGTCGTTCTCAAGCACTTGGACCAAGCTCGGAGGTATCATGGAGTTCTGTTGATTTCGAATAAGTAATCGAGAATTTCGCAAATTTCGGCATTTTGCGCGAATTCGTCAATTTCGAAGTAATTTGCGCTGTAGTTGGAAAATTCGCGGATAGATGATCTCTATCATGTTCGGAGCCGCTGATCATTCTAGTGGGCGGGATGCAGGAAACTTCGTGAAACCCTGCCGTCGACCAATTGTAGATTTGTGCTTCATATTGCATTAAACTACCGGCACTGCCAACCACGTTTTTCAAATTTCAAATGATAAATGGAAAGAAAACACATTTTTAGCCAGACTTTGGAAGTTAGTAGCGAAAATTTTTGTATTTTCAGTAAGAATTCTAGGATTTTCAGTGAGAATTATAGGATTTTAGCAAGAATTTGAGAAATGCGGTAAAATTTAAGCAAGAATTTGGCAGATTTTAGCGACAATTTTGGGATTTTTACCCAGAATTAGGGTCATTTTAAATAATGAGAAAATGAGGTCTGTAGCTCATGCTATGCATCGTACCCACCTCCCCCCCTTTTTTGTGAACTTTGGGTCAGTGCACCCATTATTTTATTCATTTTTGAAGGTACACAGTGAACTAAGATTTTAGGAGTTTTTTTTCAAATTTTTTTTTTACCCTAAATGACAAAGGGATCCCATTTTGAAATGATAATTCTCGTGGGCTTCAATGACAGAGCTAGGGAGCAGAAGCGACGTTTGCTGATCGGTTGAATTCAGTTTCATGCATTCCCTCTCTATGTCAACTCGACTGTTGTGTTATGATTGGCTTTTTCTCCCCTTAGAAACTTTTTTTTGAACTTTTTAATGAGGTTTTTGTTTTTTTACAAAATTTTGTGTAAGACAAACTGTACCGCAACCTTGCAAAATTTCCTTACCACTGCCCCATTGGTGTATTTTGCCAACATCTTCACAAAATGTATCAAAATGGAAAAGTGCTGTACACATTAGCACTCAGTATACCAATTTTGCATCATGACATGCACCGATCATGTCGAACTCGGTGGCAATTTTGCAAGATGACAACATTGTGTTTCCTCCATGTAAACCCATTAAAAATACAGATTTCAGGCTAGGCAAGCTATCTTATCTAGAATTTATTGTTTTACACACATTTAAATGGAAGGAAATCAGTGTTGCCAACTTTCAAGAATCGCTAATGATTGAATTATACCTCCTCCCTCCTCCGCCCTTTGCGGCTACTCTGCCCAACCTATGGGGCGCTGCGCGCCCCCAAGGCCTGCTTCGCGGCCAGTGGAATCGTCGAAATTGCCTGTTGGCGGTTAATGAGTAAATAATTTTAATTGAATAACAAACCGATGTTTCAAAGAAAAATTTCCCGCCTAGCAATATTCTTAATGACTTTTTCCTTACTCTGAATTTGGATTCCTTCTTTAGGATTCGACCTTTGGACCGTCTTGTTGTCCTTCTTCATCCTGTCCATCGAGCGTTTTAAAAATGATTTTATTAGAATAGAGAGGATACTAATGTACAGCGTGCTAGTATCTAAAGGCACAGAGAGACCATGAAGCTACATTGCATCTGTGTGAGTGAGTAAGTTATTGCAGCAATTTTGACTGGAAGAGGTTCATGTGGATCTAATCCACGAAGAAGTGATAAGTAAACGTTTTTTGAAAGTATTTAATAAATATGCAGTCACTGAAGAATGGATTATTTTTATTTATACAGATTGGTACATGAGACAATGGTACATGGCTATTATACAGGTCATGCATACAATGAAAACAATAAGAAATAGAAAGCAATCAGAAACGGTGTCTACAGGTTGAGGAATTCCTCCTCAGTTTTGGCGGTTTTTGCAGCTAAAAGGCTCATAAGTGAGTTTAGGAATGCAGTAATATTTCCCAGTTTGAAAAACTCCTTAACGTTGCTTGACAGTGCGTTGAAAAGTTGCGTTGCAGCAATTTTGATATTATTTCTTGACTTTTTTAGACGGTGTTTAGGAACTTCAATAAAATCATGCCTGCTGTTGTAAGTGGGGAGGGGTTAAGTTTTCCGGCTTTATCAAGTTGTTAAAAATAGCGAATTTTAGACATTCGTAGATATGTAATGAGGGCAGAGTTAGAGTTATGGTAACTCCCAAATCCAGTTCTTTTCAGGCCTTTCCCACAGTTTTGCCGCATGCCTACTTTTAATTCATGTGTTTTCTCTGTTTTAGGCTTTAGTTCATCCGAACACCAAGAGACCTCCTCATCTGAAACTAAAGCATTATGAATTTGCGGGGCGCGTGGTCGGCAAATGTCTGTACGAGTCAGCCCTTGGTGGCGGCTATCGTCAGTTGGTGAAAGCAAGATTTACCAGATCGTTTTTAGCCCAGTTGATCGGCCTTAGAGTCCATTATAAGGTACAATCCATTTATTCCCATTGGTATCTTTTTTTTTTCAATCTAATTTGGACCAAGTTCATCAGATAGGAACCAAGCCACATGAAGTTGAAATTGAGAAAAAGAGATTTGAAGTCTTATTCCTGCATAAGGCTCGATCTAAAAAATAAACTTTAACCCCTCTTTTCACAGAAAATGTTTTGTTTTTAAACTTTCAATTTTTGGCAGGAGAAAATATACAGCTAATGAAACTAAAAAACATTCTCAACTCAATTTTTTCGAAAATGTGGGTCCGTTCCTTTCCGATAAACTCGGTCCATCTTTGACTTTTAAGATTCAGGCTTTCTCTCTGAAACATAATATTAATGCTTTGAAAGAGCCTCATTAAAGAGATTTCAGCTTTTAATTCAGTAAGTAAGGCCGGGCTGACCGGCGAGGCGCCTTTTAGGGGCCAAGGCAACTGGCAACTGCCGTTGTGCACCCCGTAGTTGGACCGTGCTCCTTAACCTCATGCCATTGACACATTGTGTATCCTCTATATTCCTGCAAGGCTCAGCAGCCATCTGATAGCCAATGGTAGGTCTTATCAAAGACTGTGGCAGACGCTGCTTTTAATTTATTGTCCTATTATTTCTCTACCAAATGTGTCTAGCTTCGGTATTTAATTTGACAAAAAATAGTAAGTTTAGATGCTTTTTCATAGACCAGACAAGGTAAGATTTATGCATTCTGATACATGTATCCTAACTGAAATTTCGCATAGAACACAATTCTTGCAGTAAAAATTACTGAAATCAACTCCTGAGTATGATATTAATATTTCTAGATTACATTGATCATGGAATTTTTGAAATCCCCACTCAGAAGAAAAACAAATTTGAATCATACCGCATACTACAACGGTTTAGGCAGGCTTCTAAATCGAGCTGCGTAACTTCCTTGCCTTGTGTTGTTTAAAGTGGTAACAATGTACAGTAGCTTAGCCGAAGCACCGTGATTGAGGTTGCCATTATTTTTATACCACAGAGGTTGTTACGGTGATGTTTAGTGGGCCATTTGACTCTCTTAGACATTTGTTTTTTCATAAGTGGCAGTTTTGAATTAATGCACCAAAAACGTTTAAAATCTTAATCATGAGTCAATTTCGGTCATTCTTGCTGCGTGATGCGTGTTTACCTTGAAATTTTGAAAAGTTTACATTTATTAGATTGCTTCAATTTGCACTTTGACTAGTGGTCCATTGCTCTAAAACTCATCCAATGATGCTAAAAATTGAGGTTGAATAAATAGAATCCACTAATTTAAAGTTCTATAATGAACTATAATCCACTTATGTCCTTTTAAGTTTTAATTTACCAAAAAATTATTCACTGGACAGCAGTGCTCTCCCTTGATGGAAGCATATATTTTCGAATTTTTGCTTTTAATCCATCTCTGAAGAATGTTACTCCTAAATTTTACCAATTTTTTTCTTGATTGTTCGCAGTATTTTGAACAAGATGACCCAGATTTGTACCTGACAAAGGTGAAATATATTCTCGAGCATGATGTAAATGACATGGACCTGTATTTTACGGAAGAGGACTATGACCAGTCGGGACAACTAGTCCAAGTAGGTTACCCTCTTGTTTGTTTCTATTTCATAATCAACAGCCTTTCGAATGAAACATTTTTGATTTTTAGTCTTGATTTCATTGAAACTCTATCATCTGAAAGCAAGGCTTTGATAACAGTTTTGGCTCCTCAAAGGTCAAGAGCAAGTAATAAACAATCTTAGGGGTTAATGGCACCCATTTTTCAAATACATTTTCAGAACGTCAGTGGTGAACTGAGCTTCTAGGAATTTCAATGGAATTTTTTAACCCGAAACAACAAAGAAACCCGCATTGTAAATTTAAAAAATGGGACCCATTTGTGACGATATTTCTGTGTACGTTTGACTTTCATGATGTAGGCAAGCAGGGGAAACGGTGTTTGCTAATTGGCTGATCTTAGCCTGCTACGTCAACTCAACTGTTGGCTTCTGATTGGTCGGAATTCGATTAGTTTTTCTCCCCTTAGAAACATTTTACTTAACTATTTTATAAAGTTTTTGGTTTTTTCAAGGAATTTAACTTACAACTTGCAAAAATTCTTGCCATTGCCCCACTCCAGTGAGGTTCTCCCCATTTCTAAGAGAAAAAACTTTCGCACGAAGGTTCCTAAAAATTTGTGTTTAAAACATATTTTTTCAGCAAGATTTGATAAAGAAATGATCAAGTGCAAACAGCAAATGTGCACAATTTTCGGCACAACAAGAGACTTTCCTGCCTCAGAAACCTCATCTCCCGATTCAACTTCAAAAGAAGTTCTATCATACATTTTTTAGAATCTTTACGATTCAGCGCTTATGTCAAAATTTGAATAGCTTCATTTTGCCTAGCAACTTGAATCCTCCTCAAAGAAAGCTTTGGAGCACCTCAAAGAGAGTAAATAAATTTCATTTCTTGTATCTTTCAATTTTTCCTTCAATCTACTGATACTTTCCTTCCTTTGTTTTTTGAAACAGATTGTTGAGCTGATTCCCAACGGAAGTAAGATTCGAGTCACCAACCTCACAAAACATCAATATTTAGATGCGCTTGCTCAATATCGCCTCGCAACACGACCAAAGGAAGAGATAGAATGCTTTTTGCGCGGTCTGAATGACTTGATCCCTGATAACCTCCTCAGTATTTTTGACGAGAATGAACTTGAGGTAAAATAATTAGCTAAAACCTACTAATAATTATTGTCAGTGGCGTGGCGTGCTCGGCGATATATCAATTGATCTGCCATTTAAACCTATGGAAAAGAATCGATGAACAGGGTGTTCGCAACGAACACCTTAATAATCGATTCTTTACCATAGCTTCGAATGGGGAACTATCGAGAATCGATTATTCACGCCTCGCCACTGATAATTGTGTAATGTGTACTTCGAAATTTGCGATCCTTCAGCACATGCACGGGTCATTGAAACTATATTACCGGTGAAACTGAAGGAATGCATTTCTCGGTTTAAAATGCTGCAGACTTTCTGTCATAATTTAGTTTCTGAATGGAAAAATACTCAACTTTACTCCTTGAAAACTTCCGTAAATTTTCCTCTGTGGGTGAAAAATAATCCATGAAAATTTCAAGCAATAGCGTTGGTTTGCTCTCTTTTGATAAAATTTTTAAACAAGGTACACTCTTACAGGTATGGACAAATGGAATTTTAGAAAGTCGTCGAAACGCATACATTTGGCAGCATTTAATGGTACGACTGCGACGCCATATTGAAAACTTATTTACTTTCTGTTTTAAGAGTGGGTCTCGTCAATTTCGTGTTATTTTTTCATGTTCGTAAATGAGGTTCTCGTTATTTTGAGTTCTATCAATTTTTTAAATTCATCTGATGACTTATCGAAGCTAACGGATCTACCAGAGCCTCATTTTGAACTGTGCGGCAAAGATGGTACGACTTACGACGTCACTCGATGGCCTATAATCTCAGCGCTGCCACTTCAGCACCCCGTTTGTCTATACCTGTAGTAGAGTGTACTTTGATTTTTAAAAGGAAAGCAGAGATTTTGAAACACCGCAAACGTGATAAGCGTTTCTGCAGTTTCTATGTCGATTTGTAAAATAAACAGGCATTAAAAAGGCTGTAGTCTACAAAGCGGAGAGTAATGGCTGAGGGTCGGAGCCAGCTGAGTGGCTTGAGAGGCTTGATTGGCTTTGACGAGCCCCATAAAGAAAAAAAAAGAGGTGTTTGCTTCTTGAGGATTGTTTACCTCGTGGCGTAGGTACAGCACGGCCAGCAAAATCTGGAATATGAAGTATGAAAAACGGACCATAACGTCTGATTTTTCTGCTTAAATCAACTCTTGATATTATTTCAAACACATTATATAGAGCAAGTATGCATGTTAGATTCAGAAAAAATTTTAGTCGTAGAGGATTGATCATTTTGATTATAGTATTTACTTTCCTCACACTCAGTTATTATATATATAGTTATTTATATATCAGTTATTATATTCCCTGATCACCATAGGATTTGCAGTAAGCACAATACTTTTAAGAAGAAGAGGGAGAGGAATAATTTTTATTTTTTTTTTGTAGGAATTAGAGTGATTTTGAAATGGATACTCGGAGGACTCTTTATATTTGGAACTCAGGTCGGAATTATATGTTTTGGAAAATTGTTGCGAATTTTGTGAATTGCAAGGATTCGAGTTTTTTTGGAAGTTGTTATAATAATTATTATAATTATTTAATTTTCTGCACGACTTGGCCTCGTGGCCTTGAATACCAAAATGACTTTTTTCGATAAACTACACCATTTCTACAAAACTCGATGATAAAACTCGTCCGCACCGACCTACGTCATAAAAAAAATCCAAGGTACCCGAATTGCGAACGTCTCCTTTTATTTCTCAATGGACGAGCCCGGGTTACTTGAATGTGCCAGTATACGTCCATTTCAGACGTCAAACAATAGGTTAAGCCGCTCACCTAACCCCACCCCTCAGCCGCCACTTTTCGTTTTGTAGACTATTATATCCAAATATTGTGAAACACACTGTGTACACACAGAGTCAAAATCACTTTTTTTTTTTTTTTTTTTTTTTTTTTTTTTTTTTTTTTTTTTTTTTTTTTTTTATTTGCACAAAATAAAGAACAATGTACAAGAAATTGCTATTAGACTTACTTGAGTCTTTTAACAGCTTATTTTAAATCTTAGTGGCTAAATTATACTAAGTTGTTATTGATTTTGACTTAATAACTACCTAAATTTATAACAGGTGTGTGAAATAGTAAAACATTTTTATTACAGAATAAGAATGTCTTTTTGATTTAATTGGGTTACGACGGGCTACCCGTCCAAAGACCTAGTTACTCCTGATATGTCCAAGGATCATAAGGAGGCACGTGAGGTTGATTATGGGAAAAGTTTTGAAAAACCCTGGATTCCAAGCTCAAAGGTTTTCCTTCGTTTTAGTCTTCTCACATTTTCACTTTTTTCCAGTAAGGCGAGGGCTTCTGGGTTTGGGTGATTATGTAGTCGGTTTTCATAAGAGGTATATAATTTAGTGATATAATCCTCTACTGAATCGATGTTGAGGTCGGCTCTTATATCTACGTTCCTCTCATACCAGCGTGCTTTAGCAATGTCCTCTCATACCAGCGTGCTTTAGCAATGTTCTCTCATACCAGCGTGCTTTAGCAATGTAGTCAAAATCACTGATCTTATCTATAATGGGGACCTTGGGTCAATCAATGATGATTAGGCTGGAATTGAAAAAGTAGACTGTAGTTTTTAATTTTTCATTCCTTGCTCAGACAGGATTTCAAGTAATATTTTTCAGCATTATTTTTTTTTTTTATTTAAAATTTATGCCAGTGTTTTTTTTTGTACATATTTTCTTAAAATTAACACAGATGCGTTCCATTTTTAAAATCATATACATTTCATTTTATTAAAAAAATAAGAAAATTATTGAGATCCAATTTAATTTATTGATTTTGATCTTTTGAGTATCTAATATTTAGAACTGATTTGTTTTTCAATGTTTCCTTTTTGCACCCTCACTAAGGGTCCCTCAGTGTTGCATCAAATATCGGAAGCTCTAAGTATTTAATGATTGTGTCTCTGTGCACAGAACTACATCATCACTTGAGTCTGATCTAATTTCTAACACATTGAAAAGAGTTTTGACTCTTGGAAAGACCAAATTCTTCTCCAAAAATTGTATTCATAACCTGAAAAACCCAAAACAATTTTCCACTGCAAAGTTGATAAGGCTCGCCCAAATTTTGTACCAAAGACTATCTACATTTTATCATATAAATTGATTCCGTTTTCAGCTCCTTTTGTGCGGAACAGGCGAATATAGCATCGCTGACTTTAAAGCGAACCACATCGTCAATGGCTCCTCACCTGAATTCCGTCGTTTGCTCGAGTGGTTCTGGACAACAGTCTCTAACTTCACCACCGAAGAAATGGCGCGACTCCTCCAGTTTACGACTGGCTCCTCTCAGTTACCTGCGGAGGGTTTCAAGGAACTCTCCCCAAAGTTCCAACTCACTCCCGCGCCAACATTTGGCAGTTTGCCAACAGCTCATACCTGGTGTGTATCTGTAGGAAATTGAGCTAATGTCATTTTAACTAGAAGTGTGACTCGCAGTGGCTGTTACCAAATTGTCCGTCTCTTAAAAAGTAAATAAAAATAGAGCACGGATGCAAAAAGAGCACTTTCCAGAAAGTTTATTAAAGGCTCGCATTGCCCTCTCTTAAGAGCTTTTGGATTATTTCTGTAAGAATGACTCAAATTTTGATTTGTCAATTCTTGAAAGAGTCAGTTCAAACAAACTTTTAAAACAAGTTAGATGGCCTTGTCAAATTGGCTCATTCAATTCTTACCTAGTGCAATGCATGGGTATTGAACAAGTCGACCGTGTAAGTCCAAAACCACTTATCTCAGTTTGCGACATTGCAGACCACCTGTCATACTGTATTTTATAAGCTGAAAACTAGTCAACGGCAAATCTTAAAAATTGCCGTGATTTTCCTTCTCTGTATGGAGAAAATTCTGCAAAAAATTCAAGGAGTGATGTCGATTAGCTCTCCTTTAAAAAACTAACAAGGAGCAGACAGTTTCAAACATCATGAACGAGATACGTGGTTGCGGACTCATTCTGTCCAAGTGTCAAAGTGCATTTTATCCTGTGAAAACCGAGTAATATACATAATTGTAGGAAATCTTTATTTTGAGAATATACCATTGATAAAAGTTAGAAGTGTACTTAGCTCAAAATGATTTTTTAGTGGTATTCCTACCATTGAAACTGTCCTATCTCATCGAGGATAATTTAATCTCAAAATGAATGTATCATTTTGTCAGAGAATTTCACTCTTTTATGTATACAACGCAGTGCTGTGTTATGAAAGCCATTAGGGGACAACACAATTATTCTTTTCAGTGATAACATTTTATAATTTTCAAGAGACATTAAAATGGATGGAAAGTTACATTTCATAAGACCTAATTGGACGTATTTATGCAAAATGGAACTATGTGCAAGTGGAAAGATGGGATGTGATTGTTCGTTGAGGGCCATAAGAATGAATGGGGATTTTAAAGCGCCAGTGACGTCAGCGGCAACGATCGAGGCCGGGGACGACGAAGAGGTTGGTGGCAGGACTCTTTTAACTCATGAGCTCTGTCCACAACGCTCTTGTCACATGCCCATGGCTCACGAGTTAGCGCTCAGTTCCTTTTGATTTAATGTCAAATCCCACTTTTCCATTTTCTCAAAAGGAGCGATATTTTACATTCTTATGCAGCTTGCACGAGCACACCCCATCTTTCCTTTTCCACATAGTTCCTTTTAGCATAAATACGTCCAATTAATCATTGTATTGCCTCAAACTTCGCATCTCTGTTAGTGGAATTGCATCCTTTTTGCTGCATTCCTGCTACTACTCAGCAAGTAGAACGAAACATTCAAATTTAGAGCTCTCTACGTGTCAAGGAGGAGCTGAACTAAAACTTCCGACACTTCCCGACAGAGTACACTCTAATGGGCCTGTTGCAAACTTTTGCTAGAGCAAAAATAAGAGTTGTTTCTTACAGATAATGTCTCAAAAATCACGATGAGCGCATCGGCAAAGTCTGAAATACACTCATAACTTCACAATCTACGTAAGAAAATTGCGTTTTTTTGAGCTTCCCGCTTCAAAAACGATACTACAGCACAGGTGAACATTTTGTTAGAGGAGTCGTTCCATCGTCGGCAGTATTCATCATGGCCGACGCTTCCGCAGTTTCGCGCGTAATTTGAGGAGAGATCAAGGTCAATCAAGGCAGGCGAGGAAAATATGAACGTTAACACGCCGATTGTTATCTGCTCTTATCCTGGTCAGGTGTTATCTCGTCCCGTTACACGTGTTTTGGCCATGATGAATATTGCCGACGATGGATCGACTCCTCTGACAAAATGTTCACCTGTGCCGTAGTATCGTTTTTGAAGCGGGAAGCTCAAAAAACCGCAAATTTCCTACGCAGATTGTGAAGTTATGAGTGCATTTCAGACTTTGCTGATGCGCTCATCGTGATTTTTGATACATAATATGTAAGGAATAACTCTTATTTTTGCTCTAGCAAAAGTTTGCAACAGGCCCATTGGTTTGCATGATAAACCAATTTCTGTTGTGGGGCATGCGCTCGCTGAATCTAGCATGGTAATAAAAGGGCAAAGAGACTCAGGGGAGAAAAAAAATCGAACGAAAAAATGATGGGAAAATTGACAAGAATTTTGTTCCAACTTTTTGAATACTTGTTACATTATAGGAGATTGTAAAATATCTGCAAGTTGAATATCATGATTCTCTCTTATTTAATGTTTATAAGTGCCTCTAAAATCAATTTTTTTCTGTCTTTGTCTACAGTTTCAACCAGTTATGCTTGCCGGACTATGATACTTACGAACAGTTCGAAAAGGCTCTGCTACTGGCAATAAGTGAAGGGACGGAAGGATTTGGCATGATCTAAACACCAAGCTCCTGGCTTGAGCCTTCTTTAATCCCTCCGAGAGCTACCTCACCAAACTTACAACCAAAAATCTTTCTATTATGATAAGTATTTCTTGTTACTTGAATTCGTTCTCTACCTGACAAATACTTAGTGGACGGAAAACATTCTCATCATTTTTACCAAGTATTGCCATGAGGTATAGGTTCTCATTTCTTTGTGAAATTCAAAGAGATATTTTGAAGTCGCAGGACAGCTTTGAATCTTGACGTTTCGAAGGTACAGGTCTAATTGCTTCAAATTTTGATTCTAGGAACAACAGTGTTGCTGTGAATCTGCTCTATTGACTGGCAGCTCTGTTCCTAGTATTTTATCACACCTGCCGTATTATAATTTCTTATGATGGACCCTGTAACCCGTTTCCACTCTGGTTATCAGTAAATTTTAATCTACTGAGGTTGGTTCTTTGCCATACAGCCTTAAGGGCTCTTTGATTCTTTTGATGAGCAGCTTTCTGCTGAAGTACTTTCTCAATAATCTGAAGTCTCTGCATTGTCAGAGATTGTCTCTGGGAACACTTTCGTGTTAATTGGCCTTGCTTACAGTGTTCCCAAGTGATCCTTTGGTCCACTTTGAAAACTCACCCAGACCTCCTATTCCATTGAAGAGAAGTCCTAATCTACCAGCTCTTCAAACTTACTCCATAATTGTCCCCAGACATGGGTCAAAAAGATGAACGCTGTTGATTTTTCATTTTTTAAGGGTGTCAAAGGTTTGAATATTGAAAGAAAAAAATTACTTCACATCTTTCAAATTGGAATTTTGACCATTAATGTTTAAAAATGTATCTTTAACTTTCCAAGAAAAGATTTAAAATACTAGAATTTCATTCAGTGCAGCCTACCTTAGTTATGAATCTTTAAAAGCTAGTATTTTGGAATACAGTGGTACCTCAATTAGATAGTTCAGTAATTCTTAATTCTTGCATATTTGAAGAAAAGGAGCAAAAATAGGTTAAGAAAAGTGCCCCAAGTTCACTTGAATTTCCCTGAAATTATTTGAACGATAACAATCCGAAAAAAAAGTTCAAAGTTACATATTTTTTCTGATGAGTGTCATGAGAAAGTATACATTTTGGGACGTTTCTGAAATGCTGACAGGTTTTTAGAGTTGTTTCACTTTTCAGTCTTTCTTCAGAACTCTAGGGAAATTAAACCTACCGAATCAATAATTTTCGTTCTAGCAAATAGGATACTGTGACCTGTACCATAACTGTTTCATTAAGCTATAAAAAAGGTAGAGCCATAGAACAACCTGCTTTTGTTATTTAACCATTTTGAAAAAAATGTTTGCATTTATAGCTGTTACCTTGTTACCTGTCCTCGAAAAGCAATAACGTTCATTATTCTTGGATCTACGCAAGCGAGCAAAGTCTTTTTATAGACTTTTTACATCCTAGAATTATCTTCGTACGGAGTCAATGCAGAAATTAACCAATGTAGATACGTATTTTTTTCCACTTATTGGAAAATTATCGGACCATAATTTTGATCCTGTAGTAATCTTAAGGAACTAATTTTGCAAAACAAACCATTGACCCTACTCTCTGACAATAGATGTATAATCGGGCCCAACTTTTTGCGTATTGTTTTTGAGAATGTATTATATTTTTGGATAGTTCCTCTCTCTGTTACCCCCTTCTTTTGGCTGTATTTTATTTTTTTAAATTTTTATTTATTTTTTTTTTTTAGTGGGAAGGCCTTAGTACTTCCAAATACATTGTACGGTCTACTGTTCATTTTTGGAGCGGTTATAGTGAATGGAAGGATTATAGTGAATGGAAGGATTATAGTAAATGATGCACCAAAACAGTCGTAACTTAAATAACCCTTACCGAGGCTAGCTAAGTTATACTTTGGCAAGCACCTAAGTAGTTTTTCTTGAGAAGAGTGTTTGCACGACTCATTTGATTTTTTACCAGGCTGCCTGTCAACCTGAGGCAAAACTGCAAGTGGATTGCATGTGACTGTGTGACTTGATCTGTGATTGCATGTGACTGTGGTACATTGATCAAACCATTTCCCTCCGGAGTTCCATTCCAATCGGTAAAAATTTAGGCTGGTCATTGACTGCATCTTTTGGAAGAAAAACAATGTCAGATTGGCATTCAGGGAAGATAATAAATGTATCATTTGTATGGATATAGGTATTCACATTTCCAATTGAAGTGATATTTTTTGTATAGGCCCAAGCGCCAAAATCTAAAATAAGTATTCTTCGGACACATACATTTTTGGGCTCAAAAGATTGGGAGCTAGCCGAATGGCGCAGTTTACCTGTTTTTCTTCAAACTTGGATATTGGCACTTGGGCCCCTAAGAAAAGTATTGGTTCCAATGAGTTATTCTGATGATTCATAACTTAAAGTCAGCCGAGTATAATTAGGACCTACTAATAGAAACCCTAGTTCCATTTATTGGGCTGCTAAGTAGATAGATTGTTGTCAGTGTAGTTTGTTACATGCACAGGCCACGGAAACTGGACGTAGCAGTCAGCTTGCACCCCAATTTTAACAAACACATTAAGGTTTTCAAGACTTATTTTTATGAAAAATGACAGCTGCTAACATGTTTAATTTTTGTAAGAATAAGATCTTTAGTCTCATTATATTGTGATCAGGTAGAGTTTCAAGCTTCAAAATTTTACCTTCCGATAACTGTCTGATGTGCAGCTCTTTCTTCTCAATCAGAATCATACTTGTACATTCAACTGAACAACGATAAACCGTTTAGGTTTAATAGATCTGGGACCAATTTGTGAGCAAATTATGACGAGACACAAATTCACCACAAGACAATCAATCGACTGGACAGGGAGTTATTTTATAAAATTGAGAATAATAATTCATAAGGTATGTTGAACAAAGTTATGCTCTTCCCCATTCAAGCACATAAAATTAAGGAAACGCTCAGTTGCATTGGTTTCGTTTTGACAAGAAGTTAGAAACTGGGTTCCAATTCTGGAATATTCAATTCTTACTGGCCCACCTGTCCCCGTAGACAAAATTTCCCACCAAGAATGAAACACTACCAATGCAACCAAGCGTTTAGTCGATTTTGGGTGGTTTGTAACGGAGAAGCATACCTCTGCTTTTTTGAGCTTAAGTTCATCGGTGTACAACCAGTCATTCAACCGTGGGTTTTTTTCATCTAAGTGTAATCTTTACTATCATTGTTCTCCGAAATGTTGTCCTTAAATACAGAATAGGCTGAAAAGTCAGGGCCTCTCCAAAGATGCACAGATTAGAATAATAGGTAATATAAAGTCATACATTCCACAGAAGTGAATTGAGCTTCTGTAACCGGGTTCACTTTAAATTCATTGAGATTTTACTAATTCGGATTTATTTATCCTAATTTTTGTAAGTATTATAAAGTTATTTGTATCAGTTCCGACCGAGTGTGCGTTGGGTATGTTACTGACTGCTTCCTTTTCTTTTGTCAAAGCATATCACGCAATAACTTCCTTTCTTTTGTAGTTTCTATTTTAAGTAAAATCCCATGTAGCACAGATAAGCATATTTAACGCATATTTTTTGGTGGAAGAGAATTTTTCGGGGGTAAGTTTTGTCCAACATGTAAATCGCTATGTGCAGTACTGTTTTGTCTCGTCAGTTCAAGTGAAGAGTCAGATTCTAGTACATAATCTAGGGATGACTTGTGTATCACAATCATATCCAAACATGTTGGATAAAAATTTCGATCTCGCAACCTGAACCAGAACTCTTAAGCTTTATCTGTCTTACACAAGTGATATGATAAGTACTCATCGAAATTCTTCAAATGTGCAATATTTTATCGGAAAAATTAGTCTTTTTTATTTGTAATCCTAGTTGTCAGCTGCTGTGCATGGGTGCGAATCTACATTGTGATGTCGCATATTTTTGTGAAGTTTTTATTTTCAAAACAAATCATTATTGCCCCCCAGATATGGAGACCCATAGAGAGGTTCCTTATCAATACACATGAACAAAATTTGCAGATATTTTCAGAAAATTTGGTAAAATGGTTCATACAAGGTAGAATGATTTAGTCGTGGATGCTTCTAAACACTGTGATGTAGATATGTTCACATGCACAGCAACGTATTCCTATGTTTATACTGAAGAATTCTAATCTTATCCTGATTTTTTTCACCGGAAAGACTAGTCAAAGCACATTAATTACGAAGTATCAAAAATGAAAAAATAATGCTTTTATGATTGATATTTTAACTCTCACGCTTGATCAAATTTTCGATCAAGGTCTTTCTTGATACTTGCCATTCTGTTGGAAAAAATAACAGATCTAACATTTCTAAATCTTTCTGTCATTATTAGGTGAACGTAAATTACATGTAAGTAGCTACTTTTCTAATTTCTTTTTATTGGATCAAAATATCATTGTAGTTTGCTAATTCTGTCCACCTCTTGTAGTAAATTATGGTTTGTTGATTCTAGATGTGACTGAAGGAAACTAAAAAATGTATAGGCAATTTTAATATTGCATACAGAAACACAAAGACAGTGAGACTGTAGAAATGCATATCTCGGTTTGCGATGTTGCAGACTTCCTGTCACACTTTATTCTCTACATGGATAACTATACTGAACGTCATTTTCCTCAATAATTTTAGTGATTTACTTCTCTCTACGAAGAATATACTGTGAAAACTTCAAGCCATGATGTTGGTTCGGTCTTCTTTTAATAAATAAAGTAGTAACAGAGATTTCAAAACACCATACCTGAGATATGCATTTCTGAAGTTTCACCATCGATAATTTGTAAATGAAGGATTAGAATGATGCTTAGAGAATTGATAAATTCACAAAAAACAGAAAAATTCATACAAGAAAAAAAATTGCGAAATAATGGAACAGAAACGGGTACATTTTCAAAATTCAAAATGGAAAAGGATGTCAAAATTTGAAATGGAGTCTTTTCGCAGGAAAAAAAAAGAGTAGAAATTGCAGAGAATTAAATTACTGTGTTTTACTTGAAACAACTCAGTTTCCTTTTGAATCGTTTTGCAAACTGGGATTCCTGAACAATTTCGACTTTTTTTTAGGTTTGCTCAGTGTATTTTTTTAAGTTTTTGTGCTCCTATAAATTACCATTTTTAGGAAATTTTGCATTGAAAATTTGACCTGAATGTAAACGCATTTATTTCTGAGTTAATTATAAACCAGTGAAAATGAAGAATCTGAAATGTTGAATCTCATCATTAGCTTTTGATCTCTGGGATATTGCAAGCAACTTTCTAGAGTTCATTACTTAAACATTTTCCAAATTACAGTAGAACCCCGGCTATGCATAGTAATTGAGACCAGAGGCTCTGCAGATAATCTGCAGACCGAAAAAAACACTGTATAAGTTGTTTCTTTCTTTAACAGCGTTGTAGGATTGTTGGAAGAAAGTGCAATTAAAAATATTGGATCCATGAAAGTGTCTGAACAAGATCTTTGCCTATGCAACTCTTTACCTTCCTTTAGCCTTATTCCAGTTGTACTTAAGCTGAGGTATTAATCTATAATCTCTCTTTATATTGGTAGCTTTTTTGGTTTTATTTTTTTACACCTGTATCTCTTGATTTTCTTACTTTGAGCAAGATATGTTATAGAATTAAAATTATCAATCTAAATTCCAAGAATGGTTTTTGAATTTGAATCAGTGAGAACGAAAACACACCAACTCGGTAACTCGAAAATGCTCAACTTCCATTAAAGACAGTTAATTTACGTAAAGGTCATTGAAGTTAGCGCATCTGTTCCAACTTGAACCTTTAAAGTGTCCATAAGTATTTTCGGAAGCAAAAGTATTTTTCTTAAACTAACTTCTTCACCTACTGTGCAGTTTTGTGTGTGTCTTGATAATTTTCATTTTTCCGGGTTGGTGTGTTTTCGTTCTCACTGATTCAATTATTGATGGTATGAAATTTTTTTTTTATTTTTTTGACAATGTTAATTTTAACTTAGAATCTAAACAAATTTCTTTCAATCTGTGATATGTTTGCAACATTCTTTTTGTTGGTGTGAGAGAAATCATTGAAAAGAAATAAACCATCAGAATGATAGCCGTTTACCATTTATTAGTCACCTATCTCTTAAAGTTCGACTTTAAAAGAAGGATTAAAGTTTGAGAGGGGACCCAAAATTGAAAATTTTACATTGGTATAGGTACCTTAAATCAGTAAAGCCTTTCAAGTTGTGGTTTACACGTGGTGAGCGAATTGAATGACAATTCCAGAACTTTGGGTCTGCACAGTCTGTTCTCCGTTCCTACCGATGTTTTTGTGATGGATTTCATCTCTGGGTTTTAAAGGTTCGTTTGAAACAACGAACACGTTGGTTTTACAGGCTCCAACTTACGATCTACATGCATCAACACATGTCCTCATGCTACAATGTGTCATATGCATTTATGAATCTTGGATTTCGTTGATTACCCGAGACGCCAATTAAAGGTGCAGATTGGGAGCCCTATAACGCCCTCCCACCCCCTGTATTAGAAATAGGACCCCTTTTCGGGGCAACTTTGCTCAGTTTTCAAAGTAAATTTTACCTTTACAAAACAAGATTGTTCACAGTACTTCCTTTGAACAACCTCTGCTCCCCACAGGTCTCGGGTGAAATTGCACCTCTTTTCACTCTTCATTTTGAATCCAGGAGACAAAATGTCATCCTGAAGAACTGAAAATTTCGCCTGGCAACAGGAGGTTTTGGAAGAAATGAGGAAGTGTCAATTCCCTGAAGGGCTTTGGGAGGATAGGGGACTTTGACGGCTAGGTGTCACAGAGCGCCAGAGAGCACTGTAAAAGTGGCTTTTTTATACAAGAACTGAAAATTTCCGTTAGGCTATGATTCATTTTTTCGGCTAATCCAAAGCTGTAGAGAAAAAGTTATCATAGATGAAAGGGTAAAGGAAAGCCAAATAAAAGAGACTTTCAATTTACTATTACAGCTCCTTACTCAAGCCATTTAAGAGTTAGTCTGTAGAAGGGCGAACTTTAAAATTGATCTTTTTTATGAAAATGAAATATCAGACTGTCTTAGGAGACACACCATCATGTTTTTAGGCTAATCTGACGCCCTGGTGCGGAATTTAGGACCGATATGTCCAAAGCCACTTTCTCAAAATCCACTTTGATGAAAACAAATATTTTTCAACGACGCCCTTGCGAAATGTCAGAAATGTAGCAACAGTGGGGTTACATGTCGATGTTAGTGTGAATTGTTTAACATTGCTGCCAGCTTAATCTACTCCCCCCTTTCTCCTCTTAAAAAAGATAATCATCACATGTGAGCAAAACATTTAATATTCTTAGGTTCAAAATGATATTGCTGTCTCATTTTTCAATGAAGCCCTCTACTCAAGAGCCGACCTCTATAATACGGCTCCCTCCACCTTTTTTCTAGAGCTCTAGATAGTTTAGGAATAACCCCTTCCCCTTCTCCAATAATCTTTATTGGACATCATCATTTGCATTTGTTGATACCCTTGATCTTTTAAATTATTTCGGTCATTAAAGAAGAACAGAATGTTGTTAGGTTATTTCCTGCAAAAATTCAATGGGACATTGAACTTTCCAAGAACGTGAACTATCCTATTTATAAGACGAGGTTTCAGGAGGGCATAAAATCAGAGCAGTTTTGAAATTGAACAGTTTTAATTAAACATGGGTAACATTGTAGGTAACATAGAAGAATAAATGAACAATGAGCATAAAAAACATATAAAGTAGAAAAATAAACGTGTAATGTAGAGAAATAAAAAGAAATGTAGAAAAATAAAATATGCAAACATTAAAAAATACACAATTAAAGTTTGGGACAACACAATTATTCATAGAATGGAAAAGGCAGCTGAGAGAGAAAATATGATTTAGTAGTGAGAAACTTGAAATAACTGTCCTGAAGAAATTTAATTATAAGTTTAGATAGGCCTTGATAGGTCACATAAGGTATAATGAGGATTCACTACAGAGAGTACAGGGTTAAACCCATCATAAAATTGAATTCTTTACCAAACCTATTGTTTGTGTTCTCTCCATTATACTGGCATTAACTGGCAAATAAGCATTCTGAGGAGATGAATCATTCTTCGGTTAAAAAATTTTCAATATTTATACAATCGGATAATAATTGGTTGCAACAACAATCTGTGGTAGCTTTCCATAAATTTCATTCTAATTTGATAATACAAGATATAAGCAGAATTTTAGTCTTGACTTAAATATTTTGGATGAGACTGCAGGTGCAGTCTTTAGGATAAATTAGAAGGCAAGAAATCGAACATATAATGGCACTTGGTTATAGATAAATTTAGCACAAAAATTGAATATACGATACTTACAGCCTAAATATTACAATAATGGAGACACTAGAGTAAACACAATCAAGTTACACTACAAATATACACATGACAGACACGTGTCATGAGACATACTGAGCTGACTTTTGAGGGCTGAAAAAAATTTCTGAAATCTTTCCACCACATATATGCTTGAAATGGATCCTTGCAATACTGTTTCATTTTCATAATCGATCATTGGAACTGATGTTGCGCGACCACTTTTTTAACTACAGGTAGTGTGGATCCTAGATTGTGGCGCCAACTAAAACTCAGATGGTTGACTGGCTGAAAATATACCGCGGAGAGTGTCAACTTGACACCCTTCTAAGTCTGTTCTAATTTATTTTCCAGATTGAAACTTTCAGGAATAATCTCCGGCTACTTGTAGAAAGTGCTACTTGACCGCAGGGAGTGCTTAGGTTGCGTTTAGCAGAAAGAAACCAAGCCACATCAGCTACTGCCAAATTTAACTGGGCAATAAACTTTTACGAGAGAACATTTCTGCAGATCCCTTTGAAAAATTTAAAGGAAATTGCTTCGTAATATGCAGAAAATTCACTTGAATTTGCACAAAAATCCTTAAAACCGTTTTCAAGTAAAATATTGAATTGCCGAATTGAATTTGTCAATAGCTGATGAGGCTTGGTTCCTTTTTGCTTACCGCGGTCCATTTGTCAGTGTCTGCGTTCCCATGGGATAATGCATCTGATTACACTTGTTCTTAGGTTCTTCTCTTGAGCCACTAAGACAGATTAAAATTTCCTATAAAATGATTCAGCTTAGGATCCATTTTTTAAGACGGGTGGACTATGTTTTTATGTCATAAGGTTGAATGATTAAATTAAATGCAAAACAAGAATCTAGTTGGGAAATAAGACATATTCAGTTTAAGGTACTTACTTGATTGGAAAAATGTCTTGAGAATTGAGATGCGGCCCTAAGTGGGTCCGTTGGACGCAAGAGATTCATACAAGTGAATTGATTGTCTATGGGTTAAATCCCATCAAAATCTTGATGAGCTCATCGAAGAGTCAGGTGTGTATTTTTCAGTGCTTTATCGATGTATTTGGTTCGTAGCTTGTTATTACGAATTTGCTGCGTCTGAGGGCAGTTTTTCTTGGTGGTCAGCAATTAGGTTGGCCCAGATGGAGATGCAAGAAAATCTGACCTAAAAGACCGAACTCGTAAACTCTTAAAACCTTTTCTTGTGGATAATTTCTTGATTTAAACTTTTTATTTTTGCAACACGAAGAAATAAGGAGCAAACAAACGCTTGAAAACTATTGAAATCCAACGCAAGAGATAGTTTGCAAGATTATATTTATTTTGACAAGAACTTCAAACATCTCCTCCTAGGTAAACCTGGTCCCCAAAGCCACAGAAAATCTCTCAAACTCGGAAAATTTGAAAAAGCATGTCACAAATGCGAAAATTGCTCATTAAAGAAGGGAATGCAGACTTTAATGATGTGCCTTCAGGATATACAAAAGATTTTACCTGTGGATTAGATCACTTGGCTGTATCTCTTGAATGAAACAGACCCACTAAATTGAAATTTAGCTCCCCAAACGCTTTTTGTTGAACAATATGATGTTAACGTTTTGTTGACAATTTCATTAAATTCGTGTTTACTTTTAAGCCCTCAGAATATCATTAAAATGAGAAAAATTCAAGTTTTGAGCAGTTTGCACACAGACCTGAGTGCTGATGAATGTTTCAAAGCTCAAAGAGCAATTCTGGGATCTGCCCACAGGTAACGTTGGACAGAAATCCACGGTCTGATTCTTTTATCGTCACACTATCGATGTTAGAGAAGCTTATGGTGACTGTTTCGCCTTCATTATCACTTGTTTTAGAGATAGTTGTTTCATTTTGAATACCGCCAGATCCATACATTGAATAACTTCCCTTCAGAACAGAATTAAAAATAGTTCGGCATTAATAATTATATATCCACGAGAGAAACACAATATGAAATTGAAAAGCAGAAAATAATGAGGAAGAAAAAGACAGTTTGAGAGGATGTAAATCATGAATGATTATGATTGACCGGCGTCATGGTAATTGTCTTTAAATATACATAAGTCTTTGAGGCATTCCCCATTACTTCAAATTTCCATTTAATTTAGGTTTCAAAAAGAATTCCATGTCATCAAAACACATGACTTATCATGACACTTTGTTGGTTCGTTTTCTTTCTTTCTTTTCTGTCTGAAAGCGGGGCGAAAACCAAGTTCCAGCAACTACTGCTCGCATGCGCCAGGAACGGGTGGCCAGCCCCCCCCCCCCCCCCCCCCCCCCCCGACAGCCGCAATCAGCTGACAGGGGATTCACTTTGTTGGTTTGAAAACTGGGTTAGACTGCTTAGTACATAAGTTTAAATCCTCCTTTTCTGCTGGGCTTCTATACTTAAGTCAAAATGACAGCACCACTTTGGGTTCTTCTGAGGCACTCCCTGTGGTAAAAATGAACCTCCAGTCCAATTTCTTGAAATCCTTGTATAAGTAGATGCAGAATAAATACATAAATTGTGTAAAAGTGTAGTGAAGAGGGTCCTAACTTATAAGTTTTTTACTTTCAGTGTATTTTGGGAAGAAGTTACACTATTGCATTCTCTCATGATGTCAGACCCAGACCTGAGACCTTGTGAAAAGCACCAGGTTTGGGTCGTAGATCTTGAAAATATATGCCATTCAATATTGTGTGCGTGTGAGGGTGGGTGTGTGTGTTGCGGAAGGAGGGTGTGTGTAAGGGTGAGGGAGTGTGTGTGTATGGTTGGTTAGTAGATACGTTTGTATGAGTGTATGTATGTGTGTATGTATGTACGTATGTATTTTGTTAATGCTGTTTGATACATTTACTTAAAGGTGCTTGAACAAAATATGTATATGTGTTTTGGCCTTAAAAAGATTTTTCGATTTTTGAGTAGTTATATCTTTCTTACGTTGCAAGATATTTTGAGCAAATTTTTTGCATTTTGTAGAGCCTCATTAGAGGTACTTTTCTGTGAAAAAAAAATAATCAAAATTTAAGGCAATCAATTTTAAGGGGTGGAGCTTGAAAGTGCGGGGAGGTCAAATCTTGTCCACTCAATAACGTAAGTTAAAATGAACAGGTTGAGCTGAAATTTTAGTCGGGGTAGTTCTCCCCTAGGACTGTTTTGGTCATGAATTTGAGCGATATCGGCCCAACCATTTCAGAATGGCCAGCTTTGAACATTCATGGCGGGCGGGGAGAGGGCGGTCACACAGTGGGGCAGGGGAAGGGAGATTTTGGACGAACTGCTCGTCGCACAGTGGGTCAGGGGGATCAGGGAAAGGAAGTTATTGGATTAACTTTTCATCGCACAGAGGGTCAGGGAAAGGAATCTGTTTTTGAAAAAAATCTCACCTCCCACTTCAGCAAATACACTTTGCTTCTTACAGATGCATGGGTCACCTAAAAAAAGGGTGAAAATGTGCGCGAGTCGGGGGGGGGGGGGGGAGCGCCGGTTTTTTATTTTCAAATAAACTTATTTCTGACTTTGCCCAACGGGACTAGTTAATGCCGGCATTATCTGGAAAACGTTGACAGCACCCCGCCAAAGTCGGTAACTACCCAGTCTTTCAACATTACCCTTAACATATGCATCACAAGTGAAAAGAAAATATGTTTCACTGATTTAATTAAAAGATAAAACTATATAAAAAACACTAGACAGCAGAAACTTGAATACAGCTACGGTTGGAAATTATAGAACTACTTGGTGTGATAAATATGAAGTGTTACCTTGATTTTTGCTCGAAGACGATATGGACACTTCTTAGGGTCCACTTCAATTGGTTCGGGAAAGAAAATCCTGAAAATTTTGTCAGAGCAATAATGTGTTCCAGTAAGAATAAGCTTATCCTTATATGATTTCAGATCAGAGTTTATAGTTTCTTGCAAAATAATCTCGACATTATATTTAACTTTTGCTGTGCCATAGAGTCCAACTCCGATCACCTTAATCGTGCGAGTAACACTGAAACTTTAATAAAAAAGGATGGGAGTTAAGGTAAGGAATGGTCAGTAGGCTTCTTTTATTGATCTGTACAATAATCTGAGCAAACATTTCCTACTGATTTGGTTTTCCTGTAATGCAATGTAAAAAGATTACACACATCCCTAACAGCGTACTCATATTACTCTTGTCTCTGTCAAGTTTACAAGTTTTGTCTGTTTATGTCATCCCTGGGAGCATTGTAGAGATCAACAAAAAAAAAGTATATCTTACTCAATTATATAAAATCTTAAGAGTAACACATAATGCCCGAGGTGCAAAGCGCTTCAATTGGTTTCAAACTGTCAGGGAGCATACCCCTAGTTGATTAAAATTTGCAGTATGATGATTCATAGTTTTTTGCATCCTGTGGCAGGAAAGCAAACTGAAGTCCTGAGGAACACCCTGAGAACTATACCTTCCGAACGAACGGAAACTTTCAGAACACATTTTGCGTACATTAACAAAGCTCAACTAATTTTGGCCAGATTAAAATCGCAGCCATGCTGCAATAAATAGAAAAATTTCATCTCCCTTTCCGATTGACATATTTAAAATTGGATAGAAACTAGCAACTGTAGTTCAGGAACACTTACATTTTGATCCACCTAAGTAATTTGATAGGTAGAAGTTCTACTTGTAACTGCCTTTAAAGATCGAGGAGACGGATTCGGAGAGAAATTAAACCTACCCAATTGTGTGATAAGTGGCTGGCTTAGACAGACCAAATCTTCCACCAGTTACTTCATGTTGAAAACGATTAATGACTAAAAATGATCTTCGTGGTATTGTGCTGAAACGGCAGTCTCTTGTTTTTGAACTCATGGTGAACAAGCGAAGGACGGATACTTCTTCTTCTGATGAAAGAAGACCAGATGTGGCAACTTTCGACAAGAATTCTTCTGGTTTCATTACTGGAAATCTTATGAGGAAGAGGGCATTTTTCAAGAACTGCCTTTTGTGCGTCACAGAGACACTGCGATTATTTTTGATACATGCTTCCTCAGCCCATCTACAACATAAAAATGAAAAACAACTTTATCCGTGTGTTAATCACTAAGAGATGCACATTGCATGTTTTGGCCTTGAAATTGAATTTAGGGTTTACTCATATCATTTATTTGATTTCATTTCATTTTTCAAATTTTGACGGGACAAGTCCCGATTACATACAAAATAATAACAAAGGCAACAATACATGCAACAAAATGGGCTAAAAAGAATATGCTTAATCATTAACAAGAACCTGTTCTTTCACTAAAGACTTGAAATTAGAAATGCTCAGGCCATAAAATTGAATCCACCCAGGACAACTATTCGCAAAATCTAGAATCCTGAGAATTAGAGACCTATGCTTCCAGGTAACAAGACGAGAAGGGATGACAAATAATCAATTTAAATTACAACGATATCAAGGAGGAACATGAATATTTATGGAACTAAGAAGAATAGGAGAATCAATAAAATTATTAAGAAGTTTAAAGAAAAACATAAGATCATAATAATGCCACATAGAAACCAGGAACATAAGTTAAGTTGCTTGGTAATATCCTCACTCATATGATCATGAAGATGATTATAAAGATTAAAGGCATGGATGGTTTCAAAGAACCTTCATGTCGACTTCCTGGAGCACAATATTTGGTTTTTTAGAGCAGAATACGCAGAATGTCTTGCTACATTTGTGCGCTCGTGGATATTGCTAAAAATTGTCGGTCCCATCTGAGAATTTTGCAATTTTAATACTTTCTTAATGGTGAAATCTTAGAATTTTTATTTTATGCGAGATTATTTTGTTTAAACATTTGATTTAATTTGCATTTCATTTGTTTCTACGACAGTTATGGTTTGTTTATTAAAAATTCCAGGGCTGGCCTTGATACCCTTATAATGTTTCCAGTGTCAAGATTATTTCAATTTCATCAAGTCCAGAAGTTAAAACAGAGAGTTTTCATTTTTTATTGTAATTAAAATAATGAGAAAACATAAAGCAAGACAAACCGATCAACAGCTTCAAACAGCACTATTTCATTGATTCGTAAGTCTGATCTTTCCAAAATCAAACACAAAGTTTCTAGATCAATATTTACAAAGTCTTCCGCTTTGAGAGCCAATTCAGTGTTTTTAGCAATGATGTATAAAGAATCATTGACCACTTTATCCATGTTGAAGTGTCTCGACTGAAAAAAAAAGATAACAGAAATATTTCATCGATTCTTTCATCTAACTGGAATTTCAAACATAATAAAGCTTCAATACTTATTGCTAGTTACGTAATTTCTTCATTGTAACTGAGTTATCCTTGAAAAATAAATGAGTAAAAGGCAATTAATACCTCCTTTTAAAAGAATAATTGAGGAGCTTAGAAGACAAGGCGGATAAGTGCAGTTTTTGCTATTTCGAGAAATAAGTGTTTGAAAGAGGGTTATGCAAAACGGCCAAAAAGTGACCCCGCGGGGATTGTATGAAACTTTGTGGGATGATTGTATAGGCCATTTGGGGCCTACATCTGGCTGCTTTTAGGCGAAAACCGCAGGGAAACAGCGTTGCCATTTTTTAAAGTCGTAACCTTCAAACATCCATAACTTTCGCAAAAATGCAGTTACAGCGCTCGTATTTATACAAAAAAATGCAGAAAATTTTGTTCCATCGACTTATGCAGAAGAAAATTTTATTTGAGTCCATTGTTGCCACGTTTTGGCCATTCTTTTGAATTTTCATTATGATTAAAAATCACGTTATCGCCTAAAAGTATGTTTGCAGTTGGTGAGGATTGAATAAAAACCTGTCGGAATTATTGTTCGTTTGATTCCGCATCCATTGATATGTTATACTTTTCTGAGAGGCTTAGGGAATCCGAGTTACAAAAAAATTCGGCAACACGCCCGACGCCCGATTTTGACGCTCGTTTAGGTACGTTTCGCAACTCCGTGTTGAAGCAAAACGCCTAGACAAAACAAAATTCGAAGAGCCACTTGGATTGCATTTTGCAAAAAGGAATCACTAGCATTGCAATGATGCTAAGATTGTGCAACTTCATCCTTTGCAATAAAATTGCGGAAATTGTGAAAAACTATGAAATTTAGATGGTAATTTTTGTCTTAAATATACAGTTTTTAGCGAGTAAAATAGAAACTATTAAGGGATAATCGGGTTTTTCCTCCAAGACAAAAGCAGTTGCACAATCTTAGCAACATTGCAATGCTAGTGGTTCCTTTTTGCAATATGCAATCCAAGTGGCTCTTCGAATTTTGTTTTGTCTAGGCGTTTTGCTTCAACACGGAGTCGCGAAACGTACCTAAACGAGCGTCAAAATCGGGCGTCGGGCGTGTTACCGAATTTTTAAATCGCTGTAACTCGGATTCCCTATAAGCCTCTCAGAAAAGTATAACATATCAATGGATGCGGAATCGAACGAACAATAATTCCGACAGGTTTTTATTCAATCCTCACCAACTGCAAACACACTTTTAGGCGATAACGTGATTTTTAATCATTGTGAAAATTCAAAAGAATGGCCAAAACGTGGCAACAATGGACTCAAATAAAATTGTCTTCTGCATAAGTCGATAGAACAAAATTTTCTGCATTTCTTGATATAAATACGAGCGCTGTAACTGCATTTTTGCGAAAGTTATGGATGTTTGAAGGTTACAACTTTAAAAAATGGCAAAGCTGTTTCCCTGTGGTTTTCGCCTAAAAGCAGCCAGATGTAGGCCCAATATGGCCTATACAATCATCCCACAAAGTTTTGTACAATCCCCGCGGAGTCAATTTATGGCCGTTTACAGGAAATTTGACCCTAAAATTTCACCAATTAGTCCTGAAGTTCTGGGACAAAAATTCTTAGATTGTAGAAAAACATGGTTTAAGTGTTTGCAAAAAGTTAAATAATATTTTATCCCTGTAGATGGGGTCCCCCTTTTCACAGATCACAGGTACAGTCAAATTTCTACATATATACTCCCGAGTAGAATTTTCCAGAGAAAAAATTGCAAGAAGTTGAAACAATATCGGCAAAATGTTGAAATAAAGTTTCAATTAAGATGACATTTGGACCCAAGGACATCATGGTAATGTAGCAATATACCCAGTTGAATATGGAGAAAAAGAAAGTAACTAGCTGATGATCCAAACGCTTACTTTTACTGGGAAAATGAAAGATTCAAGTGTACTTAAATATATTAAGTTAGCCATAATAATGTATTGCTCTTACTGTTATCAAAATATTACATGCATTCTCTGTGCATAAGTTAATTGAGAGGAAATCAGAGCAACGATTTTTAAGGGCAGTGATGGCGTATTTTTCTGCCACATATATTATCGCAGTGACCGTTTCCAAACTAAGGTTTATCTTATCCGAGTACAAAAATCTGAAACAAAAAATAGAAAACCAGATTTTCCTTTGTTCAACTTTTCATACTACATTGAAGATCTTAATATCAACAAAATTCTTTGGATGGGAGATTATAAATTCTTCCTGCCAATTTTTCTAAGTTAAAGATGGTTGATTCCGAAAATTAGGGATAAAACTTACTAAAGAAAAAAACGAGACATTATTTAATTGAAAACGTTGTGTCTATAGCGCTCGAATTTTCTCTCCTCATGAAGTCTTTAATTTTCAGTGACCAGGGTGTCTACTAAAACACGCTGGCCAAAAATAAGTACTTTTTCAGTGCATTCCCAAGAAATTCAGTACCTACCTCAACAGAAAAATTCAATACTTTTTCAGTACCTCCATTTGACTAAGTTCGAAAAATTTGAATTTCTTGCTCACATTGCGACAAAAATGAAAACAATTCTGGACCTTCTTGCAGAATTTCCACACTATTTCAGTACTTCCGGACCGTCCTAGAAAAATCAGTACTATTTTCGAACTTGTAGACACCCTGGTGTGGTGACACATTCTTTAGTGAATCTGACAGTTAAACTTCACTTTCTCTCAAACATTGCGGCCTTCAAAGTATTACTAATGGCATTTTCGCTGCCTTTATACCCCCCTCCACACTGTAAAATACCCGAAAGACAACCTTTCACCCCCTTTTTAGATTGCCTAAGACAGGGCTGANACCCCCCCCCCCCTAATTTTTCAGAAAGTGACAGAGAAAGCCTGAAAATTACCGTGAAAAATTTTGTCATATTGACACCTGTCAATTAAATGGTGGGCTTACAAAGACTAGGCTTGACCCTCCCTCCCCCCCTTTCGTAGGACCTAGTAAGGCTAGCTGAGACACCCTCTCCCTCAAGTAGCTTATATAATTCTTGGAAGGCCATTAAAACATGTTGCCTCTGGTTCAATGATTCTCATTTATTTAAAGGGGCAAAAAGCTTTTCATCGTTTTGGAAAACGATTGATGTACCAGGCAACAGTGGTCTGACAACATTTAAACAATTTTTACGTGATAGTGCTTTTAAGGAAGGATATTGATGGCCAAAGAGCGAAACCACATACCTCTGTTGGTAACATTGCAGACTTCCTGTCGTACTTTATTATTTCTTTGGAACACTAACAAACTTAATTTTGTGAGAACTTCCTTAATTTTCATGGGTTAGCAGAATGTTCTGTAAATATTTCAAGCTAGGAAGTCTCTTCTAAAGAACAAAATACTTCGGAACAGAAATTCTGATGCACCACAATGGAGATAAGTGCATGGTTTCACACTTCGGCCATCGATGTATGTAGGAGATATTGGTACAATATTGCCAAAGGGTTTTAATACAATGGCGCTTCCTAATATTGACCAAAAAAGTGTCGTGCAGCAAGTAACAGCAACACAGTGAAAATAAACATTCAGCACATTGTAAAGAGCATCAGCGCAGTATCATGCTACTTTCAAGCTCCAATATGATAGTATCTTCCCTGGCAAAATTAGTTCCTACCTCATAAGTTATCAAGTCTCAACAATACTATAACATACCCTTTCCCAATACTGTTAGGACTTTCAGATAAAGAGATAACTATTCACGCTGCAATACTGATTTGAATTAAGGGTGGGTTTGTCTCATATTGATACCGCACAACACTCACTTTAGCATTTGTTTGAATGCGGCAGGCTCAACATCTTCCACGTTAATTTCACTGCTTTCAGCGGACCATTTCTCACTAAACATTGCAAAAAATACTGCACTTCGTGCAGCTAAGATCAACTTGTGTGCAGGTATTTTCTCTGTATCCGCACCAGAGCCTACAACAAATTCTACATCACAAAGCAGTTTGTTTTCAAATAGGTGATGGCAACTTTCGTTCAAATAGCTCTTTGTCCCTTGCCAGTCCAGCTCGTCAATACTGCCAGTGCCAGGGGTCACGTTGTTAGCAAATGAGCCATCTTCTTCTTTGCTCGAGGTTGATGCCATTTTTGACTCCTTAAGATACCTTCTGTAATAGTCAAAATCGAACAGACAACTGTAAGTAAGTATGAATTGAAAAATAAGAAGGCATTTGAGGAACAGGATAATCGTGATCAAATTTCTTGGCTTGCTCCACCAAATCTAGTACCTGCTAAGTAGTTGAACACTAATCTACTGCACATGTAAAAACTATTTTAATCTCAAAAGAGGATGAACACTCTTTAGCTTTCCTTGCCATACAAAAATTTGATCCACTATGACAGGTGAAAAGTTGAGGGATAATATAGCAATAGAAGTACTTGAATCAAGTTTCTTACTCCGTTTGGAGGAAATTCTCCGCCGTCGGCAGTGACTGATACCAATGAACCCAAAACAGAAATTTCCGATTCAGTTTACCTCTGAGGAGCGGAGGAAAGAAACATCAAACCAAGGAAAATCAATGACTGGACTGTCAAAATAAATTAAATTAGGTAAGTATGAGGAAACGCAGATCGGGCATACATGATGTTATTAGGAGGCAGGAGAGTGCCTTCACAAAGATACTCCATGAGGCAGGAGGCAAAATCAAGCCGGTTCCTCTCATACATGTCTAAAACGTGAGCTAACGTTAACGATAACATTAAATAGAAATTTCTGACGAATCATTGAAAACCGAAAAAGCTTACTTACAATGATTATTGTTCAACTAGTGTCCTTCTTCTGAGTGGGCACGTGCACGCATGTATGTTTTCTCTGCGTACACGTACAAACCAAAACAAACCCGGCGAACAAAAGAAGAGCTACAAAGGTTTTCGCGGGCTCTTTTTGTTGTCATCATTTCTTATCAGTGGCCAATCGGAGGACTTAGTCAACCCACACGGCGGGAATTTCGAAAGTTACTACATTGCGCGTTTTTGCGAAACTATGGCAAAACTCCAATAGGGTCCAAGGTAGATTTACACGGGTCTAACGTTTTATTTCTGATGGAGGAATCGAGATTGAAAAATGATAATTTTTATAGAGTACCTAACGTTAAATAGACTGAATTAAAAAGGGATAATAAAATTACACTATGGAAAAAGATAAGTTACCTACGAGTACTTTAGAGCTTAACGAAAGCCACACATTTCCTTTGCTGGTTAAAAATTTAAAGTTGAGAAAAAATATTGTGAACGTGAAAATGAGCTTGGACATTAAGCTAATGTTAGAGATTCGCCATCTTTATAATCTTAATTCTTGTAACAACTTAATCGGATCTAAATATTTTATGGGTATTGATAAAATATCTCATTTTTTTTTTAGATTTACTTACTTTTGCTTCTACTTCTAACAATTAATGTGATATAATAATTTTGGACAAAAAGTACGGTTTAAATAACTTTTACGTAAATTTTAAAAGTACAACTCTTAAATAAATGAGGAAAAAACTATTAATATGTTCGTTTTATGAAATCCTTTCAGGGTGTCTTTTTAGGTAAAATTTACAGGCCATAAAACTTGAGTAAAAAAAACTCTTTAAGTAAAGTTAAAAAACTCCCAAAGTATCAGTTTTAGTTACACGACACTAAAGATGTTTTACAGAAAAAGTTGAAAAAACTCTAAAAAGAAGTCATTTTTTAAAATAGTTTCTGCTGGAACTGCGCAAAAAGTTAAATTCTGATTCACCTAAAGTGGCAAAAAATAAGGGTTTCCTAAAACAAGCATTTCAACCGTTTTTCGAGCTTTTGAAAATTGCTTTTTAAAGGACATGGCAACTATGGGGTGAGCTATCTTCTCAGCCAAATAATTCATGCTATGAATTTTAACTCACAATCAAAGTTGGTTACTACCCCTTAGTTTGGACTCCGGAATACTTTCACCAATGTGCAAAGTCCGTCATGACAAAAGCATCTATGGCAAATTAATTTTTTTTTCTTTTTGCAAATCCCTCCCCGCAAGAAAGAGAAGCCACCTTGGGGCTTTCTCTCCACCTTGAATTTTTTCCACCTTGTTACATTTGGGGGAATTTCTCCACCTTGTTACATACCGTTCAGGCCACTTCTTAGTGTTTTTTTTTTTTTTTTTCATTCTTTCTTTGATTTACCTACTAAGAGGAGAGTGGATATTATTAGAGGTTAACGGTTGTAAACGGCTGAAAGTTTCAAGTGTGGAGTGTAAAATTACGTTTATGGAGAGAGATGACGATTTGCTCTCGCGAGTCTTGGGGGCAAATTTTCCGCGATATATGATGATTTTCATTAACTCAAATGGATCTCATAGACCCCATTCCTTTTCAAGGACACAAACTATTCTCTTTGAGTTGAAAGGATTTGAGAGAAATTAAAATCAGATTAGTATCGAAATAGAGTGTTATTAATCAATGCAGTACCACAGTAACAAATAAAAGTGGAGAGGTAGTAAAAATACAAAAATAAATTTTAAAAATTGAATACAATATCGGTTTAGGAAAATACAATCATAAAGAATACATAAAAGACTCAACCAGGTATAGAAAAGATTGAGAAAATTGCTTTCGACGAATTTCATGGGAGTAGAGGGTTTGGCATTACACTATTTGTATGCAGTTCTACGGATGAGAAGTTGAACGCAGGTAGTTACAGTTGGACCGCGATAAGCAGAAAGGAGCCAAGCCACATCAGCTAGTGCTATATTTAATCGGGTAATTTAATTTATTACATGGAAACGATTGTGCAGATTTCTTTGCAAATTTCAGTGAGTTTCTGCATGGTATAAGGTAAATTCCTTAAAATGTTCAAAAAATGTTCAAATGTTCTCTTGTAAAAAATTAGATTGCTCAGTTACATTTGGCAATAGCTGGTGTGGCTTGGTTCCTTTCTGCTAGATGCGGTTCAGTTTCTTTCTAGGGTGATTTTCCTTGTTCAGTCCATTAAACCCTGCACAGAAATATGCTCCAAAAGAGAATTGTCAGAATTGATTTTCTTTTTTGAAGTTTGGACTTATGAAAGTTTATCAAAAAAGTAATTGGCCTTGAACTAAGATCGCAAGGCTGTTTTGCACAAACCACTTTTAGGGGCATCTGATGACGCAAAGGCCTTCTCACAAAATTTTTGTTTCGGCAGGAAACCCTTCGTTTAAAAATTATAAAGGCTAACTTCGATCTGATTCTCATAGTGGAGAAACCAAACTTTTTGCATTTAAAGTCATGGATTTAAATAAAAATCTGAACAGTAATAAAACGGAACATTTTTAAATAAAGGCACTTCAGAATATACAAAAATTAAGCTTAAAGTTGAAGAAAACAAATTATAGTCAAAAAATACAAAGTGATGAATGGTACTAAAGACCTAAAATAATATCTAAATGAGCAACATAAACAACAGGAATCTCAAAAACCATTAGCGGTTTAAAAAGAAAACTTCCCAAAGCACGTACAATAAAAAGATCCTCAGTAACCTCAACAACAAACATTTATGTGAGGATTAAAATTAAAAGTGGCATTCTTTCCTTCAATTCCGATTGTTGTAACATTTATTGCTCCTCTCTTAACCGATACAGGTCGAGATATATTAGACCTGATATTTCAAAAGAGCTTCCAGAAACCTTGTTAGGGCAAGGTGATGAAAGTTCATTCAACGTTAGGAAATAGAAATAATTTTAATGAAATAAAGGATCGTTTAGCAGTAATGATAGAAGAAAATTCATTTCAAATGAGCTGCACTCGAAAATTCAATTAAACTGCACTTATATTGATTATTTTTATGTTGTGTCAGTAGGTAACAAGTGTATGTAGCCATATTTTTTATACTAATATCTGCATATTCAAAGCTTTCTCAATTTCAATATCGGCTGGAGTACATGTATTTTAGGATTCGCTCAAAAATTTACTTTTACATTGAAAAAAATAAAATCTATTTTTGATCTGTCTTATACTGACACATTTTGTTTCATTTTTGGTGCTTCTGATATTCATCACTTCAGCGAGCCTTGGGCAATAGGCCTTATATTAATATTACTGTTAATCTAATTTCCATCATCTAGCAATTCGAGTATCCAAAAAATTAAACCTCCTTCCCTTCTTCCTATCCAAACGCTTCCTATATGCTTTCCAAACATTATCCGCTTCCTCATAAGTTTAAATAAAGTCCAACCTGAGCCGAATAAGTTTGAATACTTCTAAAGTGTGACATAGGATCTACCATTTTCCTTCTGGTATTTACTTTCAATGCTCCACTTGCGGAGGGTGGATCATCTATGACAGTTTTAACCCCTCCATTACTACGAAAGCGGCATCAACATTTAAACGCGCGAAACTGTATTCATCCTGTAACAATACTGCCATTACTCAACAGCCTCTACTCACAAGTATTCACACTTTTACTTCTAAGTATGTGTCGAGGAGTATCTGAACTACAACTTGAGAAACTTCCCAACAGAGTGCTCCGATTTGTTAACATGATAACCGATTCTCATTTTGGAGCATGTGCATGAAGAGTTTAGCCTAGTAATAAAAGGATTAGATTGTTCTAACTTATTTCGCATGGAATGTAACTGATGTCTGTCGATCATATTCCATTAGATGTAGATGAAAAATTAAATACAAAAGAGAGGCGAGCAAAAAAATTACAACAAAATAGGGAAAGAAAAAACTCAAAGCCTTGAGCAGGAATCAAATGCAGAACATAATTTGGACGTATTTCTGTTAAACGAAACTATGTGCATTATGACTGGAGCTCTGGTATGCATATATTCTTACTAGCGAAATGTCCGTGACTGGAGTCACGGGTCTAGAGGCCGCTAAAATATCTGCAACCCCGAAAAAATGGTGGCAGGGGAGCAAGACATGCCATAAAAAAAAATTATAAAATCGATAGAAAAATGAGTCAAGGGGAGAGGGTGATGGAGCTAGAAAAATGAGCTGGGGGGGAGGTAGAATAAATTCTGGCAAAAAAAATTAGAACTAACCTAGCAATGATTTTTTTTTTAAAAAAAAAAGAAAAAAAGAAATTGAAATAAAACATCAGCTGATAGCAAACAAAGGTTACCGAGGAAACCAAGGAATGGAATTTCATAAAAACAGATTAGTGGAAAACAGCGTAAGTAAGGCACTTACGTTAATTACCGTTTATAAGTAAATGGTGAGTGCGATTTAACCAAAAATCTACACAGTTCTTTACAAGACCAAAATGGACAAAATTATAAAATTTGAATAGGCCAACGTAAATCTAATGATAGTTATCGTGAACGAAAGAATTGACGACATAGGTCGGGTAACTATTATAGGTGGGATTATAGGTGGGATGGGTCTCAGGGCTCATGTCTTAATGCACATAGTTCCATTTGGCAGAAATACGTCCATTTAAGGGCTAGATTCACTGCTATTGCGCCATAATACTGGGGGAACGACGCAAGCCATAGCAACCATACATATATAGTCCTCTACTCTACAGTTTGCTGGTTGCTTCAAAACCTGATTGAGGGTACCTATGAAATTTTTGCGATTTTTTTGAGGGATTGCTATAAAAAAGTTACAGGTGACGAGCAAAGTCTTAAATATTCTATAAACCATATCTCAATTTGATCAGAGGCAGCAATGAAGATCGGCAAACTTAGTTAGCTCTCCATTTTTAGAAATATAGAAAAGTGAGGCACAACAATTGAGCAGAGGTACAATAAGAGAAATAAAAATAATGATAATTTTAGAAGACCTTAGTGCATAATTACAATTAAATGAATACAGATCCAGAAATGGGACATTTCATGGATCAAAAAGAAGCTCTGGGATTTGCCCACTATTCACATCTGTCATATGTCCTCGGTTGCCTTCATTCGGAACATTTTCATAGCTGAGGAAATTAATGATGACGTTTTCTTTTGTATTGTTAATTATTGCTGGTTTTGTTACAGTCGATTTACCACTGCATCCATATGTCGAATAATAGCCCTTGAACAGAAGATTAGAAACAATAGGAAGATGCCTTAAAATGATGATAACACCATTAAACAGAGAGTGACAAGACATTTTTATTTGAGAGCCATTGGGCTGTCCCATAACACAAGAAGTGCTTATAGAGCAGGACTGCAAACCAGAGGGAATTTGGCAACCAGTTCCAAAGATGTTCTGAAGATTCAGGAGATTCGGTTCCAGTTCCCCAGAAGTTATTGGCTCCATCAACTGGTTCCAACCAGTTTTATTTTGGTTCTTAAAATTTTTTTTATTTTTAAAAGAGGCTCAAAAGTTAATGATGACATATGATATGACAGGAGCTGTGTTCTGGATAATTCCGAAAACTTGGATTTAAGACTCCATGGCTGCCAGTCTATTCCTGATTTTAGCTATTTTATAAGAGCTGGTCTCAGGTGCGCCTTAAAAAACCTAACCATGGAAGTATGTTGAGGTTACTTCCAGGACCAAATATCAAATGAACTCTGTCATTGTGCAGATTTTGAGATCTTGGGATCCAACAGAACTGCCGAGCATCACATTGTTGGGTATTTTCAAGCAGGCGGTGAGAGTTTCTGTTTTGTGATTTAGTTTATTCTTATTAATGATCTTACGTCCTTGTTGTTGCTAGTGTTGTTCCATATTTTTCTTTGTTTTTGTTATTTTCTATATTGTATTGTTTTTTATCTTGTTAGTATGTACTGGTAATTCTATTGTATTTGAGTAAAAATGCCCGTTATGCAAATTAAATAAAAAAATAAAGAAGGATTGAAACAGAAAATCAAGAAGCGTTGTCTTGAGAGAACTTCAACAGAGGTACAGTGTGAAATTAAAAAATCACCTGCATCAGTGAATGTGCACTACATACCTGGATTAACACATGAAGAGCATACGGAGAGTTATTGGTATTTGGCTGTATCTTAATCGGCTGAGGAAAAAAAACTCTAAAAATTTTGTCAGAACAATAGTGGGTTCTATAATTGGTCTGCGAGTTTATACCATAATAAGAATTTGTCACTTGAGTCTTAACTTGATATGTGACGTCCGGAGTGCCGTAAAGTCCAAAACCAATCAGATTAATGGCTCGATTACTGTGAAACCTATAATGGAGGAGAGAAACAAGTGAGGGATTTTCATTCTACTGTTTCAAAACTTACTGTTGAATGGTGACTAAAATAGAGTGTTGTATAAAAAGATATATAAGATAATCATTAATGCAATTAATTCTACTTACCCCAGATAGCATGCGAATACTCAAAGAATATCCTACAAATATTCGCGAGAAAAAGCGAATATTCATCCATGGAATATTTAAGTGGCATACAACCTGTGTTTTGAATGTTCTATGAATAGTTTACAAACAGTTTATGGCTATGGTCTATGGTTATAGAATTACATTTTATTTAGTCTAAAACCTCAGTAAACTGATATTACTTTTGCTGCATGCTCTCTGGCTAGGCTCAAGCAAGCTCGCGCCACTCCGCCTTTGTGATGTCACATGTACGGACTTTTTCAGATGGGGACAGCGCTTCCCCATACACTTTTGGTCTGCATTGGTAAAGGAAAAGTACGTGTGGAACAGATAAAAATGAATCTGTGCGCTTTAAAGCACTGCCCTGTTATCAACTAATGAAAATTGCCACTGACTGCGACAGTTGCGGCATAGGACACAATAATAAATAAATTTAATGATGATATTCGGCCTTGTCTCCATGGGACGTTTTCATGGGATTTGTCCTAACTTCAAATCGCAGGAATAAAACTTCTGGGATTTTTCCCAGTTACCGTCTCCACGGGACGAGGTTCATGTGGTCCTTCGACTAGTTTGCGCGGGAAGATAAATTAGATAAAGTCGAGTATTTAACCGAGATTAAAATAATTTTTGCACTCAATTAACAATTAGACACATTATTTAAACTAAAAAAACATGAACCATTGGAGTAATCAACAAAATATCGCACAATTCGTTTCCACTTCTTCTTCCTCTCTCAGTGGGTCTTAGGGGTACAAGGACCATACTTGGTGCTGGGAAAAATATTGATTAACTCAATATTCTTCCCAACTTCGTAAGTGGGATTTTTCCCTGAGCCAAATCCTGTGAAACGGCCCGTGGAGACAAGGCCTTTCTTTTAAAGGACTTAGTAAGAATCAGATAAACAGACTAGGTGCAACCTACTGGATTTTGTGATAAGAAGTAGGATTGGGGCTCCCAAAACATCCACCGGTTACTTCATGCTGGAATCGATGAGCGACAGCCCATGTCCTTCGCGGTTCAGTGTTGAAAATGTCACATTTCGCGTTGGACTCTAAGCTAAAGTGCAGCAGAACAGAAATTATTTCTGTTTTTGAAAGCAGACCTGAAGTGACAACTTTAGAGGAGAAATCTCTTGGCTCCATTACAGGAAACCTGAGGAAGGAGAGAGCGTCTTTCAGCAGAAGCCTTTTCTGCTTTGGAGAAACGGGATGATTATTTTTTACGCAGGCTTCCTCGGCCCATCTGAAACACAAAGATACTCATTGACTTTAGAATATGTTTGGGAAGAAAGAATTGCAATCTACAGTTGACATGTTTTTACAGTTAAGTCACATCAGACATCATTCTAGACTCTCTTCGACTTGTGCTTGATGCAATTTTGGTAAGACTTCACCTCTGCTGAGTCTGAATAGTTTGCTATATCTCTGATGGGCAACAGACCTGTTTCTTGGCGATGAATAAAATGCGCAACATGCAACCTCCTCTCTGAATTGTAATGTAACAACATTGCAATAATTTCTGTACCCTTATTTGAGAATGAAAGATAAGGGGGAAGTACAACTGAAAATTGGGATGAAAAAGCAACTTTAAAATAATTTAATTTGATGGCTAAACTCTCTTCAACATAATTGCAATAATTAGATAGCCCGAAATCGCATATTTTCAAAGTAGGGTTTGAAGGATAAATTGCTTTGGATTTGGGAGGGGGGGGGGGTGTCAAATGATATGTAAGGACATTTGCTTTTTAGAGATGAAACCTCAATGGACTAACCTGTTAACAGCATCAAATAACAATATTTCTTCAATCCTTAAGTCTGATCTTTCTAATACCAAACCTAGAGTTTCCACATCGATGTCTAAAAAATCCTCTGAATTTAGTGCAGTATCAGTATTCTTGGCTATGATATCCAGACAGTCACTGACAAGTTTATCCATGTGAAAAAGTCTAGCCTGTAAAAAACATCAATAAAATTTGATCGATTCTTCGTTCAAAAAGAAAATTAAAATACTGAAAGGATATAGTGTTGGACGATCTAAATGTGTGAGTAAAAATTATTTGCAAAAGAAGCATTTGTAAGGAAAATTATTAAAGAACAAATACATATTTCTGTATCTTTTTCACATTGCATAATCTACAAATGATTGAGTTATGGTACTCTCTCTTCATGACCAGAACTCAAAGGACCAGCAGATTTCCTTGCTATAGAGAGGTTCTCATTTTAATGACAGTATGTAATTAATAAGGGTAGTTCAAGGGACCGGCCAATTTCCTCGTTATAGAGAGGCTCTCATTGCAACAATAGACGTTATGGAGAGAGACTGCTGTATTAAGTTACGTTCCGATTTTTAAATTGCCTGTTATTCATGTGTTATAATCTTCCAGTCCTGAACATTCCTGGAATTTTTCCACAGTTAAATTGAAATAGTTTTCCGGTTGAAGAGAACGTCTGAAAATAAGAGGTTTCAGCAAGCTTTTGAAACATTAAAAATCGAAATTGTATACCAAGATTGGTGAAGTATTAAGATCAATTTTTCATTCATTTTCCAAGTTCCAATTTTGTGGTACTTAGCCTCAAGATAGCACATTAAATGGACTGCATTTTGCAATTTGGAGCTATAAATTCTGTCTCATTTGAAGAAACACGTATGTGCATAAGGAAACTAATGGCACATACGTTGTTTTTAAACCGGGCGAGAATTTATAGTTCCAAATTGCAAAATGCAGTCCAAATTTGTGCCTCATCATGAGAGCCGGCCCCACCATAGAATGATAGCTACCAGAAAGGCAGCAGTCGGTCATCTTTGCTCCGATTCTTGAAATCCCCGCGACCCCCGCTTAGCCTACCTTGTGAGGAAAAAGAGCAAAGTCGGGCCGCTCTTACCCTATGTCTCTCTGCCGTTTCAAATTTCGCTGGGGAAAAAGAGCGAAGGCCGCTTCGAAAAAGTGACTACACGCAATCTTACAGGAGGATCAGCCAGTTACCTTTCTGGCAGCTGTTATCCTATGGCCCCACTTTTTGATAAAACCAGAGAAATTGTGATATTAAATGGTTGAAGTTGATGGTAACAATATTTGATTCTTACCTGTATCAAAACGTTAAAAGCATTTTCTGGACACAAATTGTCTGAAAGGTAATCAGAGCACTTATTTTCTAAGGCAACGATGGAATATTTCTTCGCGGCATAGATCACAGGACTGACTATATCGAGAGTAAGTGCAACATTGTCAGAATACAAAAATCTGTAAAGACAATAAAAATGAAGTTTTATCATTAATGGATTTCCGATTACATAGTGCAGAACTTTACATTTGGAATAATAAACTGAAAATAGAAATTTTTCGCAAAGAACTGTCGCTTGTTCCTTCATATCCAGCTATGCAGTAAATTTGCCATATAGAAATTGTACTTACAAAAATAAATTATCAATCGAAAACAAAACCTTATTACATAAAGACAAATCGGTAAATTGTGGATTTTAAAGATCTTTTGAAGTTCAAAAATAGTCCATTGTTGTATTAACTCATGAGCCACTACATACTGGGTAAAAATTACAGTATATCATAAGACACTTTATTTCATCAGAGATTCATACGGAATACATGGGAGCTATTCAAATTGTTCGAAATCAACTTGCACTTACAGTACCAACATTCTTTATTCAGATTAATGATAGTAAATTGGACGTATTTCTACCAAAGAGACCTAAGTATGTGAAGGTGAGAAATATGGGGTGTGCTCGTTAGTTCTCTGGCCGTAAGAGTGAATGAGAATAATAAAGCGCCAGTGACGTCAGCGGCAACGAAGCCGCTCGCCTCCTCCGCCCGCCTCTGAATAAACTCATGAGCCCTGTGCACAACGCTCTCTTGCCATGCCCGCGGCTCATGAATTCCGCACTCAGTTGGCACATAGGTCTCTTTGATAGAATGTAAAATCCCGCTTTTACAATTCTTCAAAAGGAATCACGCCCACTTTTACATTGCTTCTTATGCAGCTTCGACGAGCACACCCCATATTTCTCACCTCCACATAGGTCTGTTTGGTAGAAATACGTCCAATTAAGACTTTCAGTGTGCTGAAAATACCAATATCAATTAAGTCTAAACGCTCGTGTTTGAGCCATAGCAGTATGTTTTTGTTATCACTCCGAGCCAAGGATGTGTCAACAGAGATGGGCGAAAATTATTCGATCAGTCAACGTTGATCAATCATCTCAATCCGTTGAATAACTGACAACTGATCTATCTTATCAGGTAGAGAATTCTGCGGACCAAGCATCTAGTCAGTGTTGGCACACCAATTTCAGTGATTGTCAAATTATTTGCCCTCAACTCTGTGTGTTAACGACACATAACCAAGTTTCTTCCAACTAACAGCGACGAAGTTGGCAGTTGGGGATGCAACCTGGTATTCACATCGGTGACATGCAGCAAATATCCAAGTTAGGAGAGTTTTAGAATAATATTCCTCTAGGTGAACAGAAAAAAAACTTTTTGCAAAGCTAATGTTAATCATACTTACCTAAAAAGTTGTACTTTTGATACTACAGATTATCAAAATACCCTTTCATCCCTGTCAAGAACTCATTATCATATGGAGAATATTTCCATTGAAGAATACACTGAAATCAGTTAAGTGCTCAATTCAACTTGGCCAAGCAAGGGACCTCCCTGTTTTTCACATTCCACGAATGTTCCTGCCAAGATTTCCATTAATTCTTCTTTTTTCATGATTTTCCTTGATCTCCTAAGCAAAATTCTGCTGAGATTTTTTTTTTTGATTTCACTGATTTTTACGAAACTTTGGAAGAAATTTATTTTTCCAGAGATTCACATCATGGAAAAAGGCACTCAGAAATTATCTGGGCTCTTTTGAATGGCAATAGCTTAAGTTGCTGGGCCTCTGCGCCGCACAAAAAATTCTCTGACTTTTTCTTCGAATTACCAGACTTTCCAGGTGTTCAGACTGCTGCTGGAAACCTCAGCCCCTCCTTTCTAATCTTGGCAGTCTCTTCTTTTAACTTTTTTGGAGCATGCGAGTATCCCCTGCCCAAGTGAAAATTATTCACCCTAAGTAATAGGTAACATTTAAACACTTCCCATGTGGATACTCACTGGAGCATAACTTTAAATGCAGCAGGCTCAACATCCGGAACTTTGACTTCATTATTATTGCCATCAGCAGACCATTTGTCGCTGAACATGGCAAAGAAAACAGAGCTCCTTGTTGACAGAACCAACTTGTGCGCAGATATCTTTTCCGTGTCCGAAGCGACGTCAGAACCAACAATGAAGTCAACATCACAGAGCAGTTTTTGCTCTAATATATATAGAAAACTTTCGCCTATGCTCTTTGTTGCTTGCCAGTCGATATCCTCATTGTTGTGTCCTGTCCGCACAGGTTGTGTAGACAAATTTGAATCTGTTTCGCTTAATAAAACCATTTTTTGGAAGAATGTCTGTAAAAGAATAACACAGAGAAGAAAGTTGAATGAGCAAGAAGTACTTTAATTAATAGAAAATTGAAAGTGCCAGTTCTTCAAGGAAAATCAGCTTCTTAGGAAGATGGTGAGAGTAAGAAAAAAAACGAAGGTCATACTTAGCGACAGCAGCTCTAAATGCAAAGGAATCTACGGAGAGGCTTGCGAAATTTGTCCGTGGCTATTCATTGCTTATCGAAATACCTTCAGTTACTGTTGAATGAAAAGTTGGGCGAGCAAGGAGGTAAACAAAGTCTTAGGATAGTAGTTAAGCTCCAGTTGGGCAGTGGGTAATTCTGCAAGCAATGGATCACTAGACAAGGTACGAATTTAAGCATTCTGGTACATATTTCTTAACCAAAATTCCACGTAGAACACGATTCGCGCAACGAAAATTACTGAAACCAACTCCTAACGAAGATATTAACCTTTTCATTTCACATTCGTTACGAGGAATTTGATACAGCACAGTATTTCGTGGATACACATTTAACTCAGCAAAATGCGTGTGCTGATTTTCGGGAATGAGAAAGTGGTCCTCTTCTAGTTGGAAAAACTTCATCGAAGAGAAACTTACGTGAGAAATGCAAAGAAACGCGGCAGCTCCTCATGAACAACCAAAGACATAAAGACGGAACACTAAAAGCAAAAAATGAAGCTTCTAGAGCTTCTTTTCAATCACCTCTACTATTGGCTAGAGGATTGGCGGCGAAATCGGGACAAGTTTGAATTCAAATGTAGGGCGGGAACTAATAAATAAAATTGCGGAAACAAAGTATTTTAGGTTGATTTTTGCCCAAATTCAGGTACACACTCATATTTTATTAACTTTAGGTTAGTTTCGGTCCGTCGTCGACCGACTGATTTCATTTGGGAGTAACGTAGATCTAGAACTGTAACGGCCTGTTTGAACCTGCAGAACCACCATAAGCAGAAGAAAAACTAACTTTATCTGAGATTACTGCCTGTTACCGAGCAAAAGTAGGTGTAATATATTAGGACGCAGACCAAACTTTCTTAATATAATCGTTTTAAGCATTTAAAACACGTTTCGAAGAAGAAATAAGGAAAAATCAAGAGGACAAGTTCAAATCAAATTTCCGTTTGCCGCCATGGATTCCCGCGCTCATTTACACACTCACACAAGCGCGCAGCGCCGAACCTAGCTTCACTTTTTCCCCGTGCTTTTAGATACGAGCGCTCCGTCTTTATGTCTTTGTGAACAACATCAACAGGTTAAAAGTGTGGTTAGGTAATAGGTTTACGCGAGCACGCGAGCTCACAGCTCAAGTGCTCTACCTTTCTACCTTGCATCAACGTATGCTCTGTTGCTTGGTAACTTTTTGAAGGGGCTTCAAGGCGTTCATAAGTCATAACTGCAAACGCATCTTACAGAATAAAACAGTAGCTGTTAAATACTGCGAGTACAAGTCAGCCAAACGCAAGCACATTCAGAGGATTAATTTGAACTTGTAAAATATCAAGAAATTGAAAAATAAATTTTGGGCTGCGAGACTACGTTTATGCTGAGTGATTGGACTTGGTTATTTTGTACCTAATTAGGAACAACCACGCGATTTCTAGCTCGGTTTAGAAACAATGTGTATACCATTATTACGCACATAAGTTTTCAAACAGATGAGCTAGAAATGGTGGTTCCAAGCTGCAAAATTTTGTCCAATTTACACACCTTCTTGAACAGACTACTTACAATTATATCAAACTGGTCCAAAATGCAAGTAAAAACTTCATAAGAATGAGAGAAATATTTTTTCTAAAATTAAAAATCTCACTAACACATCAAGTAGGTACCCAAATATAATTTGAATACAGGCTTAGCCATACCTATCCGCACAGAAATCAAACCTGAAGATAATGAGAAGTTATTTGAAATACTTCCGCAGCTTCATAACTCTTCCTCTGAAACCGGAATTTCATGTTGCAGAAGAGAAGGCTCAGGGACAGCTGGCTCTGAATTTGATGGATTTCCAACAATGAACAGCTCAAACAGACCTCATTGCCAGGTGGTTTTCAGTTTTGTCCAAGGGCCACTGAAACCCCTAAAAAATTGTCTGAAAATTTCCCTCGGTAGGTAATCATTCATGGTATGAGGAATGATTGCTACCTCGGTGTTTATGCTTCTGAAGTATCTTAATGCCCTAGTACTTGCCGTAAGGCTGAGGGGTTGCAGGTTCAAATGCGTAGCTGGGTTCTTGTTCTTAAGGCCATCTTTAAGTCCTGATAATATTATTTAAAAAGAACCTCTCTAGACCCTAATAGCAATGACCGTTTAAAAAACTTGTAAATTTTGGAAAGACAACTTTTAAATGAATTAAACAAATGTATAAAATGTTTGTTTTATGAAATCCTTTTGGAGTATTTTTTTAAGTACAATTTACAAGAGGTAAAATTTAAGTAAAAAACTCTTTAGGTAGTGTTAAAAAACTCCCAAAATATCATAGGTAGTCATAGTTTCACAACACTAAAAATGTTTAAAAAATGTTGAAAAACTATTTAACAAGAAGTAATTTTCTTTGAAATACTTTTTTGCGTGAATTTCACAAAAAATTAAATTTGGCTTTAAAAGTAGCCAAAAAGAAAGGTTTCCTACAGCGAACATTTCCAACAGCCTTTTGAGAGTTTTTGAAAGTCACTTTTTAAAGCTTATCGCCACTGGGGTGAGCAATTTTCTCGGCCAAATAATGCTATGTATGTTGACACAAAGTTAGTAACTACCCCTTAGTTTGAATTCTTAAAAATTTCCACCAAGTGCAAAGTAAAATTTACTTAACTGAAAAATCAAAAAGAGGAGAGAAAGAAAGTTTTAAAAAGTATCTGAACGTTAACATTTGCACAAATAAAGCTAACACCATATCCATGGAAAATTAATAACCCCCCCCCCCCCCCCCCCCCCNTGAGTGAAGCCTAGAAAAAGAATAGATTTTCCTCTAAAAAGGAAAATGGTGTTACTAGCTAAAAAGTATGGAAAGCTCTATCTTGAATTAAGAGAATTCTAGAGAGACTCTCTCAGTAACTTTGCCTGTGAGTAGGTCAGTCTCAATGTGGTTTTGCTTTCTACTCACATCGTGGAAGTGAATACATGTTCTCTAAATTTTTAAAGGAGGGAGGGGGGCAGTGTTAAATTGGACAAGCAAAAGAAAATTTAAAAAAAAAAAGGCAAACATAAATACAAAAAATTGTACTGATTCTTTCTTTGATTTACAAGAAGTAGAGTGGAAAACATTAGATGTTAACATGCACAGTCCATTCCTAGCACAATTTCAAGCGGCACTTAACAATAAATCCTCAAAATTTTGGTGCCTGGGTATAGATTAAGAAATGACCTACGGCAAAAGTAGAGACAAAATAAAAATCATCACAGCAGTCAATACGTTGATGAGACATTACCATGCTGAATGACTTTGCTTTACATTTGGACAAGACTGGTTTCTCAAGGGACAGAAATCCTTACCGCACGTGCTCAACCACAATTTAAGATGGATTAGAAGTGGTAGACAATGTTTATTATTAATTACATTAAACTTAGTACTTAAGAAAAAAGAAATAAAAAAAAAAAAAAAACATGACTAATTTGAAGCTTAGATTTTGTCAGTATTTGACTGAACTAACAGAAATGGAAGTAAAAATGAAAAATTCACTTAACTTCACAGAAATAAGCTGATAATAAAATTGGTAGAACAGCAATAATGTCTTAAACAGATCCTATTGAAGTTTTGTGAATATCTGACATGGTAGTTATTATTTTACAGAATCCTCTCACTTAAATTAATGGAAATTCCAGAAACAATAAGGGGAAAAATTGAGTAAGCTCCAATCATGCTTAATGAGACAGTGTGAAAAGAATTCTCCTGTGTCTGTCGACCCTAACAATTTGACCAATAATTCTAGATTTACCTACTCTAGAGCGAGATCAAAAAATAACTGCAACTCTTAAGGTTACTATAAGTGTCTCTTAGACTTCATACCAAAACAGAGTAAAGTTAATCTCATCCTCAGGCAGTTATGTTTAAATTCTGTAAAACATACAAAAATGAGAATGTAGATACCTTATTTCTTTTAAAATGATAGATACATACCAGCACTTCCTTTCAATGGAAAAAAACCTCTTTTGAAACATTATAAGAAAGAGTAAGACTGAATAATTAATAAGAGATCACCCCTGACTAATGTGTTTCGTTCATGATCCTCAAGCAGCTATTTCCTTTATTTATTCATCTAATTTTATTATTTTTACTTTTTTTTATTTCATTTTTTTCCAACAAAAATTGTTTATAGTAACACGCAACAAGTATGCAACAAGACTTACAAAGGAAAGGGTAAAAGACCAATGTCAATGATTTTGGCCTTAAATGAAAGCCTATGTAAAATTTAAAAATGCCAAGTTTCATTTTTTTTGCCATTGGGCCTTCGAGAATCCCCCTCTAGCCCCCTAAAAGTCTCAAATTTAAAATGGAAACCTTCATGTGACATGCACAATGCATGCTGATCAGACCTCAACACTCAGCTGTTACCACGCAAACGGTCTTAGCATACTGGTTACCGCCCTATGCTATTACTTTGAGGATTGTGGGTTCCATTCAAGCATTGAAAAATCGGATGCCCTGGAAGTTTGATACAATTATTACGTTTTTTAATTCTATAACCATTCCTTCTTCCCCTCCCTACTTTCAAGAAACATGCGAGTTCATTGAAGAATCAGTGGCATTACCCTCAGTATATTCTATTTTTATGACATGCTCCAAATACACTTGAAATAATTTATTTTAACAAATTTAGGGAAAAAGAAAAAAAATCGAAAAATATGAAACAATTTCACGAGAACAAGCTGAGTGGGAGGCCCGCTTGGTATTTTACAGCCTTAGAACAGAAGACTATAAACCTTGGCGTTCTAAGCCCTCTTGCATAGGCTAGATAAGTACAGGAAAACGCTGTTCATCCTGTATTCTTGAATAAAGATGACGCGAGTCAGTTTATTGAAATATGTATAATGGGAGCATGTTCTACAAGTAAAAAATATATGGGGGATGCAATCGATTTTCTATTGACCTCCCATGTTTCATAGACTGAGGGCGGAAGAATAGGGAAAGGATGAGGAATATTAAGGGGTAGTGAGTGATAATAAAAAACAAAAAAATTGTATGGAAATTCGAACATGTTAATGTTGTCAAGGCAGGAATCAAAGTGACGACCTTTATATCACCGGTCCAGCATGGTAACCACTTTCCCAACGGTTATTCAGGTATGCTGAGACTGGGATCAAAGAATAATCAGCTTGCAATGCATAACTCAATGATTTCCAAATATAGGGCTGGGAGGAAGGGGGGGAAGCTCATGAAGGCTCATCAGGCCCATTGGCAAAAACGTTGAAATATGTCAATTGAAGTTTTATATCAATTAAATTTAAGACCAAAACATTGAAATCTGAGGCAGACCTTAATATTGAAGAACCTTTTGAAACTTTGTGTTGATGTCAATAAATACAAAATAAAACGGAAATTATTCTCACAGAAAAATCCTTTCTGCTAAGAATTTCAACAAAAAACTAATCAATTTCTGAAACCATTTAAAAGACTACGTTGATTTTCTATTGGATCACATTTTGCAAAAAGGAACCAGTGAACTACAGTGTTGAAAAAATGTTGCTTCTTCAAAATTATCTAAAAAATCTCCCTGAACAGCAAATTTTTTTTACTTCCCACCAAAAAGTTGTTAATTTTAAAGGAAAATAATTGTATAAATTTCAATACTGCGCACACATTGAGTGTTTTTAAAAGAAAAGAAGTTGCACAATTTTGAAAACACTGTATTTGCGCTGGTTCCTTTTTGCTAAATGTGATCCAATTCGTTCTGCAGCTGAAGTAAAGTTAATTTTAAAACAAGACATCATTCTCATGTGGACTGATATCTGCAAAAATTAGCAGAAAAATTTTGCAGAGTTCAAGCAAAAGGAACTTATTCTGAGAAACAGATGATCTAGAGTTTCCATTTAAGCATTGAAACTGAACGCCTCAGATAGGATGGCGAGGCTTTCGTCTCATTCTAAAAGCTAGCTATCCCATTTTATACAATATCTAGCAAAGAAGACCACTAGAAAAACACGAATTCAAGTATTGTGTAGAACTTGATTTGCGCAATACTACAGTGGCGTGGCGAGCTTTGCGATATATATCGATTGATCTGCCATTTAAACCTATGAAAGAGGATCAATATACACGGTGTTTGCAACAAATACCTTAAGAATTTTTTCTTTACCATTGCTTCAAATGAAAAATTATCATTAGTTGATCATTCCTGCCACGCCACTGCAATATTATTAACTGAAATTAACTCCTCATCAAGCTATCAACGTTTTTATTCAGCACTGGTTGCGAAAAATTTGAGTTTCCCGGTCACAAGAAAAACCAGTATCTAAGTGAATTAAATCGGGCACTAGGGCAGTTTTGCGTCTCATAAATGGACCGCGTTTAACAGAGAGGAACTAAGCCACACCAGCTATTGCCAAATTTAACTGGGTAATTGAATTTTTTACGAGAGAACGTTTGTCAAATCCCTTAAAAAATTTTGAGGTATTTGCTTTGTACTGAGGAGAAAATTCACTGAAATTTGCACGAAAATCTGCAAAACCGTTTTCACATAAAAAAAATAAACTGCCCGATTAAATTTGACAATAGCTGATGTGGCTTAGTTCCTTTCTGTTTAATGCGGTTCAATTAAGCAGAATTCTTTCCCCACCCTGTGTTTTCAAAGTATAAGAAACGTGCAAAAACTGAGCTGAAGCGCTGAGATTAAGGTTGTCTTATTTTCATACCGTTGAGACTGTTACAGTAACGATAAGTGTGCGATTTAAACCAAGCAGATCATGGTTCTTTTATGAGCAGTTATTTTCAATAATTTTCGTTGCACAAATCGTGTTCTACATGAAATTTTGATGAGCGAACGCTGCAAAATGCTTAAATCCTCCTTGTCTAGTGGTCTATCAGATACAGGATTCAACAATTGGTGTAAATGCATTGCACTTAGCCTCTTTTGCTTCACCAGGTATCTTAAGGAGTTACATCAGTCAGAAATACCTCAGTCTTTTCAACTCTTCTCCATGTTTTTGACTCAAGTAAAAAAGAAATGCTTAAAAACACCTTGAGGGTCACTGAATATAAATAAATGATGAGTACAAAAGGCTGACTGGAATAAATGAAGAGGGTCATGTCCGAGAAGTGCAATGCACTTACAAAAAAGTCAAAATCTCAAGTTTATACTGAAAACAAAGAACCAAATTGTTATCCAATAATTTTTAAAGAGGCTTAAGCACCAAAAGTGATACATCAAGAGCAAAAAATTCAGATTTCTATCAACTTTCAAGCTTTTCAAAATTGACAAGAATGAAAAATGATAGGGCTAGTTTGATTTTCGTGTAATTTCAGCAGAATAAAAAGAGGGAAAAAACTAATTGGTTCATGTGTTCTTTAAAAATAAGAGGTGCACTTGCAAATCAAGATGAAAACAAGCTGGCAAAAAACAGAGGAAAATACAGAGAAATTTCAGTAGAGTGATCTAGAGAACCGATTTATCACTTTTGTTACATTGTTTTTGAAAACAATTTTAGATACATAGCTTTCGTTTCATTGTATTAGAAGAAAAAGATATTGATAGACCAGACTTGAAGAGTTTAGAACTTGGTTCAATTTTCTTCTCCTCACATTATATATACATAGCTTCTACAGCTTTTACAGGGGTTGAAAACCAATCTTTTACAAACACTTTACAAAACAAATTTAACATCAAAACATATGCCTTAAATGGTATTTTTTATTTATATGATTTGGTAAGTCCAGCACTTATCTCTACCGATAAACTGACACAGCTCTATCAGTAGTAGCTTGGCTTGGCAGCTGACTAATTGGTTTTGAAGTTGCACTGAACAAAATAGGAAACTGAACCAAGACTCTTGCCTAAAATTAACTAAAACAATTCCAAGAGAACAACAATGATTGAAAATTTCACTAGATGTCTTATCTGATAATTGTATTTACAAAAGGCGTCCACGGCACTCTGAACTGTTACAATAGCAGTAGAGGACCTTGCCTGGTACACTATTTACGTCGTAATTGTAGTCCCATGTTAGTTCCTGTCCAGCAGGAATATAATTGAGAGCAAAGAAAGCTACCCAAGGGAAACGGAGATCATGCGTATCAACGAAGACATTCTGAACAAAAACATTTGGTTCACAAGAGTGCTGGAAAAAGACAGAAACCAAAGTTAGAAAAAAAAGCCATCATTAAATTATGCATGAGATGAAACTGAACCAAAATTCGAAGATAGACACCATGAGAAAGGTACTTGGGATGTATTTTGATGACCAAGTCTGATAGATGAACAAAAAATTATAAAATTTGTCCGTCTAACAGCAAAGTTTCTACATTCAATATTACCACAGGTACTGCTCATCTTCTTCATTTTTTATTTTTACAGAAGTATCCTCATATTACGACTGGAATATCTTCTGACTGAATGAAAAATACTTTGCACGGAGAGAGACTAAAACACCGTAGTATTCATGCAAGTCTACCGCACAGAATTCATAATAAATAAGATTCACTGAAGTACATACATCCAATTCTTGTACAATTATTACTCAGCATAGGTACCATTCTTTTCATTATTGAAACTTCTTAATTAATTGAATTAAAATATACAGGCTCAATTTTAGTTCGACCTAAAATACGAAACAATAGTGTTTCCAGACGAGTTGATAGTGCTGATAATTTCCATGGTGCTAACTGATGGAGTTATGAAAAAACATTGACTTACATTCAAATATCGTCCGATATTTCCATTGCATTTAGCGTCCATGACGTATACACATTCATCTTCACCAAAGAGATATCTTAAAGACTTGCCCTCTTTCTCATCCCCAGGATCTTCATCGACAGTTGGGTTGAATCTCAGAGGAGCTCGGTCTGAAAATAAGAGATGAAAAATAGAGAAACAGGTGAGCATGGGAAGTAAATAAACTGTAATTTCAGCTTACAAGTAATGAGTGTAAATAAGAGATTTATTCAATGAAGAATTTGCATGCAAATTTTTTATTGCTTCGTCTAAAAGTGCTGAAAGAGCTGATTTCACATAATTTTTTTCTGATACAGGAAAGAGTACAAAAATAGATTCAAAAGTGAGAAAATGCACTGCCTAGTGACGTCATCTGGCAGCATTTCCCAGTTAAACATGCGTATTTTAGCAGATTAGATCATTTTGTCATATCTTCTCCAATAATTGTTCAATTCATGAACCAAGGTTATTCTTGGGTTCAGTTCACTCAGGAGTTTCCACTTAAACACGATATTCATCAAATTTCAGACACCTGCAAATTCTCTATTAGCAGGCGGATTTTGGTCATAACTAGCTCACTGTGTATCCAAATTAGGTTCCCTTGACTTTTTCTGAAAGATGATAACATACTGAAAAACACTGCATTCAAAAATTTAAAAAATTGAGATAAGCTTCCTCGGTACACGGTTTGAGGTAAGGCAACCTTCTAAGGGTTCTGCAATTTTTAAAATTATGAGACGGGCGGAACTGACCAATTAATTGCAGAACTGAGGACCAATTTTACTCAGGAGTTTTCTTCGGCTATCTTCTATCATTTGAAATCTTTGCGCAGTCAAAATTTCCTCAATTTGAAAAAAAGAAAGAAAATCCTTGTTTCTCCTGATTTTAAATTGCTGAGTTGCTACTGTTGACAATACTTTAAACAAAATCAAACAAAAAACATCATAGATCTGAATTAAAACTGATCAAATAAAAAGAGAGGAAAGTATTACTTTGTTTTCTGTCATCACCATCTCCATCACTGTCTCCATCATCTTCTTTGTTGGAGCTTTTCTCCCCGTCACCTTAAAAACAAAAAATAATTGGCGTTAAAGTTACCTACAATTGAATCGATCCGTTACATGAAGGCTCAAGCGCCAGAAATGAGAATTCAAGAAAAATGGTAATAACCGTTTTAATTAACCCCTCATAAATCTCAGAGCTCTAAAATATTAAAACCATGAATTAATTGAATCGACGAATGCGAAAACGTCCAATGTCCAAGACAGTGTTTCAGAATGGACCACTGGACAAGGTACGAATTTAAGCAATCTGATACATGTTTCTTAACCAGAATTTCTCGTAGAACACGATTAGCGCACCAAATATTACTGAAACTAACTCCTAACGAAGATTTCAACGTTTTTATTTCCCATTGGTTACGAGGAATTTGAACTGCCCGCTCACAAGAAACTCAAAGCTCTACTCAAGTCAAATCGCGCGCTACAACGGTTTCAGCAAGCTTCTCCATCGAGCAATGTTCATTGCCCATCATATGTTGTTTAAACCACAAGAAATTTGCTATAGCTGAGCCAAACCGTCAAGATTGAGGTTTCCAGATTTTTATATCGCAGAGACTATCATGATGAACGTTCAGCGCGCGATGTGAATCACGTAGAGCATTGAGTTTTCATGAGCGGGCGGTTTGAATTCACGCATCATGAATCATTAAATATCTTCGTAAGGAGTTGATTTCGGTAACTTTTGCTATGCGCATCACGTTTTACGTGAAATTTTGGTTCAGAAACATGTATCAGAATGCTGAAATTCGTACCTAGTCTAGTGGTCCATTTGAGTGGACAATTTGGTTGTAACTTAACAACACAAGATGATTCAGGACGTTAACAGTGAAGAAAAAGGTTATAAATAATTATATTATTATTAACGTAATTAAACGTTTACAAAAGAGATCAATCCTATTCATCAGTGTCGTGGGACAAAAGAAGCCCACTGGAATTATGAAACCCTATATTGGACAACCGACGTTTTTGCATAAATCGATTCAATTGATCAAATTATTAATGAATCTGCAATTTAAAATGGGTTGGATCATACAGTTCCTACTGTTTTTTTTTTTTTGTATTTTTATACCTGGCGCTTGAGCCCTTATATAACTGACCGATTCAATGTAATGACAATCTTATGATTAAATGCTCTGATTATTGACGGAAATAAGAAAAATTGACTTTCAGAAGTAATATCTGCATCATATGAAAAAGTAAGGTTTAAGAAGAAAGATTTGAGTCAAAAAATAAATAAAAGAGAAATTGGAAGAAGATAGCTCTTCATCAGCACTTTGGGATTCAAAAAGAATCAGTAGAAAAGAGTCAAAATCTTAATTAGTTAAAAAAAAATAAAATGTTGAAATACTTTGAAAATTGAGACAAGTATTTAATTCTGTAGTTCTATGTTGAGTGAAAATTGATACTTATGTCAAAAGTACGGCTGAAAGCTCAAACATGAGCTGCAAGTGAAGAAACGGCAAAAGATTACATACTTGATGATTTATCATCCGACTTCTTTTTGGATTTATCCGGTTTTTTCCGCAGCATCATCCTAAAAAAATAGAAAGAAAAATGTACTGAGGTCACACAAAGTATACAAATTTTCTAAAATCCAGAATAATTTAAGAGAACTTATTAAAAGCAACACTAAATGTGACCATCTTCAGAAAAAAGGACCTTGGTCTACAAAAATTCAAAACAGTGGATACGTGAACCAAGACTCGATCAATCTTTTGAAATTTGCACACTAGTACAACCACCTCCTTCTCCTGTAATAATTCAAAATGTTGCGCAAATTGCATAGTTCAGATTGTCCTCACAATGCACTGGTACGATGAATCTCTGGACAGACTGAGACAAAAATTAGCAAAACTTGTGACTCGTATGAATTCGTCCATATTTCCATATTTTCACGCAGCCAGGAAAGCGCTTGATAGGGCATTTTCTGTACCACTGCACTCATGAATTATTCTCTTGTACAATATCGAGCGTTCTTCGGCAAAGGCTTGAAAAAGATTTCCGAACACATCTTAACAAAAAATGGCTCTGAGAGTTTCTCTCCTGGGGAACAAAAGTGAAGCTTTGAAAAAGAAATCGCTTATCTTTATGTCCTGATTCAACAAACAAATGAGGAGAGATGTTAGGTATATTTAACATAGGACATAATTTTGGAAATCAGTAAAATGTGAAAACATTTTTTGAACAGAGAGAGTTTTTCAGGCTTATGGCTTCAAATTGAGGAGCACTTCCGCAAAACTCTACTGAACCACTTTTTTTCATTTTGAGAAAAATTATAAAAATGTGCATGTGGTGCGTTTCATGCCGCATCATGCATTTTTCATTTCTCTATTAATAAGTATTTGACCTGTTTGGCAACACGTATGTTCCAAGATGTGTGTAACCATAGAGAATTCATTTTCAGCACTAAATGCTAACTTATTTTTCATAAAAAGTGGCTGAGGTACGTTTTGCTTAATTGCTCCTCAATCATGTCTTTTTTTAAACTAACAAAAATAAAAATTGAGTGCTGTTTCTCTAAACAGCAAGACAGTAAAAATAAGACTGAGAGAATGAAAGATAGTGACATTAGGACTGCACACAAAATTTTCTGCTATTTAATATATGAACTAATTCCAAAACACTTACTTAAATTCACTTTGCTCACTACTCGCACATTTGAGTTCGAACTCAGCATCCATCTTGCGAGATCGCGGTGAGGTTGGTCTTGATTTTGACCGTTCCTCTTCAGAATCTTCGGCTGGAAATTATAAATCAACAAAATATGAATAACTTTAAAACTACCAATTCTGCCACTTAAAGAGGACTAAAGGCAGAGACTGAACTGAGAGAAGGGCATAATTTCAGGGCTGAAGAGACGATTGCAACTAATAAGAACTATTTTAAATGGACGATAAAGTTTGGATGATTTTCATTTTGGGTTGAGTATCAAAAATAAGAAAACAGCTCCTGGGACAAGCCATGTTTTGCAGCCAAATTTATCATCCAGGTCTTTCTCTAAGAGAAAAAACAACGAAGATAAGATGATTCCACTAGAACAAACTAATTGTTACATCCATACCACAAGGCGGATAGTGGACTCGTAAAAACTATGTAAAAAAAAATTAGAGTGAGAGGAATAAAGAGTGCTTTAAAACAGTTGACCTAACCCTTTCCTTTGAAGCCCTTGCTTAAGAATCTTCAGTTATTTCCATGAACCTGATTATCTGGAAGGCATTTAGCGGTGATGCATGCGTGCACGCAATGAAGGTTTACTGACTTTTTCCGCTCAACCTGTCTCTATTCTTCACACTGTGAACTTCTTCCTTGATTTGATCATAAGAGGATCTAAATTTGAGGGTGGCCTACTGGCCTTCTTGAAGAGTCAACTTTGTATGTTGGAGTTTTTTAGCAAACGTGCGTTAAAAATTTAGCATAAAGCTGATATCACGATACAGAGGGAATAAGCTCACACACATGCACAATTTTCCCTCAAGAGGTTTTAAAGCACCCTGAATTTTTAACGCACGTTAGCTAAAAGACTCCAACCTGTTAGGTCTTACGACCCAAGCGTCCACCTCAATCAGTTAGAGTCAACTTTGTTCTTGCTATAATTGGTATTGCACCTGTCGCATGTGCTGAGGGTATTTTTCATTGTTATACCTGTCTCCTGACTTTCGCCTGCAATGTTCCTTTTGTCCTTAGCATGGCATACCAGTAGATGAATTTATTGTGGGTGCTTTATTGAGATAGATCTTCCTTAACAGAAACTTTCAAAACAATAGGTACACCCAGTCCGTAATTAAATGAACTATGAGCTCACTCACTTTTTATACATTTAAGGACAATTGTTTCAGAGCTGCACACTATAAGTAAAGCACTATGATAGCAGATTTTTGAGCACTATGATAAAGTTGAAGATGGAGTGTACAGCTCCAAAACAGTTATCTTTATAAGTATAGAGAGATAGTGAGATCAAAGTTTTTGTGTTTTCACACTTTATGTAATTGACGACTAGGTGTACCCATAATTGCATGTAAGTTTAATCTTCCTATTATTTTTAAAGTACAAAGTCAGTAACCTGTACAATATAACTCTTCATTTAAAAATGACTATTTTCAGGGGTATAATGCATTTAAATGTGTACTTACAACTTCCTGCTGATTTCTCCGCTTCAGACATTAATTCTTCAGGTACAGATTCTTCGTAGTCTTCTTTTATCCTCTCAATTACTTCAATGTAATCAAGTTCTGCTAAATATTCGTCTCCATAATTTTTCCCTTCCTGAAATAAAATGTCAATTTTAATATTGAAAAGAAGCAACACTTAATTTCTGAACACCTGATTTCTTTGTTATTCATAAAAAGATAATGTTATTATTATTGATTGAACCTTCAGTGAAATTTTCACTTGCAAGACACTTTCCATACAGTAAATGACGCAAAGAACACTGTGTGTGCAGTAAAAAGGTGAGAAAGTAACTCTGAAACCGAGGAATACACAGCTCAAAATGAGTAACTTTTCCGCAGATTTAAAACGCTCGGGTTTCGCGCTAGACTGGATAATATCATCCGGTACCAATCAGAAGCAAACACAGGTTTCTGCAACGTTAGTCAAATGTTTTTCTACTCTTTGTACATGAAAACAATAGGATGGTCATATCTATCTCCAGAATCAAATTGAGACGAATATTGTTCACGTTATTAGTATGTAGTAAACAAATGACAATTCTATAATAAAATGCATTTTATTTTTGTGAGCATCACCAGAGAATAAGAGTAGATAGCGATTTGACTGGCTTAGTACTTTATTGTCATCAGTTTTCTGCTATTCGAGCGTGTATAAAATTCCTTGTAGTTTAGGGACTTTTCTAAAGCCAAGGTGTCTACCAAAACAGGCTGGCCAAAAATCAGGACTATTACAGTACTTTTTCAGTTTATTCCCAAGAAATTCAGCACCTTTTTGACAGAAAAATGCAAAACTTTTTTAGTACCTCCAATTAACAAAATTCAAAAAATTTCAAATTGCGACAAAAATGACCTAGACACAAAACTTCATTGGGATCTTGAAGATTGACAGACTGCACAGTCGCCATCTTCCAGGCAAATGCTACTCTTGGAATTAACGCACAGGGGATTGCATACTTTCCAGGCTTCATTATAAAACACGCTTGGAAAAAATTCCAGACCTTCTTGCAGAGTTTCAAACTTTTTCACTACTTCCAGACGACCGTTAAAAAATCAGTATTATTTCAGGATTCTCCAAAAATTCTGGACTAGTAGACACCCATAAAACGGTTTCCTCCAGGGATTTTGGCTCAAAAAACATGAAGTAAATCACAGCATTGTCTACTCACCTTGAACTTTCAGAGCATCAAATAAAAAATACAAGATAAAATAACAACTTAATTTGGGGAAAGGCTGCAAAAGGGGGGCAAATCAAAAGAGAAATCTGGGGCGTTTCAAAATAGTCACAATTTCATTATCAATCGGAAAACAAAAATTAAAATAAAATGAGTCGTCCATTTGCTGTTATTGCAAGACCGAGACTAGGAAGACCCGAAGACCAAGACCAGTCTCGCTCTTGCAATAACAGCAAATCGACAATGAGTCTTGATCTCGCAATAACAGCAAATCGCCGATGAGTCTCGGTCTTGCAATAACAGCAAATCGACGATGAGTCTCGGTCTCGCAATAACAGCGAATCAACGACTCATTTTTATTTAATTTTTGTGCCGGTTGATAATGAAATTGTGACTATTTCAAAACGTTCCGGGTTTCTCTTTTGGTTTGCTCCCCTTTAGCAGTTTTTCCCCAAATTGAGTTGTTATTTTCTTATTTGTTTTTGACTGATTAAGTTGTTCTTCATAAAAGATACAAGGTTTAGAGACCAATTGGTAACACATTTGTTGCTTACCTCGTTCGCAGAATTCTCAGTCAATAGATGACCGGCATAAATACATATAAATGACCCGATAGGAATATCGTTAAGACATCTGATGCCCCAGCCCTTCCTCTCAGTCTTGAACAACTGTAGCCTTTGCATCAATGGATGCTGGACAACTCTATTCAGGCAGGTTGTCTTTGAACATCGACACCTAAAGGAAAGAGGTATAAGTACATTTTATTATTTAGATTCAAAATCGAGAGAGAAGTAAAACCAAAAACAAATCAATTCCTCAAATTTTTCACCCTAAGGCCTTGTCCACACGAGCGCAGTTCGCGGAACTTATTCCTCGAACTTGCTCAGTTCCCGGAACTTATTCCTCGAACTTGCTCAGTTCCCGGAACTTATTCCTCGAACTTGGTCAGTTCCCGGAACTTATTCCTTGAAACGAGGCATGCTGTCCACACGGGTTCGTTCGAACTGGAACCGGAACTTCAATAAAACTATACAATTATTGCAAAATAATAGATTATTATGACCGCCAAAGTAACAAAAATAAATGTCAAGATCATATGTAAAGGACGTGAAAAACAAAAACAAGCAAATTCACATCAAAAGAAACATATTTAGAAGCTCGGAGCACGGGGGAAATTCCAGGTTTTGGAGGAATAAGTTTCAGCTCAGCAAAAAACTTGTTCCAGGAACAAGTTCCTCCAACTGAGTTCCGCGAACCGCGTTCGTGTGGACAAGGCCTAAGGTTATTAAAAAAATATCTTGATATTTAGTGCTGATTATTAGTATTAGTAGCGTTTCTTGAAACGATTGAGATCCCTGGATAAGATGGACACAATTCTGCTATAGAACTAAACGCCAATTTCAGTTCCTTTTGATGATTTTAGAATCCTGGATAGCGCATTCTGTCAAACGGAATCAAGCGCCATCAAAAAGCATTGTGAGCATAGGACGGGCAGAGCTCCTCAGTCACCTGAATTCGCCAATCCAATCCTCTCCGCTCCCTTCTTCCCCCGATGGCGCTTAGTTCTGTTCAGCAGAAATATGTCCATATAACGTATATGTTACTTTACATCGATCGTTACATGATATAATTCAAAAGAAGAAGACAGCACTAAATGGACAGCTAGAGAATTAGTCTAACAGCATGACGTGTTGTTTCGTATTAGTTTTAGCTTAGTATTCAATTTGATTCTTGGGTTCTTTAAAAGCAGAGAGTGCACATAGTTCACAAAAAATTTTCCTGACTTTTTTGAACAATTTTATCCCAGAAAAAAACCAAGTTTAAAATTGCGTATTTTGATCAACCATTAAAATGCATATTGCCGAGAGAGCCAAGATGGCGCCCATTAAGATCCACTGAGCAGCGGTCACACTTTCGACAGCGCTTTCCCTCTGCGTCGTCCATGCATTCATGATAGAAAGTAAACGAACACATCAGAATCTTTCCAATTTTTAGGGGAGCATGTTGAATATTTATCGAATACTTAAAGATGAGGGCCAGATTAATCTTCTGGCAAATTCAATTATTTTTATAAAGGAAGTTGAAATTAAGGGAGTTCCTATAGGAACTAGATGTGAAAAGTCACATAATCAAAAACAATACTATTTTTTTCTAAGTGACATATGTAGTCTCTTATTGGGACCTCAAAATAAGCTATTTCAAACTTGCTTTATGTGGGTTGATATTGCTCAAAGAAATCAGGGAAAACTTCTAAGCACTAAGTGCACTCTCTACTTTTCAAAACTGCAAGAATTAAAAATTACTGCTGAGACCCATTGGAGCGAAACGCCATAGTTCTATTTTATCATATTTGATGAACCAATGATTTTTTTCGTCTTTGTGAACCCATTTAAAAGCTTTCTTGGGGAGAGAGAACTCAAAGTGGAAAGATCTCTCCATACCTGCTATTGCACTCGTAAATCCCAGTCACTATTCTCTCCGGCAATCGCCTGTAAATGTATCCTTCATTCAGCTCAGCATCATCCATACCCGGAATAACTTTTTGACCTTCCATAGTTAATTGCCAGCATGCACACTTTTCTTTGTTCTGTGGGATGAAAAAAATACAGATAATTATACCTGTCATCACTTAAATTCCAATAGATCAACCAAGTGAGGAAAGTAGGCTGCAAAATGATGATAATATACAGAGGTATTAATTAACTATTAAGGTGTTCCTTGCGAACACCCTGTATATCGATTATTTTCCGTAGGTTTAGGTGGCAGATTAATTGATAAAATGCAAATCACGCCACGCTACAGATTATATATGCAAGTACACCTAAAAAATTACTCCTCAAAGATTCTAGAAACTTGGATGGTCCAAAATCATTGAGTTCTTGCTTGGCTATGGTTCGGAAAGAGAATATTTTTGAGCGAAAATATCAAGCTAAGATGGTGATTTTGCCGTTACGTTCTTAAAGGTTTAGTAACTTTCTATCACAGTTAATATTCGACATTTTCCTTCAGCTTTGAAAAGTCTGATAATACGAGTATTTTTATTGCTGTTGAATTTTTGAAATTTAAATTTTTAAATATTTGATCTCAAGAGAACCACTCACAGCTTCCTGAGAGATTCAAGTTAATCAATGAAATAATTACAGAGAACTGCACAAGATAAAGTTCAAAACCTCGTAAATAAGTACTCACTTATGCATAAATTGTCAATATTGCGTACCCGTTTTGCCAGTTTCACACTCTGGCATCTTCAGCGTGACCGTCTCATTCATGCTGAAGATACTGAAGCGCAAAACACTAGCGAAATATTGACAATTTACTTCCAGTACTTATTTATAGGGTTTAGATTCAATTTAATGTTACATGACAAAAAGAGATAATAAAGAGGTTACATTGCTTTGTGATTACATGCTTTAGTGTTATGATCATAATGCATAACATGAAGTGTATTTTATTAGCTCCCTTGGGAAGATTATGTGCAATAAGTGCCATAAGTATGTACTGTCTTCTACACCATGATATGTAAAAAATAGAAAACTTATTACTAAAACTTCAGAAAAGTTACCTGGCAATCATCTGTGCAATCACAGCAAACGAGAAAACCTGGGTCCAAATTGAGATGAACCCCCTCTCGAGGTTCTCTCTCCGTGATGTAATGAACATATTGTGGCATTAAATTATCTAAGTAGTTGACGCAAGAGATCGGTTGCTTTTCTTTACCATAAGAGAGATCCTGAAAAAATTATACAGTGTTCATCATCCATCAGGAGAGACAATAAATGACACCATAGCAAAACAATAGTAGTCCACTCGAATTGAAAAGGAAATTAAAAATGTGACCGTCCACACTGCAGTGCTAGGGAGAAACGCTGTATGAACATTCGAATTTCCTCCGATGAAATATTAATTTTAAGAACAGATTTTTACTTGAAATTTTCTGATATTTTGACTTAGATTGCAAGTAAAATGTTTTGAAAAATTGGAAGAAAAATACTCACAAATTTCCCTGTAAATTCATGTTTTATCAAAGGAAATTTGGCAATGTCCTAACGCTCATACAGCAATTTTCCTTCAGATGGTAGCATGATGGAAGGGATCTTGAAGCTTTAGAGCCTCAAATGGGATTTTTGCATGTTTTAAGAATCGCCTTGAGAGAAATTTTGGTGAGAAACGCGGTTCCGACCATGAAAAAGCTCAAAAAAGCCCTGGAGACAGAATATGAGAAGCTTAAAGTTGTAATGATAAAAAACACATTTCTCAAAAACCGGCTGCCAGATTCGCACGGACGGAAGAGTCAAAAAACCTTACCTGAATAAACGTACAGTTTAGCAAACTTTTTCCAATGTATAATTTTAAATTTTTCAAGCATTCAGTTCTTTCTTCTTTCTTTGTTTTGCGAAAAACAAAAACATTGACTCAAGTGAACTCTTACATAAGGAAAGATTATCAACAGTTTGTAAGATTGTTTGTTTATGTAGGTTATGTTTTCTCGAGTATCTCTTTACGCATATCTGAATGCAAACCACTGATAAAAACTGCCTGCAGACACAATGAATTTGAAAAAAACGTGTTGCGAACTATGCAAATTGCTTCCTAAGGCGTGAATATCAGACGATTCTGAAGTGCTCAGCTTGATTTTTGTGCAATTTTACCGGTATAAAGTCTATTCACTTGAATGAGACTCTTGCATGAAAACGATCCATTCAGAGAGGTGCTTTGCTTTTTTTCATTACAAAGTTTTCAAGCAGTGAGATCCTAACGTTACAGAACGTACACCTACCTAGCAGTTGATTTTTACACATTGTCAGTTGACTAGTTCACCCAAAGTTTTGGCGACGCAACCTTGTTAAATCGGTTTGAATTATCAGAGTTTAAATAAATGAGCCTTCACTGTGCTTAAAATTAGTATTTATCCTCAACCGAGACAATATTCTGTTCTATACAAAATTTCACTTATGTCAGGTGTTATCTCATTAGTATCATGAGGGTTTTCCCAGATATTTTTCAGTATAATACAATGTGTATCAAAGAAAAATTCTAGTGGAAGTTTTCAACGTACAGTTTTCGTAATAACTAGCGACTCAAACACAATTCGTGCCTTACAAAAATTAGATCTTCCCACGGATGGAGGAATAATAGGCAATGTGGAAGCTAGGCATAATGAGTAAACAGCATAGATATCTTACCTTAATATAATTGAAACACCTTGTTATCTTAAACTCACTGAGACAATTGACCCATTCTTCAAAACTGAATTGATCAACAGTCATTAGCGATTTTGTTATCCTAAGATAGCGGTGAATTTCTGATATGTTACGAAGTCTTCGCCCGCAGGGTGCTATATAAAATATGATGCCTTTATTCCTTAATTTTGTCAGCACTCTGAAAAAGATAACAAATCAGTGCTTAGGTGATATCAATGATACCAAAGATTGAAAGCGCAGGGCTCATGGTGTTATTCGAATACCAAATCCCTAAGTTATTCTAATATTTTCTCCATGGTCAGTCAGGAGTAGAGGCAACACAAAAATATTCAGACAGCTAACACTTAATACTGTTAAATATCAAAACTCTTCATGTTTTAAAATTTTTCTTCCAGCCCATGTTTCCTGCCAAACCTTTCCTGTGTTTTTCCCAGTTTCAACGAGTCCTATGAACCCTGATAAAAATGACTTTATTAAAATACCTGAATTCATCAAGATTTGGTCGACATCAAAATTTTCTCATACCGAGATTTATTTTTTTATTCTTCCTCTTATTTTCTTTTTCTCAGAAATGAGTACACTGTGTATTAAAAAACCTCATGACATATTTTCTCCCATCAAAACGTCTAGACAGACTGACAGAGCATGTTGAACATATTGGACAATACCACAAACATCTAAGCAAAGAGTTAGCATTTATACACACTGAATATAGTCATTTCAAATTTTCACGCTCGCAAAAGATCAAACTGATGAGTCCAAACAGCCACTAAGAATAAAATTGCACGAACTGCATATTGCTGGGGTATGGTTTGAAAAAACTACTTCTCTCTCAAATGCACAGATTTTGTATGCTTGCCAAATATTTTCGAACTGCAAATCTTTCCTATTGAAAAGAATGCTGCACTCAATATGGCATCGAGAAGAAACACTATTTTTCTTATTTCCACTGATTATTACACCAAAAAATAGCGCATAAATATGATTTCCTTACCTTTCAAATCCAAATAATAAAGGAAGTACAAGTGGACCGTAACCTTTCCCTTCATCTCCCGTATAGCCAACCCAAGAAACACATCTGGGCCCACACTGGTGCGGGGAAAAGGTGCGAGGTCGAATGGCTCGAGATGTGTCCACAAGCTACAAAAAATACAAATTTATACATCACAAGAGCGGAAATTAGTACTGCATATCTCAGAGTACAAAACAGTTGTGTTGCAATTAAATCTTTTACAAGTTACAGAAGGTTGGTGAATACACTCTTGGTTGTCTACACGAAAAAGGGCACACAATAGCTGTACATCGAGTTGTTAATACAAAATATTGACAAGAACAGGCCACTGAACAGGGTCTCAACCAGAAAAAAATCACATGTTCTCTCTGCAAAATCAAACACAGAAGACGATTCACACAACAAGAAGGTTAGAAATGTACTCTAGCGGGCTGATTGTTGAAATGTATAGACAAAGAAGACAAAAGGGATATGAAGGTATCCTATTGGTGAAAGCGGGTGGTTCCGATGAACAAAGGAGGAAGGTAATAGACTAACTAATGGCAACCCACAATCTATAGTTAGTCCTACCTGTAGTAAGTTCTACCTATAGATAGTCCTACCTGTAGTAAGTCCTACCTATAGTTAGTCCTACCTACAGTTAGTCGACCTATAGTGGTACTTATAGTTTGTCAATTATTTTCCCCCTTTGCCTATAAAAACCACCCCTTTCAACGAATTGGATCGCTCCATACTTCCTATGTCTTCTCTGTCTATAGCTTTGTCTATCAATTTCAACAATCAGCCTGATGAACGAGATATAAACAAACATTTGTACCTAAGATCAAATGGATTGCATTTTGCAAAAAGGAACCACTAGCATTGCAATGTTGCTAAGATTGTGCAACTTCTTTTGTCTTGGAGGAAAAATCCGATTATCCATTAATAGTTTCTATTTTAATCGCTAAAAACTGTGAATTTAAGACAGAAATTACCATCTAAATTTCATAGTTTTTCACGATTTCCACAATTTTATTGCAAAGGATGAAGTTGCACAATCTTAGCATCATTGCAATGCTAGTGGTTCCTTTTTGCAAAATGCAATCCAAATGGAAGTTAAATGATACAAATGATGTCATTCGTATTTTTGTGTGTATCAGTGTTAATCATAAACACTTCTATCTTGTTTCGGAGTTGATTTCCACACTTGTCAATGCAAGATTTATTTTCCTCGCAACATTCTGTAGAGGAAACATGTTATGCACAGCTGTAATTCATAACTTGTCTAAAGGTTGTTCGTGTCTAATTAGACAGGATATACAGCGGTTCGAAGTTTACAGTCTAAAAAACGCTGTTTCAAGAAAAACTATTTTCAATTTAAATCTGCCGTTTTCTAAGTACAAAATTTCTCAATTATGATGCATCTTTACATTCCTTTTTACTGAAAAAAATGTGCAGCTTATTTTTAGAACACTGAGGAGAGGTTTCAGATTTCCATTGAAATCCAAAAAACAAAATTTTTACCCAACTCAATAGAAATCATTCTGCTGAAACGGTTCTTTCTGCTGACCATCGCATGCATGGAAAAATGTATGAAAAAGCTGAGCCACAGTGCAGCCCAATTGAATTGAGTTTGATCAAATTTGCAGCATTTTGAAGGCAAGATGTACTGTCATCCGTTGTAAAAAAGTTTATAATGGTCGCTGTTCCACATTTTGCAGTTGACCTTCTCCTCCTTTTCCATGGAGATTAAGGGAAGGGGAAAAAGGTTGCATTGAAAATCTCCACAAAAATAGGTTCATTTTTTTCAAATCAGTAATTGTTCATAGAGAAAAAAAAGGAGGTGTTTGCATTTCGAGGATTGTTTACCCTGTGACATAGGTCAGTACGACCTGGCTGGCAAAATCCGGAATTCAGAGTATGAAAAACGGACCATAAGGCCCGATTTTTTTGCTAAAATCAACTCAAAATCAATTTCAAACACTTTCTGTAGAATGACTCTTTTCCAGAAACTACACTATTTCCAAGAAAATCGATGATAAATCTCGTTTGTACCGAACTATGTCATCAAAAAAGTCCAAGATGCCTGATATGCAAACACCTCCTTTTTTTCCTTCGTGGTACATATTCGTTTTTCAACAGGATAAAAAGATAGCAGAGAGGCAAGTGTTAATCTGACTTGAAAATCATCTATGCAATGGGTTTGATGGCTAGAAATTTTGAAAAGACTTACATCTAATTTTGATGGAACCTTAACCGGGATATATCGAGTATTGGGAATTGTCATTTGATTTTCTTTCCTGGCAGCATCTGGTGATCTCTGCATTGACGGTTTTCCAGTTCCACTTTTCCTAGCAACAGCACGCTTCTCGACAACTTCTGGATAGGCCTGAGGCGAATCGTAAGAGCCATCTATAAAAAAAGAAGTAATGAACAATATTGATATCGTAATGATTGACATTTATTTTCTGGGCCTGTCATTATCTTATTCATCTGTATTCCTCTTGCTGTGGAATTTGCGAAAAATCAACAGTGACTATGTTGTATGGAACTTTGTATAGAACCTTGTATACAGTGCCTTGTATAGAAATAAATTTCCAAGGGAAGTTCTAAAAAAAGGTTAATACAGTCTAATCACAATCCAAAATACCATTGAAAGTTTTCATAAAAGCAAAAAGAAACTAGAACATTCGATCGAAGTAGTATGTCCATGGCCTAGATGAGAAATCTCGTATTTCCATTGCAATGTTTCGAAATTTCCACTCTTATTTTATTTTTTTCCAAGAAAACAAACCAACTCCGTGGCTTGAAATTCATACAGAATATTCTGCTACCAAAGAAAAAACAACAACGAAGTTCTCAAGGATATAGGTTGACTAGTTTCCCAAAGAAAAATTAAAGTATAACAGGGAGCCTACAATGTGGCAAACGAAGATATGTGGTTTCGCACTTTGGCCATCGATATTTGACCCTCCATGTCTCGTTTGACTGTAAGTCCTTGAGTGACACGCATCAATGAAAATCGAGTGATTGAAGAATTTTGGAAAGATATGCAGAGGAAAATATAATAATTACCTTTACTTTCAACAGCACCCTCCCCTTCTTGTCGAGTGTACTCCACATATGGCGTGTTGCGCTGAAAAAAAATCACACAAAAATCAGTGTCCTCTTTACGAAAAATGCTCTACTGTTTGTTCCAAAGCATTTCTGTAAATTTCCTTGTCACGCGCTGATACCAATTGCATGTTCTCTAACTTGTGCCTCTCATTCCAACAAACATCGTAAAATTCTTTCTTGCTTGAAATGTTTCATGTTTCATTGCTGCCTTTGCATTGAATGTCTACTAGGAAATACATACATACATATGAGTCGCTTTTATAGCGCTCTTCGGCGCTTTACGACACTTAATTGCCACAAAGCTCGGTCTTCCCACAGGTCATCAGGGAGTTGACACTCCCTCATCTCACTTAACACCCCCTGTGGCCAACCTCTCACTGGGCGTCCCTACGTCTACTCCCAGGAGGAACCCAATCAAGCATCTTTTTTGGCAGCCTCTCTTCCGTCATCCTATTGACATGACCATACCAAACAAGTTGTTTGGTCATGACGTCGAACACGATGTCATTTTCGACTTCCATTATCTGACGCACTTTATCATTACAGACCCGATCTCTCCTAGAAATTCCTGCCGACCTTCTCCAGAAGTCCATCTCCGTTGCTTTTAGCATATCCTGTGTCCGTTTCTTCAGCTGCCAAACTTCACATCCGTATGTTAATATACTTTTGACTACGGCGTTGTATATCCTCCTCTTGTTATCTTTGGAAATCCGCTGATCCCAGAGGATTCCATTTAACATCTCTATAGCCTTCCTTGCTAAGGTGTTCCTTTCCCTGATAGCTTGATCCGTCCTTCCATCCTGGGTCAACCGCACTCCCAAGTACTTAAAGTGCTCGCAGCCTTTGATCTGCTGCCCATCCTCCAACTCAATGCTTTGCTGATCACCACCAAAAGTCATCTTCTCAGATTTGGATATGCTGACTTCCAAACCCCACTTCCGATATTCTTCTACTAACTTGCGCATCATGTACTCCGCGTCATCTTGATCTTGAGCAACCACAACCTGGTCATCAGCAAAGCACAGAGTGAATAGAGTTTCAAAATCACCCAAGGGGACACCCATACCAGAACACTTCCTTTTCCATTCCTTTAGCACACACTCGAGGTAAATTTTAAACAATGTTGGCGACAAACAACATCCCTGTTTTAAACCCTTAGTCACATAAAATCCCGCTGACAACCCCCCATGATACTTAATTTTGGTAAAACTCCCTTTATAAAATCGCTTGACAGCATCAATCAACCCCCCGTTAAAATTCGATTTTTCCAAGGCCTACCAAAGTTTCACCAACGGCACACTGTCATACGCTTTCTGGAGATCCACGAAAATTAAATGCAGCTCTTGAGCTCCGGCCATTTTCTTCTCAATGACCTGGACAATAACAAAGAGGTGATCATCGTAGACCTGCCAGCTTTAAAACCAGCCTGCTCCTCTGCTTCGTGATCTTGCCATTCGTCCTCGATCTTCCCTTTCAGTATCTTTCCGTACACTTTGCTTATTGTCCAGGTCACTGAGAGCCCCCGGTAGTTGTTACAATCGTCCTTCCTTCCCTTCTTTTTGTAGATGGCCTTGATCCAAGACTCCTTCCACTCCCTTGGTACCTCGTCACCCCTGATGCATTGTTGCATCAGTTTCCTGAGGCACTCAAAGAGCTTGGCAGTCCCGTACTTGACCAACTCGACAGGAATCCCACCAGGACCTGGTGCTTTGTTATTAATTAGCTCTTTAACTGCTTTAATTATGTCACAAGTGTGAATCTCCAAGTTGTTCATTCTTCCGTTGTCCGTGCTGCTGCCTCGAAACTCTGGGCGCCTTTCCGTCAAAAGATCTTTAAAATGATCCTCCAGTTTTTTAAGTGATATCGGAGAAACGATGTCGCGCTTCATGTCTCTACGTAAACCTTTAATGAACTTCCAGCTCTCAGCACTTTTTCTCCCCCTTGGGTAGGTGTTAATTCTAGAACAGTTGCTTTCCCAAGCTTCATTCTTCTTCACTGAGCTTTCCTGTAAGCAACTTTATCTTCAGCCTTTTTAGACGACAGAAATATAAGATATTTTTGCCTCTTGAGATTTATCTTGTCTTCAATTTCTTCATCCCACCAGTCAGGATGCTGGTTATTATTACTGGTTTTGAAAATACCTAGGGCTTCTTTAGCTGCAGAGTGGATACAATCTTTAATGAAATGATATTGCTCTTCAGTGGTACCCGAAAGCCCATCCCCCAACTTCTCATCCAAGCGTTTCCGATACAGAGCCTTGACACTAGGGTGCTCCAAACTTTCGATGTTGTATCTTACATCACGCTCTTGCATCCCCTGTCCCTGCTGCTGTTCAGGCACTGGCTCTACATCCTTAGTTTCTTTAACGAGAAACGCTATATCTGCTCGGAGGAAATGATGGTCACTGCCGCAAGAGAGTCCCCTGCACACTCTAACTTGCTGCAATTTCAGCTTAGTAGAGTGCTTAACAATCACATAATCGATGATGGATTTCAATCCTCGCGTTGGCTGGACCCAGGTATACTTATGGATGTCTTTGTGTTGGAAAAAGCCATTCAAAATTCTCATCTCACTTTGAGTACAAATTGAGATGAGCCGATCACCATTATCATTAACAGCATCCTCTACAAACGGTCCGACAACTTTACAGTTGACTCTTCATCCCGTTCTGCTGTTCAATCACCCATAAGAATGACCTCCCTGCCAGCACCAACGTTCAGAATTTCATCATTCAGATCTTCAAAAAATTGGTCCTTACACGCGACAGTGGCATCATCATTTACACCGTACACTCCAAGCAGCGTGATCTTATGTCCGTATAGGTTGAGGTTCATTCTGATAAGTCGCTGGTTGACGGCTTCCCAGGTGCCCACAAACTTACGTAGACTTTTCCGCATGAATATTGCTACTCCTTGCTGAGCACGCTGATATTTGGCCACGCCGCTGTAGAATAGATCATAGCCACCGTAATTCTCTGACCCGTGCCCTTTCTTCTTGGTCTCAGTAAGGACAGCGACATCCACTTCAAGCTTCTGGATCTCCGATATCACTTCCGGTAGCTTATTCGAAATGCCTTGGACATTCCACGTCCCAAATATCAATGTCTGTTTTCTTAATTTTTGTCGACGTGTCCGTTTGTTTCCAGTGGTACCGAGGCTTGTTACGTTAGGTCTTTTGACAGTGAAACCTTTTACAAGTACCGGGGAGTCAGCCTGATGACTCAACCCCCAACCTGGAGGACCAGGGTTTGATTTCGGAGTTGCCTCTCCTAGACAGGTTGCTTTCACTTCAGCTGAGAGCCCTGTCTGCCCTTCTAGCAAGTGGTTCATACGCCCAGAGGCCGGTGACCATCTCCACTATCCCTTTTAAGGCAGGGGCTACCAGCTGGGGTCCGCAGGATTGCTATACCTGTGACAACAGTTCCCCATACGGATACTAGGAAATACAAGAATACAAATAAGCCGATTTTGAAAATTGGAAGTTACAATTCCTTGACTCTAGGCAGTAAATAAAAAAGTCAAGAGCGAATGCATACAGCTTAGAAATATTAGACAGTTTGTTGAATGGTTGAAATCTGAAAGTGGTCAATACATATTAGGGCTCTTATGGGAAAAGTTCCCTTGATGGAGGAATTTAAAGACATTCACCACAAGAGTTGAAATTTTTTGGCAGGAAACTGCCTTTTGTAATTGCATCAACTCAGTGAACACCTTCCAATATTACGTATGTACTTCTTCACTTTATTGCAACCAAAGAGAAGGAAGAAGGCAACAATTTACATCCAATTGACAATGATTATTTAGGCTATGCACAATCTTTCCAGCATAATTATAATTTTGAAAGATACTATTTGCGCCAAGTATTAAGACCTGACTAAAGTTACACATTTTCATTAATATTCTTTCATTGACAGGTGGGTTACTCACATTTCGGAGATTTCCTCGTACAAGTCGGTCTCCTGATTCTTGCCGTTTATGAGCGGCAAACAAGGGTCCTAATCTGGTAGAGCCTCGGTAAATCCACTCAACACGCCGATCTGCATCAAACCACATTTTCACTAGTGATGCATCAATTTCTAGCACTCTTGCTATCCACCACTTGCCTAAAAGATTTAGAATATAAACAAATGATTAGAGAAAAAAATAACTCTTTGGACTTTTTGTCAGTTTTGTAAATAAAACTAAGGAAAAGATTAGAGAAGAATTGAATGGCTTCACTAACACTGACATATAGCATATGCCTCTACCCAGACATGTTCATTTTTTTAATTCATGTCAAAGTTTCCGCAGACATAAAATGGCCAAAAGGAAACACTTTAGCTTATAAATAATAGCAAGTCCAAAAAGGATTGTTAATGCCTCACCAACAATTGTAAATGAGATTCTTCAATTTGAATTTCGCGTTATGAGAGGGTTTCTAATGCCTTTGCTTTCATCTTACTCGCAGGAGCTTGTCCAAAAAATACTGTGGTGAACTTCTAAAATATTTTTTGCAGCCTAAAAATTTTAAACTGATTAGACCTAAAAAAACTGAAAAATACCAAACTGAATGCCCTGACACAAATCAAACTTCACATTTTTAAGTGTAGAATTATATGAAACTTTTGGGAAAGAGTGTCATATACTGTGCCATTGTAGAAGTTAACAGAAGCATTTCAAAATTAGAGAGCAGATTTTATCTTCCATTACTTATCAATGGCCGAAATTGAAAAAAGCACACTTTCAATTGCAGCATTAAAAGTCTCTACCCAAGTTATATTTTTCACAAATAATACCAACTAACAGTTTTTCTTGAATCTCTGTTAAATTTTTAAATTGTTAAATTTTTTTCAAGGATTTCATTAAATTTACGGATAATTTGAAAGAGAGGACAGTAATTTTTATACAGCTATGATACAGCAGAAATGCCAGATTTAGGTTGAGACTTACCATTCCACTCTGTTTTCACCATCTGCTTCTTTTGAAGCTTCACCATGGGTCTTTCAGGATAGTCCGATATATACTTTTGAATGAAGTCCTTGAACTCAGGTAAAACGTCATCCCAAACATTTGCTGACGACTCACAAACCACACGGATGTCCTCGTGGTTGATATACTGGGCGTATCCATCATCGAAAAAGACCAAATACCTAGAAAGAGTTTGAAAATTAGTGTAGGCTTGTAAAATGTAAAAATCACTCACCAATACTTGCAAGTGCTCTGTACTCTCACAAAAAGTTGACGTCACAAAAAAGAAAACACTTTTCATACATACAAGACAAGCACTACAGAAAATGGCTATATTTTTGCATTTAAGTAGGGTCTTGATTATTCGTAATTTGTTTATCCGCCATTCGAATTACCCATGGCCATTGAAGACTTTTCCTGCCTTGTTTTGAGGATTATTGGTAATTAGAAATTTATTTTTGTCAACTCAGTGAATTCCTTGTAAAATTCCATCTCTTTCAGGACTTGTTTCCAAAAGATAGACTTATTTTCTTTTTTTTACAAAGATAAAGTTGGTCTGATTTACATGCATTTCTATAATGTTTCCAATCGTAATGTCAAAACTGAGAATAATTCTCAAAGCTTTCAACATGGAATGTGAAATTAGAGGTCCAAACTTTGAGCTGAATATCCGATTAACTGTAATGAATCAGTTCAGCAAATGTTCAAACGATTCATTTGGAGGATCAAGATAGTAATATTTTCACTACGTTTTACTTTAACACCCAAAATAAATGTACAACAGGAATGCATACAAATAATGCAGCTCAGACACAGTGTGAACTGCTAGTTTGTTTAAGTTAAAGCTTAAACCTTAGCAGTTCTGGATCCAATCTCTAATTTCATGGTAGAAGAGGAAACTTCAGCGGTAAATCTTATCTTAAAACAAAAGAGTCATGATTTGGCAGAAAAAAGGGTATTTTCTAAACATGTCGATATTTTTACATCATTCGTTCAAAGAGCTTTTAAATTTTTAAAAAATTAACTTGAATTTGAAACTTCCATCGTCCTTTAACAAATGTTGCGACATTTTTATTCTTTGGAGCCCAGAAAAACTATTAACTAAATCAAACAGAATACTGTTGAAAAATAGAGATTTTCCAATTATATTACTTATACTTTATATACTATACTATGCTATATATATTATACTATTATATTATATTACTTACCTGAATTTATTTATTGACTTGGGTATTTCTGCTATGACTCCTGCATAAAATTTATCACTCTTCCCCTTGTCGTTTTCCTCTTTGAAAATTGCGATAACGCGAGTCCCTACAGGCAATCTAACACTTGCTGGATGGTAATAGGCTAAGAACTTTCCAAATACCGATCGGTAAGCATCAGAGTATTTTTTTACTGGTTCTGGTCTAATTTTATACAAGAATTTAAATGGACCTTGAGCCTGAAAAAAGAAAAAACAAGAGAATTAAATGTTTTATACATCAAAAGGCGACAGCGATGAATTTTGCTTTCTCGGTTACATCAAGAAATCCCGCAAGTAATATTTTGTAACAATTAGCAACACATGCACAATGCCATTGATTTTCACTGAAACTTCCGAGCTCAAAAAGCTCTCAAAATTGAGGTCGTAATGGAGGGGATCACCCACGTTTGTTTGAGTCCACCTTTACGTATTCAGTCAAAATTTCCACGCACTGATAGGGAGTGAATACATTAACAGGGTTGCCTTGCCTACGGGCTATAAATCCCCACACAAAGTGGCAACTGTGCTAACGTATTGGCCCCCTATTTGTTTGACATTTCGACGGTGTAAGTCGGCAATCACATAACTCGGTTTGCGACGTTGCAGACTTCCTGTCATAATTTATTTTTTCAACGGAAAACTACTCAACGGCAATTCTTTAAAACTTGTCATGATTTTTCTTCTCAATGCGAAGAAAATTCTGCAAAAACTTCAAGAAATAATGTCAATTTGTTCTCCTTCAAAAAAAATGACGTAGAGGCGGAGATTTTCAGACACCGCAAACGAGTTATGTGATTGCCGACTTTCACAGTCGATTTGTTGTACAGTTTGACTGTATAAAGTGGTGGGCTCAAAATGTCAGCAATCTTCTCCATTGTGTCTTCATTTTTGAGAGCAGTTTTTGAGCTTGGGAGATTGTTTTTAAGAAAACTAGTCGTACCATTTTGCAAAATTGTACGCAGAAAAAGTACTTTAAATGCAAATCCCTGTGGCTTAGAGAAGCACTATTAAATAGAGCACTAGTCTGGGAAGGGAGAAAAGTAATAAAATCAGTTTTCTTAAATTGACTGCTCCCTTTCTATATTGTAAAATGACAAACATTTTCATAACTTAAAATAAGGTGATAAAAATCCTTTATTCAAAATTCTCATGGCTTGATTAGAGGATTTTCTTAAGATTTCTAGTGCTTTTGAAGGGCTGGATTAATCATGAAAGTTCTATTTGCCTATTTTCACAATTTTTGTCATACAAATTAAAATTTGTCTATAGACATCAATGCTTACCCTTTTGAAGGGAATGGGGGAAAAACACTGGATTGCAGAAAAAGGAGCTTTCTGTATTCCTAGTTATCTGAGCCTATTGTTTTTTTCCTCTTGATCACAATGACAATACTTACACTCTTCCTGTCAACCGCAGAGACCTTCATAACTTTGCCAGGAATCCAAACACCGTACAAGGTTGATTTCATGTAGTACACGATCTCGTTGACTTTGACCGGAGTTCTTATGAGAGGACCCTGTGAAGGCAGGTTAGGTGGCGGCATTATCTTGGCAGGAATCAACTGGACAATATCCTGTGAGAGAATAAAAAAATTAGTATTCGAGCTTTCTTTATCAGTTCCACATTTTCGGAAGAGGCAAAAATGTTATCATGATTCTACTTTAGAAGCAGATGCGTTATGCTACATCTCCTAAAGCCATACCTCCCCAGGACGTTTCCATGAAGTTTGTCCCAGGGTCAAATTGTGGGAATCAAACTTCGGAGATTTTTTGCAGTTACCGTCTCCATGGTGCAACGAGTTTCCATGGGAAGATACAGTAGTAAAGATCTAGTATTTAACCAGAACTAAGGTGATAATTGAACACGATCAACTATTAAACAAATTAACGAACAACAATAGAGGGAACAACAAAATATCACACCATTTCCTTTCACTTCTTCTTCCCCTCTCAGTTGGTTATGGATCTCTTCAAGCTAGGACAAGGACACTACTTGGTACTGTGATTAATATTGAGTTGGTAGATATTTTTCCCGGCTTCCCAAGTGAGACTATCCCCTGCGACAAATCTCATGAAAACGTCCCATGGCGACAAGGCTTAAGAGAGTTATAATGTTTGAGTCTATTTGGTTATCTTAGAATTTTGTTGTACAACCACTTCCTCAGAAACACAAGCTACCAAAAAAACCTTAGTTTAAAAGTTTTTAATGTAACACGTGTCTTTGTACAAACAGAGGTGATCTAAATTATCTCTGATTTGAAGGTCTTTGTGTCAAGCTAAGAGCTATGCTAGCTTTGGAGTGTCCAGAGTGTGTAAATCCATAAAGTCAGCAATTTCGAGAAGAAAGAATGCAAAATATGATATAATAGATTTTATTGGAACATCAATAATAAAAATAGCATCAGGGTGATGTTCGTTTACTTCATGGGCATACTAAAGTCTCCATGAGAAGGGTAGAGAGGGTACACTACTAAATATTATAGTTACAGCAGTATTTTGGAGAGTGCATGAAAAGTTTTACAGAGGTTTTGAAGGACTGCTGAGGCCATGTTGTCAACCATACATTTCGACAATGTAACTCCCAAACCACCCATAACGGTTTGCAACGTTGTAGACTTCCTGTCATACTTTATTTTTTCAATGGAAACGACTCAACATTGATGCTTAAAAACTTCCATGATTTTTTTCCAATATGCAGGGAAAATGCTGAATAAACTTCTAGGTAATGTTGATTTGTTCTCCTTAAAAAATAAAATGGGAGCAGAGATTTTAAAAAACCGCAAACAAGACACATGGTTTAGGAGTTTCACCGTCGGCTTTAGCGAGCCCAAAGAAGCAGTTTGTTAGAACGGAGAAAGACAGGTATTGGTGACATCGGCCTGCCGAGAAAGAGATAGCTTTCAGTATACATGAAGCTTAGAAAACAATAGTAGAATCAATTCTGCCGTGATAGCGGAGAGAGCAGTAAGTGTCAAATTTTCCAAATCGAGAATCCTTTAAAATTCGTCTAAACTCTTTTAGATGAAATCACTGAAATTGCTAACAGTGAAATTTACCTAAATTGTATGAAAACGTGACATATGAGAGAGCTGTAAGTGCTCAAAAAATGACGTAGTTTCAGGCAAGACAGCAGGAAGTGACGATATTCCTCCAGAGAGCCAATGAAAACAGTGCTTCCGAGTAAAGTGCCGCCTCTTCTGCCAATTTCTAACCTGAAAATGCGTTTGCTGTACGTCCAAAACGCAACCACGAAAGCATGCAGAAGATAGCACTTACAGCTGTCTTCCCGAACAATAACCTAGCATGAAAATGAAAAAAACCATTTTTATGTAATTGAAATAAAATCGGTCGATTTTTAGGAGTTTTTCAGACGATTAGAGGCAATTTGACGAAGAACGGAAGCTTCTTTCAATAAAATTTTCCAGTCAGAAGCTTCTGAGTCCGTTTTCTCAAATCCTCATTTTAGCACTTACTGCTCTCTTCGCTATCACGGCAGAATTGTGGCATACAAAGATCTATCTACAGAAACCTGGCACCTACTTTCTTAACTTAACGCTGGGCCACAGGAATGTCTTGATGTTGGGCCCATGAGCCTTACAAGGTACTTGGCACATCACAATATCGCTAACGAGAATCGTTGGAGTATGCAAGAACATGGACAAGTAAGTAATAAGAAGAAATAATACTTACAGAGTTCAGGGTTGAGAAATTTTTGGTATCCAAGATGTTTGATTTGTTGAATGGAGTGACTTTTTTTGTTGCCACTGCCATTCGATGCGATGATGGAAAGGCTGTTGTTGGTTGCCTTGGTGCTGGTACTGAAATCAAAGAAGAGACAAGTGGACGGTACTTCATATTTTTTCATCATTTGAAGAAAACAATTAAGTAAGTACAGTTAGTGAGGAGGGAATTAATTTATTAAAGAATGCAGACTCCCAGGGTACAAGAGGAATTTCTCATTTTGCTTTCAGCTTTCTTGATGGGTTTATCTAAAACTTTGCTATCCTTCTCTCGTTTTTTCATAATTTGGGAGGATTAAGGGTTATGACTAATAGTTTTAAAAAAATACTGTAATACATTGCTTTTCAGTGAATTTTCGTGATTTTTACAAAATAAACATTGATAATTAAATCAATTTTATTGTGAATGATTTTACTCTGATCATAACGTAGAAAAGTACTTCATAGGTCGAAATTTTCCATTTGTTCCCTTTCACACAGCACCATGCATAGAATGCATCTGAGAATAGGGGAGTTTCTGGTCAAACAAAAGGGAATAAAAAATAAGCCTTAACTTGATTCATTTACAGTGTCATGGTTCACACTTACTTGAAAAGTACGCTTACTGCCTAGAGTGGAATTTTTGGGATGAAATTAGAGTACGGTTACCTTATTTATGGCCCAATGTTTTTACCTTTATTGTGAATTTTTGCAAGGTAAACATCCAAAACAGTTCCTGATATCAGACTTACTAAAGACCTTACCTCTAAAATTCAAAAATTTTCCCCATTTCCACAGGACCTGCAGACTGATTGTTGAAACTGACAGACAAAGCCATAGACAAAAAAGACATAGGGAGTATGGAGCAGTTCTATTGATTGAAATGTATAGTTCTCATAGACTAAGGGGGTAAATGATTGACTGACTATAGGGTCTCTCGGCCGTTGCCATTAGTTAGTCTTTTATCTTTTATCTACCTCCTTTGTCCACTGTGACCGCCCGCTTCCACCAATAGGATCCCTTATCCCTTTTGTCTTTTTTGTCCATCAATTGCAACGATCAGGCCACAGAGCCAGAGAAACTCTTAGATTTAAAATTTCTATACTTCAGAAAAACTTACATTGAGGATGTTGAAAGACGCCGCGTTGTGGAGAGAGTTGTTGAGGGACATTAGGTTGGAAGATCAGAGGTTTGTTGCGGTCTGTCTTTAACGGCACTCTACAACCGTATGGCTGGATATGACAGTCAATTATTGAAAGCTCTCTGACCGGCGTGTACCTCGGTCGATATGGGTCATGGATCTGATTGTGCATGTCTTTTAGGTTTTGTGTGTGTACGTCGATCTCAAGTTTCATGCTGTCGAATTCGGCTTTGATGCGTTCAATCTCAGAGGCAACCTAGTGCACAAAAACAAGTTTGAAAATTTGATAAAATTTCAGTTGAACAGGAGTCCAAATCCTTACTTGAAAAGGGTTTCATACACCCCTGAAGGGTTTGATAAAGGGGTTGAGGACCTTTAAAACCATGATGTCTAGAATTCTTAACCAAGCGCATTCCCTAATTCTTTCCTCATTTTTAGGAGCTCATTCTCTGATGAGAAATCGAAGATATCTCCTACTTCCCAGATTTGCTTGGAAAAAATTATATAATTATTCAGAGTTCCAGATATGGATACATATGATTTCCATCTTTCAGCTGATTCTTTGGCATACATTCAAATTTGTAATTCCAAAAGCATTCTTGAAGCTCACACTTTAAAACTAATCATCCTCTTTTGGAAAAGAAATTTCACAAGATGGTAGTAGTTTTCATTTTCACCTGCTTCTAATCCAGAATTATGAAATTAAAATTTGTTCTCTCTTTTGATGTGACATCTTCGAATTTAAATTTGTTTGTTAATCTAAAAATTCAAAAATGAACTTACAGGTCTGCTTGAAGATAGATTGGAATTACCTAAGGTTCTCACACTGTATTTTGAGGGCTGACAAACAATATCGCTTAACTGACAAAATTGGCAAAAATGAGTTAGCTACGTAGTTGCATTCTACAGTGTAAAATACGGAGGCACTTCACGGACGCTAGAATGTATTAGAAAATTGTCGCATTCTACTGTGTAAAGTACAGAAGCACTTCTGTGACGCTAAAATGTATTAAAAAATTGTCGCATTCTATTGTGTAAAATACGGAAGCGCTACAGTAACCTATTATGTATGAAAAAATTACAAATTTGGCCTCCAAATAACAAAAATGGCCAAGTTTTCTCCTCGTTCTGCTAAATTATCAGTTGTCAAATAGGCGGTGTTGTTCGTTAGCCATCAAATTGCCGTGTTATTCAAAGTTTAGCTGGTTGATAAGGAATACAGTAATTTATGGCTGGAGAAAAGATACTTTAAAAACAAACCTTTTTGTTGCCTTCCTCCATCTGGAACTTAAAATCATATTTGTTGAGCACTTTTTGAATTGTTTCATCCAGATAATTTTCAGATGTTTTGAATAACTTCCTTCGTTTGAGTTCTGGATTCTCTGCTTTAGTTTCCGATTCATCATCCGAATCCAAATCAAGACTGACAATTAGACTATCTGGATTATGTGGGACATCAAAAATCGATTCATGCTTTTCCAACTTTTGCAACAAAGACTGTAAAACATAAAAAGTATGAAACTAAACGAATACATAGAAGAATAGAGTATGGTAAAACTAAGCTCCCAATTCAAGTGTGGAAAAAATGAGAGTTGCACTTGACAATTTATGCGGTCTTCATCTCTATTGCTTTCCTGATCCTTGCACAATTTTACGCTCTGGATATCATCATCATTTTGACTCTTAAAAATAAATTTGCTGGCCAAATGACTTGTAAAATTTAAAGGTAAAGTGCTGCATTGCCTAACTGATCAAACTTCAGATTTACAAACGCTATACAGTTGTAGCAATCACTTCTAAAAATTCCTGTCATAGGCTTTGGAACTTGCAGGCTGTTCATAAAATGAGTATCCATAAATTTTGGGGTTTTTGACATCCCTCCCCCCTCCTAACGCTTTTGTAATGTGGGTCCCTATCTTTTAACACATAAATACAAAATGGTGTAATATTGGTGCAAAACTAGAATTTTACGAATTTTAATATAAAAATAGGCTTGCTTAAAATGAAATAGAGGTGATGAGATGGGGAAAACTTACATCGGCATAGTTCATTGCTGTGTTATAGCACTCCTCGCACATTTTGAGCCCTCTTTTTGGCTTCACATTGTAATAGGTCATGACGAAAGTCTCCGCTAAACGTAATCCCTCACCAGACTTGCAGTTAGGGTTCACACACTCATATGATCCGAGTCTTTTCTCGCGAATCGCTTCAATATCGATAACCTCCACTGCTGTCGGTGGCTTTGGAGTCTTGAATAAACTGTCATCTTTTAGGTTAGGGTTAATTGCTTTCCCGATGATAGTTCCTTCAGGAGTTTGTATCGAGGCAATTCCTGTTGCCCCTTTTGGTTCAGATCCCTCCTCATCTGTTAAATCAACGTCACAAACTGGAAAAAAAAGAAACATGGAATCTATAATTCTACAATCTTTGCTCTGAGTTTTAAGTATCAAGGCTATGCAAAGAACGAATCTTTATTCCTGTTTCTCAGCATTTCTCAGCAGAGAAAGAGCACATACATATGCTTAACTGATTTTAAATGGCTTTTTCTTGTTGCTCAACTTTTGCTTTCTACTGCCGTTTGGTGTGTTTCAATGGGCCACTTGACAATACGCGAATTGAGGAATAGTGACATACAGTTTTTCATCAAAATTTCAGGTAGAAAAGATTTGTGCTACAAGAATTACTGAAAGTAACTCATAGAGGTGACATCAGCTAAGATGACGGTTGTTTACTTTCGTTTTGTAAGCGCCAACAACGAATTTAGGCCTCTGCACAAAGCGGCTTTCACTACTATCCACCTTGAGAACATCCGTCTCATGATCGTATCGTAAAAAAACTACTTATCAGTTATGATTCGCGACTTTCATATGGTTGTGATTTCTAAGTGGCTAGAAATTAAAGTGTTACAAGGTTTGAACGTATTAAAAAAACTTATTAAAGCTTGTGTTCTTGCTCAAAAAGTCGAATGTCTTCATGTGGATAGTAGTGACGCGAAAATGCTTGCAAACCGAAAGTAAACAACCATCAACTTAGCTGACATCTAACCAAGATATTAGCGTTTTTTAATGCAAAAATTCCTCCTGTCGACTTTATATATAATTATTTCAGTTTTCATAAATTCGCTTACTTTTATTCATATTTGAATTAAGGCTCGACAGATCGAACCATCTCAAAACGGCTTTTGAATACTTTTCTCTATGTTATACTACTATGAAAGGAGCAGATCTACAGAATAATCCTCAGACGGAAAAAAGGGGGAGAAAAGGAAGGAAAGGAGGAAAATAAGATAGGAAGAAAAAAAGAAACAAAACAAAAAAGCCCAAAGAGAAAATTTGTAACTTTCGATGTATCTAGGCAATATAGTAGCTGCAGATTTTTTCGTAAAACTGCGACTAAAAAATTGGCTCTGGCGGAAAAATCTGAAAATTTTTTTAGTTTGAGCAGTAGATTACTGAGGACTTGCCAAGTAAATCTGCCCTGAGTATCCAAATTTTTCATGATTCTACAGCGTCATAAAGATTTTGCACCTCTCAGGGAAAAAATTCTCACTAGGATTAGGATAGGGAATGCTGTCTTATGAAAAACCAATAATACTAGGAGAATTGCAAAACAACCATACATACCATCTATTTTTGGTGCTTCTTGCTTATTAGTCTCGGACTTTTCAGGAATCTTAGATTCTTCGGAGATAAGAGACTTGTCTGGAACAGTAGAGGTAACCTTCTCAACCTCCTTCTCTGAGGGATCATCATCTGTAAGGTCAATTTTCACCAGTTGAACGGTGTCCTTTGGGACTTCCTTCCGTCCTTTTTCTTCTGCCACAGTTTTAGAAACTTCCGTTTTCTGTTGAGGATCATTTGAAACTGGTTTGTCCCCATCAGTCGACTCCTCGCTGTCAGGTTTCACCTCCGCAGGAGTTTTCTTTGTGTCTGGTGTACATTCATCATCCGTCAAGATTACCATATTGATATCTTGGTCAAACGAACATGAGTTAGGTTTCTTTTCATCATCTGGAATATAAATATAAATGGTGCATATGACATAAACATTTTTATTTAAAGAAACAGTGACAGGTAAATGGTGAGATGAGCTCCTTCTCATTACGAACTGATATTTTCTTCTCCCTCGATCAAAGTATTGCCACAAAGTTTCAGCTCAGGGTTTGCCACTAATTTGGTACATTGAGAATTCTTAAAATGTAAGACATTTGTCGAAAATCCCCAATAGTCAAATCATTCGAGAGTAGTAACAGTGGTAGTAGTCGAAAAAAATTAAAAATCGGTGTGGGCACAAAAAACCATATGCGAGGTTACGGACTCTTTTCATTTTATGCCTCCTATAAATTCGAGACACTAACTTGAGGACCTGCTTGAAGTTCCAGGGAAAAGCTAGAAGATAAACCAACAGTCCAAAATTAATGACAAGTAAAAATTATAACATTTTAAACATGTAGTAGGAAGGTTAGATGCGCCATCTCAATTACAAATTTGCCTAACTGACCATGGTAGTCATTGGACTTGTAAAAGACAGGGACCAATTCTATAAGACCCTGGACTCCCGTAAGAGCCAATGTAGAAATCCAGGAGCAGTTACTAGTGCTGCGATCTCGCGTAGGAGCCTCGCAACTTACTGCTATTATCAGTTGTTGGACTTCACAAAAATCCGTAGGATCTTGTATATCTGCCAAAATTCGAATTTTTCACCCTTCTTCGACATGCAGCAGGCCCTTCCTTGTCAGAAGGGGTCAGAAAACACCAAAAATATACTTATTTTTCAAGAATTCAGCTGTCTTATGCATTATTTTTCAATCATCACTATTAGAGCAGGCGATGGATGAATCGAGGTTTGGAGGGAAGGATCCTCTGAGTTTACTATGGTCCTACGCAAGAATGCACAGAATGCAGCGCTCACCACAGTATGGCGTCCTATAGAACTCGTCCCTGCTAAAGAGGAATTTAGAAATTCTTACCCTCTGCTTTCAATGGTATGTCTTTCGTTGTAGATTCAAGTTTTTCAGAAATCTTGGGTTCTCCTTGGAGAGCTGCAGTTGAAACAGTGCTCTCATCCTTCATGTCAGAGGGTTCATCATCGGTGAGGTCAATTTTTACCAATGAAATGGTATCTTCCACTGACGTTTCATCTGCACTGGCCTCATGGACACTGGTTTTCTGATCAGGTTCATCTATAACTAATGATTCTGAAGCAACTGACTTTCCATCATCAGATGCTGCCTCTTTGGGGGTCCCTGAATCAGGTGTATTCTCATCGTCAGTTAGAACTACCACATCTGAGTCCTGATCATTTGAAACTGAGTTTCTGACATTTTTATCATCTGAAAAATAAAGTTCGAACGATACATAAAAAATTAAAAATACAGGAAGTCAGGAAATTATTGTAAATTATTAGAGACTATCTAGGAAATAACCTGATGAACGTTTGGATCTTTTGCAACCCACTAAAACAGTTGGAACTGATTTCTAGAAACTGATACTAAATATGTTGCCTACAAATTTTACTTAAAATTGAATCGAAAACGAGCATGTATTTATCTAGAAGGAAGAATAGATACAAAAAAACCAGGTATTCCATATTGTGATAACATTTACCATTTTAACATTTTTAGGTAATTTGTACCTATCGGGTTCTTGGCTTGGTCGAACTTGTGCGTAGTATATTGTACCCATAAAGTGAAAAATCTCAGCAGTTTGACATTTTAGCCACAAGAAGGACAATACCTAGCCCCTTGCATGAGCCTAAAAAATCATTTTTAACCAAAAAATATTCAAAATTCAGCAAAATGAAAGAAGGATACTTCTTACGGAAAAATTGTTGCATTGATCTCCAGGTCGATTACTGTATTAAAGGCATCATCTTTTCCGAGAAGAACCCCCCTTACATTTCTCCGAATTAAGCACATAATTTGAATTGAAATGATTCTTCGGGCTTAAGCACAAGGGCTTCTTTTCCTTAGCTGAAAAACTGAAAATAGCTGAGATTTTTTGGCGTATTAATGCAAGCCGGCTCAGACCATACTAAGATCTCTAATTAAATCACCTTAAATTTGAGTAGCTTCCCTAATTTGTTGATTCCGTCTAGAAAAAGATAAAATCTGAAAAATTCTGTGCGACTACAAGATTTTACAATGCTGAAAGGCATAAGTAAAATGACTAATCTGTTTCTCTCAGGAGCTGCTTAAAAAATTGTTTTCTCAACTCACCAGTCAAATTTATTTTGTCAGTCGGATCAGTATTTGTAGAGGCTTCTTCACCATTGGAATGAACAGATGCATCAGAGGCTGGAGCTGCATTGCTAACTGAAATATTGCTTTCTTCTTTTTCATCGTCATCAGTTAAAATAACCATTTCACATTCATCGTTGGAATTGTTTGGTTTAGAACTGGAGCTATCTTGGACACAGGTTTCAACCAGTCGGTTTAATGCTTGCTGGTTGGAATGATTTTGAACAAGAGGCTGATGACCATTGGTAGTTTCCTCAGACTTTTCACCACAGTCAGCAACATCCTTTGGATTACCAGTAGAAGATGGCAGTGTGGTTGTTAGATTTGCCGGAGAAGGATCGCAAATAGTAACATCATCATCAAGCTCAATACAATCTGCTTCAACAGCTTTTACATTGTGGTTAGAATTCTGACCGTTGCTAGTTAAATTTTGATTGTCGATTGTGTTAACGGCAGTTACAGAAATTTGATTTAATTTTGAAATGGACTGCTCTACATTTGTCGGAGCTTCGGGCACTGGATCACTATTGGACTTGCAGAACTTTTTTAATATAGTTGACGCACTGTCCTTAGATTGGATATTTATGACAACTGGGGCTTCATCGTCACTGGTCATGTCGATACACTCCGGCTGGGCGACTGGCGGAGCTGGCCAACTGGGTGCCACAGAATCGTTTTGATCTATTTCCATGATATCGTCAGAATCGTCCACTTCCATGACTGATGAGAGATAATGCTAACTTCAGGCTGAGAGGAAAATTTAGAGGAAAATCATTTCAAAGGCACAGCTCAGATTGTAGTGTGGAAGTTGCGGGAAGGAGGTACCTGTATTGCTTCACTTGTAAGACTTTGGGCACGACACAGCTGCATTTAGGAAAAAAGTATGACTTCACAAATGGAAAATTAACTGTAATCTTGGCGGAAATCAATATGTATTCAATACCGACACTGTAAAAGTAGAAATTACGAGAAGTCGTGCGAGAACACGTCGGGACAGCAAGCGTGAGCAAGCGGAGCGGCCAATTGATAAACATTTAAACATAACCTCTTCAGGTTTCCAAACAATAGAAACCGACAATGCCAAGTTTCTTCTAGAGGCTTCTTCCAGTCTTCCTCCAGCAGGATTTTCGAAAATTACATAATAGAAATAAACCTTAGAGTTTCCGCAACTAAATTTCTTCATTTTTAAGTTTAAACCATGATTTTTTAAAAGATTTTGCCCACAAATGATGTCAAGAAAGGACTGAATGCAATAATGAGAATTAATTGAAAGTTTGACAACCACGTTTGTTGATAAAGTTTGTTCCTTTTGGCGTTTGAGTTTAGCAGAGATTCACTCTTGGCCCGGAAGGCTAGACTTACAGAAAATCCTGCCGCAGATCATCAGTAAGCGGGAGCGTGACACCGATGCGTGTATGCTCTCAGCTCTGGTGGAGAAAGAGAGAACTTCAATTGCACTTATGTATTAGCAATTACGTCGCTAGCTTACAACGACAGCTGCAGCCCAGTGGTAAAACGCTCGCCTCCGAGGTGGGAGGTCAGTGGATCGCGCCCCCGCTCTTATATATTTTGACGTCATTATTTTACACATTATGTCATAAATGCCGCGAGTGGCCGTAAAGAAATACTTTTTCCCATAAAATAAGAGTGAGGCGTGCATTTTTGCGCACGTAATTGAAAAGGGCTCCTCTTGCAGAGAAACCTCTGGACCTAGGGTGTAGGGCCCTAATCTTACGTAGACCGTCCAATAATTTTTTTTAGAGGAAAAAGCAGACTCCGAAGACAGAAATAAATGTAACATTAGTGGGCA